AGTTATTGAGACAAAAAAGAGATAAAACAGTCAGGTACCAGGTTTGTGTGATGTAACGCTGTTTCGGGTAGTAAAAAATAAATGAAAAAGAATTCGAACTAGGCCTCGGTTGTGCTGTGTTGTGACAATTTCAAATGTTAATAAAATTGCCGTAAAAATGTTAACGCATAAAGGAGAGCGCAATTAGGGCGTTGTTGGGTGCAATTACATTCAATAACTCAACTTTCCCGGATATTCAACTCTCCTGAAACAAAATTTTATAGCATCATAGTTTCTCACACCGATTTGATCAAAAGCAAAAATGATTTCAAGCAGTTCGACGAAACAAGTGAGTAAACAAAGTGCCCGTTACATAATCAAAAAATTAAAAAGACATATACTATGAGAGGATAAAATATAATTTGCAATATTAATAGTATACTTTTTTTAATCAACTAGTGATTAAAGTACTTGCTATAACTAAATAAAGTCCATAAACTAATTTCGATTTTGAAAATAGCTACTGTCACTAGAAACTTGCCGTGACGACATCAGCCCTCTTTGTTGCCATTTTATTGAAAAATTGCTCTTTATTCAAAATCTGAGCTAGATAGGTATAGGACACCCTAATATATGTAGTTTGAAAGAGCATTTGAATCTGTTTCGGTTTATTTTAAAAAATAGGTTGTCGTATTTGAAATAACAAAGTTTTTATGTAAAATAAATATTTAAAATAAATCATCAATTTTTGGTACCCCTGTATAAATTTAAGGCAGCAATACAATTTTTCAGTAAAGTTTATTTCTCTATCTTTAAACTCAGCACAATAATTAATTCTAAAAAGTAATGTACAGGGTGTTGATAATCTATTCCATTGTAGCATGCATATTTAAATATCTTTAAATATCTCAAAAACCAAAGCTTGTAAACATATTAATATATAATAACCCTTATAATACATGCCTTATTTTGTGTCCAAGGATCAAAATATGAAATAAAATATCGGGTGTTCCATAAGAAAAAATATATATAATTTTGGTGTAAATCTTAGTTCTGACATACCCTGTACATTTCAAAATAATTTTAAATTATGCACATGGTCTTCCCACATATGCCCATAAAATATTTTGTTCCTACATATTTCCGTTTTCGTATAATCAACCGACGCGAATGGTTGCGCCACCCCGTATATAGATGTTCCATTTAAAAAAATAGTCGCGATCCACTCACACTTTTTTGAGCCACCTTTTAGAAGTTCAAATATTTTCCTCAAATACATCCTAATACATACTTTATGTCTGGACTACAAAATTCATAAGTTTTTTATTATTAGAACTACAAATGCCCGACGCACTATTGCCGGACCCTGTAGAATCAAGGTTATTATATTGTTGGTGATAAATTAAATATTAGTATTGTGAACATTTTATTCCACCCGATTCTAGTTCGACATATGCTCAACGCATTGTGATCCTAAACCGACCAATCAGATGTAAAGTTTCAGGCATCCGCGTCCGCTTCTCGCAAAAAACAAAAATTTTGTTTTTAAAAAAGCATCGCGCTGAACATCAAGGTGCGTGGCGACGTGCGAGGCTCCAGTATGTTTTGACGCATAGATTTGTACATGTTTGATTCAGCATCGCCGGATAGCGAGGTGAATGGCGCGCATCGCATCGAGATGAAATGCCCCGCCACTATGTTTGTACGATAGTCGCGATGCATCCTACGCGCACTTTCTCGCCGTTTTGAAACAGTGCGCGTAGGATGCATCGCGGCTAGCATCCTGGCGAGCAGCGCTGCCAGCATCTTGGCGAGCATCGCATCGAGATGCCTCACTATGTTTGCGCCCTTAAGCGCTGTTAAGGAGGTGAGTTTTGTTGATGTAAATAATAACTGTTTATATATTTATAATTAATTTAACTTTTTATGTTATTTGTTGAAATTACTGTATCTACAAGTATAAAAAAATTATCACAGTAGTACTTTCTACCTTAATGGAAAGTACCCTTTCAGGGCTGTTACGGAATTTTACACTATCGCCATTAGCTTTGTCATTAAAATATGTATAAGAGTATCAAATTTCAAGAAAAACGGTTTACCAATGTTCTTAAAAATAAACTAAATATATTATTTTTATTTACTCTTTCTAGGGCTGTAACTTCCTCCGGAAGCATTTTAGTACATACGTTAATAGGAACTTTTTTTTGTTTTCCTCACCCTGTTTAACTCAGTATAATTAAAATTACTTTTATTGAAAAGATGATAACCATTGTCTGTTTTTATTTAAATTAATTGGACGTATACGTTTTTTACTGTAATTTTTTGAAGCCATTATAAGCCGTTACAAGATGTAAAAAACTGTGGGAACGATATGTGTCTTGTATTAGTTGTCAGATTCGTTTAAATAAACACGAAACCATTAGATTGGCTGGGACATGTGCCAGGCCGATGGGAACAGAGACCACACGCATTTTTATAAGCGTTTTTAACAGGTACTTTGCGATTTTTTTTTCACTGTGTTGTCCTTAAATACTATACCCATAAAAATACTAGGATAAGAATTTGCTATAACTCAGTAATCTTTCGAAAAAAAAATAATAAATTATATCTTATATCGCTGAAAAGCTTTAAAAATGGCGCTTTTTATGAAGTCATGGTCAACTCAAGAATACTACAGAGATAAGGATAGTTCCTATCTTCCTGCACTGTCAGTTTTTTTACGTCATCTACTGACCGAGTTGAAGTTGGCGGTAAAGATTTTAGACAGTATCACAGACAGTATTTTTGCATTTGACGGACGAGCGCACACTGCGTTGGAAGATAAATTTAGCGGGACAAAAGCGTTTGGTTAGAAATAAGCCAAAAAATGTGTACTGATAAGAATAAATAGTAGACATTCCAATTGATACAAAAATGCATGAATATTCTTTGTATTTCGATACATTTTTATCAACCAAATTTGGTCGTTTTCTGCTCAGCAAGGCAGAGATCATACGAAAACAAAATATTGATAATTAAATAAAAAATATTTACAAGTGCTTATACATTTTATTCCAAAGCCAAATTATGTTGAAGATTGCCAAAGGTATGTACTTTTCTACTGTACGTATATTATTTGTTAAAATCCTTCGTGCCTTTGTTCTGCAGATATCAAACTTTAATTTTTTTTTCAAATATCGATATATTGAATGATGTAGATCTTTTGAGTTACCAATAGTTACCAACACAAGTAGTTACAGTCACAGGGAGTTCAAGCTTAACAGGTGAATGCCCAAAAAGATTTATTTCAGTCGGATAGTATAAAAACAAAACAACTCCATCAAAAGGCACTGAGTTTAAAAAATTGTCTTAGATACATACTATATATGAATTTACAATTACCGAGTGTTAAAATTAAAATTAAAATATCTATCTTATTTATTATTTTCAAAATAAAATATATTTTTTTAAAATAAATTATAGAGGGTGTCACAAGATTACAAATTAATTAAAAAAAAACTGATATCATAATTTTATGTATTTGGCAATAGTTTACAATACGGTTTTTGTGTGTCATGTACGAATAATATCATAGTTTTATTATCTTGTATTTATTTATTAATAAATTAAGTTGTTAATAAATAAATAAATAAATAAATTTAACCATATAGCTGCTATATATTAGACCATTTGCTATGTTCTTAGATTTTAAGTCCCAAACATTGCTCTTGAGATTTTGTCCCGCTAGAATAACCATCCGTCGCACTGTGGAGCGCTGGTCAGCGCGTGACGTAGCATTCCACGGCGACTACGACAGCGGCGATTTGACGCGATCGAACAGTCCTTTAGAATATATACAGTCCTTGTGGTCAACTATGGTTTCCATTTAAAAAACATATGTTAGTGTCATATGTCAAGAATGACAGGGTTTAGAAAAAAATGGAAAATGTCATCGCAATCAGGATATACGATTTTCTACAACTTTAATCTGAAAACTTTTTGTCTAAAGTAGGTTATACTGGAATTAGGGAGCATTTTTAAAATACCCGAAATTTGTTTGTTTCAAAATATCGAGTAAGCCATAATTTTTTTCAAAAATCTGAAAGGCGCATATGCAATTCTTTCCCCATGCGACCAACTCTCTAATTCCAATAGTTTCCGAGACACCCATAGAGAACATCGTAGAGAACTCACCCTGTATACAGCTTTCGCTAGCGGAGAATAATAGGTAATGAAGCTTTTTCAAATCATTGGGATTTTAGAAATGATAAAAAGGGCAATCGAAAAAATACGACAAATTTTATTAGATCACATCAAAACCAGCATGAAATCATCATTAAAATTAATAAAATAAAAGATTTTACAGTAAAGGTAATACACAAAGTTAAAAAATATTACTTATCTATAATTTTGCCTGTACTAAAATCCGATATATTAAAATAATAAATTAAATAATAATAAAAACAACATAAACACATAGTCAAAATCAGAAACAAATATCAAGTCAACACTATAAAAAGTCATATTATACAGTATGTCCCCGGATTATCTTTACAAGAGGAAAAACTTTTTACTACCTGTTGACATTTTAAGAAAAATGCATTTCCTTAAGAAATTTAGCTTGTTCTAAAATGGTTAATCTCGTTTATACTTTTCCAAATTTCCATGTCATTTTAGAGAAAATTGAATTATATAATATTTTGATTTCATTCTTTGATAGATGGTTATTATTAATTTTGACTAACGTCATATTTTTTGCTGTTGTTAAAGCATCATATTTTCCGATAACTATTATCGTCCTTTCCCTAGCATTGAACTAAATAAATTTTGTGCTTGTTTAACATTTTAAAACAGCAAAAAATATGGCGTTAATTAAAATTCTATTAATAATAATCTATCAAAGAATGAAAACGAAATTATGTTACCACAGAAACGCGTTTTTATTTTTAGCAAAAAAATTCAACTATATTTTCATGTTTTTCTTAAATTTCTCTAAAACTCTATTTGGAAAAGTATAAACGGAATTAACCATTTTAGAACAAGCAAAATTTCTTATGAAGAATGCATTTTTCTCAAAATGTCAATAATAAAAAAGTTTTTCTTCTTGCAAAAACAATTCGGGGAAATACTGTATGTAATTACAATTTTTCAACAGACAGTAGTAATAAAGCTATCAAAATTAACTACACAAGTTTGCCACTTTACTAATATACAGTGTGGTAAAAAACCAAGCAGTTCCACTTCTTAATACCCTCTCCACTGATGAACTGTTCACTTCCAGACCTTCTTGGGCTTGACGTCTGCCCTGGTAAAACATGCAGAACTTCGAGGCATGCCCGCAGGTGAATTTGTACATGCAGGTCTGGTCGGATATGGCCAAAACGTTGATGAAGTGCGAGGATTTGTGTATGGAATCTGGTGTCCGCACTATGTACACTACGAAGCACACTTCTGGGGCTGATAGTGTGAACATGCTGTATGCCGATGCGATGTCCCAATAGAGGCTCACTTTTATATTGGCTTGTTTAGGATGGTTGGTGCTAAAAGAATAGAAAAATAGATATTGTAGGGGTGGATATACAGGGTGTCGCAGTATTCCGTGGACATACCGTTTGATAGAGAGTTATCCCGTGGTCTAAAAAGATTTTTTAAGAATGTCAACTATAAACTTGTGTATAGTGCTAATAATAAATTACAACAATTATTAGGTAATCCAAAGGATAAAACACCTCCACTGGAAAGGTCGGGTATTTATGAAATTTCTTGTAAAGATTGTAATCAGAAATATGTTGGGCAAACTAGAAGATCAATATTAACTAGATTTAAAGAACATTTAGCTCAGATAAGATATGGTAGACCGGATAAATCTTGCGTTGCCGAACATATTGTTGATAAAGAACATTGTATAGATCTTAATAATTTAAAATTAATTAAACAAGTCTCAAATTACAGGCAATTAGATGCATATGAAAGCATCAGAATTAATAAATGTAGAGATAGTATGAACAGAGTCAACGGTCCAATTCCTTCAAGTTCTTTGTTCCTACTACTCTAGTGGCGGAAATTAACTGTTACGCTCAGTTGGCTCTGACTCGGTTGGCTAAATTTTGCCACGCCCACTCAGTACCTACTGGGCGAGTATATAAACGCTCAACTTGTAGATTGTACTTTAGTTTATAATCATCTGCTGATGATGCTAACATGGTTAGCGAAACGCGCGTCCAGTGTAAAAGTAAAAGTGTTTTGGTGTATTGTGGTGATTTAGTGTAATTTTATTTTGCTGTGTAACACCAAAGGTTCCAACCCTCAACTGTAATAGAACTACTGCGAACAATGAAATTGTTTCGATTCCAAAAATAGGCAGTAGTTTTATGTCCACGGAATATTGGAACACCCTGTATGGTTTAGAATTGTAATGAATTATTAATTTTACTTATAATAAGTGAAAATTTTGAGCGTAGTTGACTTAGCTTATCTCATTACATAACATTTCCTAAAACTATTGAAATTCTCGAAAGAAATAACGAATTTTAGTCTATCGTCGACTCACCCTGTATATACTTACTGATTACTGATTTGTCTAGTGTCGCTGGAATGCCAGTTCTGGATGTGGATTTTGAGCTGCAAAAGTTGTTCGGTGAAGTAGCAACAAGATGAATATGGACACTGAATCAGTGACTTGGATAAAAAGTCGTTCGATGGCTCTCTTTTTAATGGAGAACCTAGAGACCGTCTTTGGCGTCTTCTTGCAGCACAAACAACAGCTAAAACAACAAATAAATGATGCTATGTCAATGTTTAGAGCTTTAAAATAATAGTTATTTATTATACAGTCTGTTACATCACTAACTTGAACATATAAAATGCCACGTAAATTTTAAAAGATAAGTTTTTGATAAGTTTTCCCCATCTTATTTTACAGAAAAATCTATATGAAACTTCTTGAAGCACTCATTAAAGTAAAGCAAATTGTTAATTTTTTTACGAATTCCTTTTGGAGGTATGACAAAAGAAATCTTGATCTTGCTATACTCACCTGGAGACATAGATTTATCCATGTTTCCATGAATGGCCAGCCATTCTTTCATTGTTTTCGATGCTTTCTCCATGTTTATGTTTCTGTAAGTCACAGCCAACTTGATCTTGCAAATGGGACATCTGGTCAGCTTGCTTATGCAAAGATTACACATACTATGTCCGTTGGGACAATTAAGGATCATTTTGTCCATGAATTCGTAACATACTGGACATTGAAAATGTTCTACCAAACTTTCCTCCACGTTCCTTTTCTTTGGCATTATGTCTAAATATGATTACAACATGAAAAATAATTTAATTATAGTTTCTAGAGATTCTACAGACGTAAAAAAGATAGATTTGCGAGCTTTTTGAATTAAAAAAAACATGAATAATCCAGTGGTTCTCAATATTCAAAGCGAAATAACTCGGTTATTTTTGACTTATTTGAAAAACCGTAAAGATTAAATAGTTTTTTTTATCGCATTCTACCAGCTCTGAAAATATTTGCACTAACTTAAGACTCACCCTGTATAACACAAGCTACGTATAGTAAACCGATCAAAAACTTACCACTCATTTTGTAGGATATTCTTCTCACATCAAAAACACTACACTATTTGGATGTTGTACACTGTATTACCACTAAATAATGATAGAAATAAATATATCTATACACTGGAAAAACAAGAATAGCAATAAAAAACAAGTATATATGCAGTTTTTATATTTGTGAATGTAAAATAATTTGTGTTTGGTACAATATATGAAACTTAATATAACGGGTGTTTGTATATAAATTACAATAATTTTATAATATATTTTGTATTATAGAATATTCCTTTTCAATTTTTTGGTTGTATTCGTATTTTACGTTTAACTGCATTGTCTGAAAATATATTGGTATTAATAATTGTTATACTATTAAGTATATATTTACGGGGCGTTCAAGAATTTTGGCTAGATATAGTAATAAATTTATTTCAATTTTTAAAATAATTTTGTAAAATATACAAGATTTTTTTTTCATATTTGTATCAAAATATCTTAAACACACTATACTGAATATTATACAAACCAGATTTCGTTCTAAAAAGTGTAGTTTGTATCTGAACTAGTGGCATTTCATAAAACAACGTAAATACAAACGAGATTAATATACTGAGTGTTATGTCTGCCATTCCATCAAAAATCTATAAAACCAATAGATAACTGAAGTATTTTTAAAAATATCTTCTTGTATACGTACAGCGTTGAAGTTAGAAAAATGTGAAGATACTTTCGATGATCCACCTTTATATACTTGCACTATAGAGTGAATCAAGAACATACCATAAGTCAATCGACCCAATACCTTAAAGATGTAAGCAGATAGAAATTCTTGTAGTATTCCTGAAAAAAATACTTACGTATTTAGCAAATGTCTATTTAGCCTTTCTGAAGATTTTTGACCTCTTTGACCTTTCTTACCTCCAGAGTTGAACATACAACACCATATCAGCCACATCAAGCCTAACGACCAAGAAGACCTGGAAAAAGCCAGATATGAGGCTGCTTCCAACGGATTATACTTGTGGTCTCCTTGGTAAAAGTTCCTGCAACCTCCAAGAGATACCACCAGCAACGTAAAGGATATAATCCAGCCCAAAATCCTTATCAACGGAGGCATATTGACCTTTCCTTCCCTGTATTTTCTTATGAAGTAACCAAAGAGTAGACCAAGAAGATATGGTGGAGCTCGTATATGAGGTGCAACATAGTATTCTTTAAAGTAGTCAGTATATAAAAGCTGATTTCTAAAAATAAATCAAAAAGTTTTTGATGCACTGTTTCACCCTGTATAAAAGAACTTTTTGTTGTTGTGCTCACGTGACTGGTAGGGGAGTTCCATCGTAGTTTCTGGTCCAGGCAAGATAAAATGAAAAACTCGAGAAAAAGAGATACAATCCAAGTAAAAGAGTAAATCCAACCTTAGGCCATCTCCACATAGGGTACAGTACTATCGGTGAAAGAAAATAGAACGGCATTTCACATGACAGGTACCAAATAGGATACAAACACTAAAAAATATATAGTAAACTACTATTAACTTTTAAAATTTATTTCCTATAATGTATTACCAATTCTCCTGGATTTATCAAAGTTTGCACATGCAACAATGTGGACCACCAGTAATCTCTACATGGTTTCTGATGTAAAAGATACACGTCATAAGCATACGGTCCGTCAGCAAAAAACTGCACCAAATACATATAGAATACCATCACCAAAGCCAAAGGTAATGTTATTCTTAGGTAACGAACCATGTAAAAAGACAGTATGTTGAAGCTCCCGGTCTTTTCCACATAGTCGAAAAAACCCATGGAAACAAACATGGCGCTTATTAAAAAGAATGAATCCACTGAGACTGAGCTTCCCAGAATTAGAAGGCTTGAATAGCTTGTAGGCCACTGGAAATTGAAATCAGTTGAAATCATTATAAATAAAATAACTAAAAATGAAGTAAATAAAATACTATTTCTATATCTATATATTAAGGACTGAAGAAATGTTATTGTAGCCCAAATATATTGAAAGGAATCCTTAACAATAAGTTTTTTAATAGTACTAATAGAAAACTACAACAATTATTAGGTAATTCCAAAGATAAAACACCTCCACTGGAAAGGAGGTGTTTTATCAGGTAATTCTAGAGGTATTATTAGGTAATTCTAAAGATAAAACAGCTCCACTGGAAAGGAGGTGTTTTATCAGGTAATTATAGAGGTATTATTAGGTAATTCTAAAGATAAAACACCTCCACTGGAGAGGAGGAGTTTTATCAAGTAATTATAGAGGTATTATTAGGTAATTCTAAAGATAAAACACCTCCACTGGAAAGGAGGAGTTTTATCAGGTAATTATAGAAGTATTATTAGGTAATTCTAAAGATAAAACACCTCCACTGGACATGAGGTGTTTTATCAGGTAATTCTAGAGGTATTATTAGGTAATTCTAGAAATAAAACACCTCCACTGGAAAGGAGGTGTTTTATCAAGTAATTATAGGAGGTATTATTAAGTAATTCTAAAGATAAAACACCTCCACTGAACATGAGGTGTTTTATCAGGTAATTCTAGAGGTATTATTAGGTAATTCTAAAAATAAAACACCTCCACTGGAAACGAGGTGTTTTATCAAGTAATTATAGATGTATTATTAGGTAATTCTAAAGATAAAACACCTCCACTGGAAAGAAGGTGTTTTATCAGGTAATTATAGAAGTATTATTAGGTAATTCTAAAGATAAAACACCTCCACTGGACATGAGGTGTTTTATCAGGTAATTCTAGAGGTATTATTTGTTAATTCTAAAAATAAAACACCTCCACTGGAAAGGAGGTGTTTTATCAGGTAATTATAGAGGTATTATTAGGTAATTCTAAAGATAAAACACCTCCACTGGACATGAGGTGTTTTATCAGGTAATTCTAGAGGTATTATTAGGTAATTCTAAAAATAAAACACCTCCACTGGAAAGGAGGTGTTTTATCAAGTAATTATAGAGGTATTATTAGGTAATTCTAAAGATAAAACACCTCCACTGGAAAGAAGGTGTTTTATCAGGTAATTATAGAAGTATTATTAGGTAATTCTAAAGATAAAACACCTCCACTGGACATGAGGTGTTTTATCAGATAATTCTAGAGGTATTATTAGGTAATTCTAAATATAAAACACCTCCTCTGGAAAGGAGGTGTTTTATCAGGTAATTATAGGGGTATTATTAGGTAATTCTAAAGATAAAACACCTCCGCTGGAAAGGTCGGGTATTTATGAAATTTCGTCGTGTAAAGATTGTAATCAGAAATATGCTGGGCAAACTAGAAGATTAATATTAACTAGATTTAAAGAACATATGACTCAGTTGCTCAACATACAGTTGATTGTATTGTATATAGATATAGATATTAATGATTTAAAATTAATTAAACAAGTCTTAAGCAGTTTTCTATGTTATACAATACTCTTCAAAATATTTTAAAAAATATACCACTAGCTCATCTAGACTATTTATGGTAGGAAAAACCATATACATAATGTATCTATGACCCATTATGACACATCCAGAACTCAGAAATCTCAGACCATAGAAAAAATCGTATTTTCCATCGGGTTCAGTTTTAGATATTTTTTTGCAGTTCCTGTATGCGGAGAATATTACAATTACTTGTTGTAAATTATCTAAAAAAAACTTCATTTCATATTTGAATATTTTTTTAATTATTTTTGTTACCTGAATCATAATAAATTTCAACTAATGCTGCTATTATCCCGATTAAAATGAATAAACTATAAAAGAACCTAAAAAAGAAGTCGAAGCTATATAAAAAATACCGTACGATCGAAAAAACGGCATCAAAGACTAAAGAGATTGACCTCTCCAAAATTATCATCGATTGTCATTCTCCTGCCGTCTTTGACGCCGTTTTTTTTTCGATCGTATGGTACTTACAATAAAACTTTTTCTTTAAAATCCAGAACTGGATAATCCAAGACTGATCGACAATAGTTCTCATCCAAAGTTATTTCCAAATCAACCCCGACAGTTATTTCTCTAATTGTTTTATTAAAATGATTCAAAACGTCTTGTACAGGGCAGGAATAAGGAACACAAACAGACCAACCCAGAGCAAACATTTCTTCTTGCGTAAATCGTTCCTAGAAATATTAATTTCCTATGTTTCATTCTGATATTTTAACAGAATATAGTTTACAGAATATAAGTAAAAGTAATACGGATCAAACAACAATGATTGAAATCCTTTGCAATACTGCGTTAGAGCATTTTAGGATTAGTGCTGCTACTAAAAGTTCAATTTTTTGTTGCCAGGCTGACTAACTATAATTTAAATTTCCCGCTGGGGATTCAGGTGGTAGCTCTGCTGTAAAAAATGGCCAGTTGCCACATTTATTTATTTATTTCTTAGACAAGGAAAGAGAGGGGACAGGTAACACGGCAGCTGAAAGTGAAGCCATTTGTCACCACGCGATATTCTCCAATGGCGTAGCATCAGAAATTAGCTTGTACCTAGACGATAAAAAATAGTTATTAAAACGTTAACTAATATATCGTTTATTTTTGAGTAATGCATATACAATTTTGTATTTTATAGTCTCACCTTTATAATATTAGAATATCTAAGCCGATAATGCAAAATTTATTTAACAGTCACAGTGAATCAAGACAATTATTTATTTATTAACGTGTGTATAATGTATAATTAAATAAAAAATAATGTAAATATATATGTTTTAAACGTGTATATATATATATATATATATATATATATATATATATATATATATATATATATATATATATATATATATATATATATATATATATATATATATATATTTTTTTTTTTTTTTTTTTTAATTTTTTCTCTACTTTCGATTTTTCAAAATTAGAAAAATACACAGCTAAAGGCAAGAAAATATTATTTATTAATATACACTAAAGCTGTAAGAATTTTGTTCATTTCATATAATTGAGCGGGCCGAGAAACGCTCTTTACCATCTTTTGACGGGAGATGCATTAATATCTCACCGACACTTTACGACATCGTCTGTTGATATAGAAGAAGTTTTGCTTGCCGTATCGGTGAGAGCCAGCCCCTGGTCAGCCCACCTGATGAAGGGTAGGCCCAGAAACCGGTTGTGGGAGTGGAGCTTGGTTCCCCCTTTACGACAAGCAAAACAATTTTCTTTTTACTTTTTTTTTATTTTTTTTTTAAATTTTTTCTCTACTTTCGATTTTTCGAAATTAGAAAAAATACACAGCTAAAGGCAAGAAAATATTATTTATTATTTATATATATATATATATATATATATATATATATATATATATATATATATATATATGGAAAAACTACGGCATCCTGTTTGTTTGGAAATGACGATAGATGACATTCCCCATATAATTCTACATATAAAATGACATAAAAACTATATAAAATGACATCGAAAAAAGACTGAGAGGAATGTCATCGACAGTCATTTACAAGCCAACTGGACGCGGTTTTTTTTCGATCATACGGTGTAATAATGAATCTAGCCAATCCCCTTCATACTTGCCTACGGATTCAATGCATAATGTAATTTTTAATATTTGTTACCTTCAATCATAACAATATCCTAATTTTCCGCAAAAGAAATAAACAATTAATCTAGAAGCTTTGTGTTATTTTATTCATTTATTTTTAAATTTTTATTAATTACTCACTGAAACTATTATTATACACCTAAACTAGCAAATTTTTTGAAAGGATATTTAAAAAAATATTGTAACAAGTAGCCCACCACAAGTTTGTCCACCCCCAGCAAATCTTGGCAGGTAAATTTAAGTTTTATGTAACAACTATACATATAGATTTTTATAACCAAAATTTTTCATGTTTTTTTTTATAGTTTACCATTATCATTTTACATATTTGATAACAATACTTTATACATTTTATACATGTAAAATATATAAACAAATGTTTACTGCAGAAATTGTATTTCTCTGATTATAATACCCTACGCCACTGGAGAAATCCTGTCTGAGTAGCATTATTCATAGTTTCAAACATTAATTATAATATAGGATATTGAAAATACTACTTGGAATTAATAAAAATAGTTTGCTTTGGATGTGGTACAAGACATATTAAAAGTATTTTACATATTTTTACTGCTATAATGAAAAAAATTTACATTTTATGACTACATAGCACAAGTTGTGTATCAACTTTTACCTGTAAAATGTAATTCCAGTCATTTTTTTCTCGCTTCGGCCTTTGCACCCATACGCCGAACATCTCACCATACTAAACAACACAGTTTATAAATTTAAAACAAAACAGTATTCACAAAAAACATAAAAATTTGCTGGGTGTCACCTCGAAATCTTGTCACCAAAGTATGGCCGCCGATCAAATTTTGGCCTCAAAATTTTTTCGCTGGAGAATATGCGTGTTAGCTGTCCCCTATCTTTCCTTGTCTAAGATTTATTCATGATTTATTTCCTGACATTGTCATTGGTCATTGGTTTTAAGCACAGTTTTAAGGTTTTAACACTTTAGTTTTGTATTACAAGTTTTTGTTTTAAATGAATTGTGTTGTGATATTTTAGGATTTTTACTAGCACACCTTGCAATTGAACATTGTTCTTTTTAGAACCTCTTTTAGTGCCAAGTAGTACAAGATAGAGCTTCCCATCGCAACTTTATTAATAAGAATATTTTATTATTAAGAATATTTTGAACGGAAAAGCGGTAGTAGGGGCCCTGTATGTTCGTTAAGTGCTGTTAAGGCGGTGAGTTTTGTTGATGTAAATAATAACTGTTTATATATTTATAATTAATTTATTTTTGTTCCCTAAAATATTTTGATTAAAAGAAAATATGTAAAGTGGGCAACGCTGTGCCGGTCAAACTTAATCACGTGACTAAAATTTATTTGATACAAACTATATTTCTTTTAGCGAGATCTACGATCTACTAGCCCTGAAAATATTTGCTCTTATTTAGGAGCTACCCTGTATATTGTGTAACCTACCATTCTCTATACCTAAAAAGTTTAGATTTATTCATTTATAAGCATTTCTTTGTGAAACCAATCATTGCTAATAGATTCATATAAAAAATAACGAAATAATGAGTCTGAAAATTTTGACTTTTACTTTACCCTGTCTTCGATACGATTCAGTTTCAGAACTTGAAGAATTAATTTTTTCGAAGGCCAGATTTTCAAAAAGCAGTGTTTCCCCAACAAGGGGCCGTATTCAGTCTCTGTAAATATCCTCAAACATTGACTGTATGAGCCGTATTCTGCTAGATTCCCCAGTAGAAGTCCCGCTTGAAGTTTTGATGAGGCGTCCACCACTAGAACAAGCAATTTTGATATAAGTCCATCAGACTTTGTAGATTGCTACGCACTGTACAAGGTGTCTCAAGCTTGAGATTCACGAAAGAAGTCAAATTATGTGACCCTGAAATTGGCAGCGTGAAATGGAAACAAAAATAAAATAACTTACTTTTTAAGGCCCAAGGTTCGAAAGCTCTAGCGCTCTGTTTGAAAAACTTTGTATGGTTTTTACAGAGCATATTTTTTGAGTTTTCTATGGCGTACATGCCTAGCATTTGATTCAAAATGAACCCTTGTCTGGCCGTTAAATTCACAGGCTTTTTTTCGTATATTTTTTGGACATTAGTAGCGTCATTTTCGGACAATATTAATCCAAATTTTTGAATAAAATACAAAGAAAAGAAAAGAATATGCAATCTATAACAGAACATGTTTAATGTAGAATTACATAGAAAAATAACAAGAATAAGTTTTTATGTAGCGAAGTTTTTTAAAGAAAGTAGGTATCTTGTTGATGTTTGCTGAACATAGTAATTTCGAATTTCTTTCAACAAGTTTTATAGTTTTTTTGAAAAGTTTACTTATTCTTTATATAAGTTATTTAAGAAATAAATATATAGGATTTATTCTTTTAATGTCCGTTGTTTCCATATACTACAGAATGTTTTACTTTTTTTCCAGATAATACTTAAGAACTATTATAACTATTCTATACATATAGGGGGTGAGTCAACTATAACGCATGTGCTACTGTAATTAATTTGAGAATTTCGAAAAAAAAACCAAGTACACTACTTTTAGGATTGCGTTAAGGTAAAAAATTTAAAAGTATTTTTGAGTATACAGGGTGATTCAGATTTTACTAGAATAACTGCAGGTATCGATAGAACTAACCGAAATAATGATAGTTTATATCTTTGAATAAGAAGACTAAGGAAGGAGCATATCAAAAATCTTAGGTACACCGCGATGGGCCTCAAATATGGCCGACTTAAATTCCGGTTTATCAGTGTCGTTCTAATTTTATTTAAAAAATGTAAAACTATGATGTAAGGTAGACGTGGGGTAGACTCAATAATTTGTTGTTTTATTTTACGTTGCGAATAAATCTTAGTAGTTATTAAAATTGTTATAAAAATATATAATTCTAATAAAAATAGATAAGTTATAATAAGTATTTATTAACACAAACATCCGATACGCTACTGAAGCAGGTAAGTCAAATTAACGTATCTAAATTCTTTGACATCTAATCTTTGACAAGTAATAAATAAAAGCTAAAATGCAAGAAAAATATATAATTTAGTTAATTTAAGTGAATTTCATAAATGATCGGTTTACTACACGTATGTATATTATATAGTCACTTACTAGAGAAAAGTTGTTCCATTATTTCACTCAATTTTTGCCGAGATCTACCGCACGCTACACAACCAACTATTTTAGAGTCTTTTTCGATAAATCGCGATAGTGTCACTGTTAATTTAAGTTCTGCCACAATTTCCATCTAGATTTACTACCTTTATACAACTATCAGTAGTAGAATAAATAATAAATAACGTAAAATCAGCTCCGTAAAGACTGACAAATCCACAAAATTTCAAATCAAATTCAAATGTGTCAAATGAATCGTCAAACAGAACTGTCAAAGATCTCCACCCTAGAGAGCTTTTATGGTGCCTTTTCCGCCCACCATGCATGAATACATGGATAGCATTATGCTCCTTCCAGTCTTCTTATTCAAAGGTTTATATCATAAACCATACTCCAAAAACGCTTCCGGTTGGAGTAAAATGGCGCTAAAATTTGAATTATTTTTCGGTTTTTATTTTATTACTCGTAAGCCAGAGGATCTAAATACTCAAGTGTTTGGTTAAATACAAAACAAAACAATTTCAAAGTTTTAAATTCAAAGTTAGGTTAAGTTTAAATAGCGGACGCGACGCGATCAGAATTCTTTCCGATCCGATAACTATAAATGAAGAGAGTTAATACCACCTCACGTAAAGGAAGTAACACCTGGCCTTATTAACGTCCATGCACGCTATTCGGTTTAGCGATATCTCTCTATTACGCTGTTTATTGTTATTTTACGCGAGTTTATTTTGGCGCACAGGAAATTTGACTCGTTTGCACATCGTCATAAGAAACAATTTTCGTACCACGAATTAGGGACAAGATTTTTATCGGTATACTTATAGGATACCTAATCTGTGGTTCTATCGATACCTGAAGTTATTCTAGTAAAATCTGAATCACCCTGTATAGGCTGCTTCAAAAAAAGTGTGACGGATATAGATCATAGATAACAGAAAATAATCTACTATTAAGATAGATATGAAACTTATTAGTAAAATTTTGGGTCAAAGCGCCCCTCCGTGTTTTTAGTGGAGACTACGTTTAGCCCAGCGCCTTCGCCTTTTCTGCTGTAAATATTTTTTATCTTTATATTTGATTTCAAAGGATTTAGTTTTAAAGTTACACTGATATATTAGTATATCAGAGTAACTTTAATAAAACATAAGAATATATATATATTTTACAGTTTATTAAATATAAATTTTGACTACAAAGTAGAAAGTAAATCACAATATTTTTTGATAAAACTTATAAGTATACCATTTTTACAGTTAATAAATAATAAAACTATTTCTGACTATGATATTTAAAATTTAGATAGATAGAATATTAAAAAACATACCGGTATTTGCAGACGCAGACCCAAATTCAATAAAAACCAAAATTTTTCCTGCGAAAATCGGGCTTTTTTCACAGGAAAGGTATTTTTTGATTTATCAACAATCATTGTCAAGTTGACAATATACAGGGTGTTTTCTAATTAGTCTAAAAAATTGTGGTGTGATTCCTCATGTGTTCTTAAAACAATTTTTATATAACCATTGGTACATTGGGCATAAAGTACTTCCATTCTGATCTACAGGGTGTTAAAAATTTTAAAAAAATCGATATTTTGCTTAAAATAAATGGTACACTACTGCTTTTTTAAAGAAAATATATTTTTTTCTTGACTGGCCATCCTTTTTCAACAAAATTGATCTTTTGACTTTTTCTTGTTCATCAAACGGTTGCCGAGAAAAAAATAAATATACTTATTAAGAGCCCGCCGTAAGCCGTTTTCTAACGACTTTTTATTTTTTAGATTAATTAGGAAACACCCTGTATATGCACATCACAGGCAACCAAAAAAACTAGTAACCTCTAAAAATTATTTTTCCTACCACTAGCGACATACCGTGTTTTTAGTGAGTACTAAATTATTTTATCAAAATTTCACCATATAAGTTTCCAGGCAATGGATATAGATTTAATCTGTCCGCGTCATTTTTAACTTTTTTCGTTTTTTTGTGTTGTTATCTGTTTTTTTGCATAATTTTGGAATTACTGAAGTCTACATTATAATTTGTATCCAAAAAATGTCTCAAACAACTTATCATTATTATTTTTGTGTTTTAGTTCATTACTTTTAGAGAAATTACAAAAATTTGTAGATTTTGATGTAGAATTATCACACTTTCATCAATCACGTAGTCCAAAATGAAAAAAAAATGATAAAAAAAAAGCTTTTTTTAAAAAAGTTACGCAAAAATTCAATTAAGACATCTTTGGCGTCCTAAGATGTTTATTTTTTCAACATATGGTGATAATAAATCGTTAATTTCCATTTATAGACCATTGATAAGCGATTGTATGTATTTATGAAATCGTTTATGTTTGTCTCCAGTGATAAATTGCCTCATCTTGGTCAGAACGCAAGAAAACATTAAGAAATCTCGATCAGTAGGTCTGTAGATTTTACTGACGATGTTGCTAAAGTGTCTATTCGAAACGAATACCCATTACAAGAAGGCCCTGATTTTCGGATTGAAGAAAAAACAAAAAAGAATCTCTAAAAAATAATCCCAAACCAAAAAAAAACAACATAAAATGTATCGATCGAAAGTCTCTTTGACTGAAAGTCATTCGAATTGGAAGAATGCAAGAAGATTGTATGTAAGTAAATAGCACTTATGAGAGAAATATTTTGGTTATAACATCGTAAAATAAAAAAAAATGCGTCGAAGATGGCTGAGAAATAACAATCGATGAGATTTTTAGCAAGGTCAGGCTATAGATGTCATTCACTTGGACCGTATTCTTCTTTATTTTCTAGCTGGCCTTTCTAGAAGGTTCTAATTTATCTTTATATTGAGTAAAAATGATTTTTAAATGGAGTAGTTCAAAATTCAAGAACAAATATTTTATTGAAACTAGAGTGTCCAAGAAAATCCTTTTCTAGTCGTTCTCAAAATTTAAGCAATTTTTTTTCAAATTTTCAATGTACCTACTCTTTTATTTTGGATTTATTTGAAAAACGGTAAAGAGAAAATGTGTTTCTTATTTCTCTTCTATCGAGATCTACCAGTCCTGAAAATATCTGCACTTACTTAAAAGTCTATTATGCTGTACTTTCGGGTCGCTCCCAGGGGTCGCACCAGAGGTCGCACAGTGCTTCGAACATATATGGCTCTAGAGGACAAAAATGCAAAACTTCTCTTTTATTGTAGGCAATTTATTCAAACTAGGTTTATTTGACACAAATGATGAGTACTCCCATTGTACTAAATGATGATGTTCTTAGTCCCACGTTTATGAAAAAAAATCTTATAAATAATAAAAATGTTGTAGCTGTGTTCCATCTAAGGAAATAATAATTTATAGTATAAAAACGGTGTAAGTATTAAATAAATTCCTGTGATAAAAAAGAACTGAAATAACATTAGAACATGTAACTACAATATAAGCCTAATATAAGATAAAAATGTTTTTCTTTAATGAAAAAGAAACATTAATGTTTTATTTAATTAAAAAAACTTAAGATACTATAAATTTACTTTAGGACAACAAAATGCATAGATCGTAACTACTCTGATTCAGAAGAATCACTGTTGACAGAATCTTCCAAATTTATAGTATCTAAATCACAGGTAGATGAAGTATCCTCACATATAAAGGTGCGTATTCATTATCCGAACGAACGAACGAACGAACGAATGAAAGTGCGGTATATTTGGACGGGGACCGAACGCATGCGGCCGTTCGTTCGTTCGTTCGCTCGACCATCCGTTTCGAGTCGGTACATCAAAGGCGTTCGCCAACAAATGCCTCCGGTCTTCTCGTGCGGTCCTATCGTGCGGTCCCCGTCCATACCACTAGCGAACATTCGTTCGTTCGTTCGTTCGTTCGTGCGGATAATGAATACGCACCTTAAGATATTTCTGTATTATAATTTTTCGCTTTGTTACTGTTTTTTTTGTTGGTATGAGGGGTTCGGATGTTAATAGTTACCTCTTTAATAGACCATATCCATATATTATTTTTTCCTTTTCTTGGGTATGAGGTTATATAATAAATTGAAAGATGGAAACTTTTTTTATGCGACGTTTCGCTCCAACATAGTGGGCTTTTTCAGGCACAAGTGGTGTCTCATTTGACAGGAAGGTTCATCAATATCTAATAAAGAACACATTTTTTGAAATACAAATAATGTTGAGTTCTTGTCCTTATGATCAAGCCAAGTATTAACCAGATCGGCATTGCTTATCAATTTTACTCCATCTGAAAAGTATTATAAAATAAAGTTCGTCGCAAGCAGACGCAGGTGAACTATACAAAAATTAAAAGTGTATGAATATGACACCAAAATATTCAATAAATACGATATGTTTCGATATGTTTTTTTTAAATGCCTTTTTGAAGTTTGACAACGTAAAATTTTTATACCCATTTAAGAATCATCTTAAAAAATAAATAAAAACTAAACAATCACGAACTTGTTTAGAAATAAATTTAAAGTGCATACCTTGTTTAACAATATACATAGTGGTTTTCAATTAAGTACGTACTGTTTAACTCCATAATATACAGAACTACTATGAATGTTATTTTTTTCACTGATAAGATAATGATGGCAAAATTTATTTTTAGTGAAAATATCTGCTAACAAAAAACGCTGTTTATGAACAATACCTAGACACTTTTACGCACTAGTGAAATGGACTCTTAATACTAACCCTGTATTATAAATAACTGTTATAACATTATCAATATTCTAATTGGTTAATTCTAGGCTACCAAGAAGATTATAGCGATTCGTCGTGAAGACCAAAGCGTATGGGAGCGTAGGGCACCATTCTCACCAAACCACGTCAGAAAATTGGTCAAAAATGGCATAAAGGTCATAGTCCAACCATCCAATCGTCGTGCGTACCCCATGCAGAACTACCTCAACGCTGGAGCGATTGTCCAAGAGGATATTTCGGAGGCCAACGTCATTTTCGGTGTCAAACAAGTACCAATAGATCAGCTGATACCGAACAAAACTTACTGTTTGTTTTCGCATACTATCAAGGCTCAGGAATCGAACATGCCACTGCTTGATGCCATTTTGGAAAAGAATATCAGGTTGATTGACTATGAAAAGCTCATGGATGAAAAAGGTAAAATTTAGATTGTTTTATCTATATTTTGTAGGTGAAAAATCTGTTTTATGAATCAAAATGAAATTAAAACCATATTTCAAGTCTACAGTCGCTTGAAGCTGAGAAAAAATCAAGTTTCTAATGTCGGGTCCAGACCAAGCAGACGAAACAACGACAAGACAGAAACATTTATGTTTTACGACAAAATTGCGACAAATCCAATGCATTTCTGCGGCATTTTTGTCTCATTTTTGTTTTGTTTCAAAATTCGGAGACTATTCAATGTCCCGTCGCGAGTCGGTAAAGGTCAAAGTGTCTATGTTTTGTTCGTATATTTTACGACAAGTTGTCGGCGTGTGCTGTCAATAGTAGGAGGCCAGTGAAATCACACATAGTTAATAAAACTCACTCGCAACAACTAAACTTTTGACTTTGTTGTACTTTTGTCCTTGCGGTGTGGACAATTTGTCCCAAGTTTGTCTTGTCAGAATTCCTCATTTTTTGTTGCAAGTTTGTCTTGTTTTTGTCTCAAAATTGGGTTTACTTTTTGTCGCCTTGGTCTGGACCCAGCATAAGTTAAAAGTTAAAGCTATACTACAAGTATAGAGAAAATTACAATATTAAAGGAATGCGTCTGGCTATAGAAGCACCTCACAGAAGGTACGGGAGCGCAATATTTACCAGACCCGACATGCTGCTCTCATCCACGAGTAAGAAAATAACCCACGACATTGAAGTGTTAACTATCGAGAGCAGATCATTCACGATAAGCTCCGTATATAAACCCCCTAGCCAAAACCTAGACCTTTCAATGCCAGGAAACTTTAACAACCAGAATACTCAATTTGTTGTGGGCGATTTTAACTGTCACAGCACCACCTAGGGATATGGCGAAACAGATTCCAATGGTCAATTGCTGGAGCAATGGGCTGAGGCTACCAGCCTCTCACTTCCCCACGATCCCAAGCTCCCTTGCTCTTTCAACAGCAAAATTTGGAAGCGAGGTTATAACCCCGATAATTGCTTTGTCAGTAGGAACATCCATGACACCTGCTGCAAAAATGTATATAATGCAATTCCAAAGACACAACACCGACCTATCGGAATCCAAGTCTACTCTACAATCAAAACAACCAAAATACCGTTCCGTAGGAGATTCAACTCTATGAAAGCCAGGTGGCCAGAATACTCCCAAGTGCTGGATGAGGAAATAGCCAATTTGGCCCCAACACCAAGCAACTACCACATCTTTGTTGAGTCCCTGCGAAAGATATCCAGACGATATATTCCTAGGGGCTGCAGACAACATTACATTCCAGGGCTCTCGAATGCCTCAAAGGACACCCTGGAGCAGTACGAACAATTGTTTGCGGAAGATCCATTCAGCGATCAAACCATCACCTGCGAAACAGCTTTAATGACAGCTCTCAGCGAGGCACGTGGGAAGAAATGGATAGAAACCCTGGATAGAATGGACATGTCTCATAGTAGTAAAATAGCTTGGAATCTAATCAAGAAACTGGATGGTGACCCAAAACTAAGCAAGGCCCCTTCCAATGTAACACCCAATCAAGTGGCCAACCAACTCCTTCTAAATGGCAAATTCAACTCGAAACGCCAGAAAACCAAAATCAAACGCCTAATACCAACTGAAAACACCAACTTTCAGAAATCATTTACCATGAAAAGTTGAACAATGGTATAAATACCATGAAGAATGGAAAAGCCGCTGTGATTGACGATGTATGCGTGGAACAGATCAAAATTTCGGTCCTGGAACCAAAAAATGGATACTTAAACTTTTCAACGTATGTCGCGAAACCTTTAAATTCCAAAACTGTGGCGGAAGTCAAAAGTAGTAGTTCTCCTTAAACCCGGAAAAGATCCAGAGTCTCCGAAAAGCTACAGACCCATATCCCTCCTTTGCCATCTGTTTAAGCTCTACGAAAGACTAATCCTCTACAGAATAGAGAAGACCGTCGATTCAAAGCTGATTCCACAACAGGCAGGATTCAGACCTGGAAAGTCCTGCACCAGTCAAATCCTCGCATTGACAGAACATATCGAGGAGGGTTTTGAGAATAAACACATCACAGGGCTGGCCCTAGTCGACCTAAATTCCGCCTATGACACGGTAAACGACAAGATATTACTGCATAAAGCCAATGAGACCTTGAAAGATTACCACCTAGTCAAGATACTCGAATCTTTGCTCCAAAACAGGCAGTTTTTCGTGACGCTCGAGGGCAAAAAGAGTCGATGGCGAAACCAGAAGAATGGGTTGGCACAAGGGAGCGTGCTGGCACCAATTCTTTTCAACATATATACAAATGACCAACCTATTCCAGATAACACTAGAACCTTTGCATATGCAGATGACCTAGCAATAACAGTTGAAGGCAAAGGGTTCGAAGATATCGAGGAGAAACTAGAAAGCGCCCTAAAAACAATGTCAACCTATTACAAAAAGAATTCTTTAAAACCCAACCCCACCAAAACTAAAGTGAGTGCATTCCACCTAAATTCGAGACAGGCGACCCGCAGACTTAATGTTACATGGGACGGGACACTACTAGAACACACAGATAAGCCTACCTATCTTGACGTCGTGCTGGACAGAACATTGACTTGCAAATATCACTGCGAAAAAACACGCAAAAAAGTAGAAGCACGAAATTCCCTTATAAGGAAGCTAATAGTAAATGGGGAGCCAAACCTACCGTGGTCAGAACTTCTGCTCAAGCTCTGTGTTTTTCAACTGCAGAATATGCCTGCCCAGTGTGGTGTAGATCTGTCCATGCAAAAAAGGTGAACATCAGTCTGAATGAAACATGCAGAATAGTGACAGGTTGTATGAAACCCACCCCTTAGAAAACCTTTACAAGGCCGCAGGTTTTACAAGCCCCGATTTACGCAGAAAAGCTCATGAACATACTGAGAAGTTAAAACAAACCTTTGATGCTCGTCACTCAATTTTTGGCCAAGAGTGCGGCACAGGTAGACTTAAATCCAGACGCCGTTTCCTAAGCCACCCCCTGGATGAACCTCACTCCCACTACCTCAAATGGTGTTTCTAGCGACTGGAAAACCTGGAGAATGCTCAACCGAATCAGAACTGGGGTGGCCCCAGTAAAATCCAATTTGATCAAATGGGGTTTGCTGGACAGAAATGACGACAAATGCGACTGCGGTGCCTTTCAGGACATGGAACATCTTCTTCAATGTCCTGCGTGCCCCCACAGATGTACCCTTGATGACCTATGGCTGGCTAAACGGGAAGCATTGGACGTAGCCCCATTACTGGGTTAATAAACTATAATATAATCCGGATACGAAAAAGTAAAGTATAGAGAAAAATCTGAAAACTATACATTTTCTATACAAAAATATAGTTTTTATTTAAACAACGGAATGCGCGGTCATATGTACTTGTATCGTTGAGCAAATCTTTTTGTAATTTTTTTAAACTTTTACTAACATGTATTCCCTTTCAGGTCAAAGGGTGGTAGCTTTTGGCAAGATGGCCGGCATAGCGGGCACAGTCAACATCCTCCACGGCCTAGGGCTGAGGCTTCTAGCCCTTGGTCATCACACACCGTTCATGCACATCGGGCCTGCCCATAATTACAGGAACTCCAGCATGGCCAGACAAGCTGTGAGAGATGCGGGCTACGAAATAGCCCTAGGGCTCATGCCCAAATCCGTGGGACCCCTGACGTTTGTTTTTACCGGATCCGGCAACGTTTCTCAAGGTAACAGCGTCATTTGATATTATCTTTGAATAAGAAGACTAAGGAAGGAGCATATAGTCTGTCCAACGAGAAGATCCTTGACAGTGATAGATGTGTCTGTCATTTTAATTTCAAAGTAGTTTATTTTATTTTACAAAGAAATAAGTTGGTACAACTGGAACGCATAGCAGGATATATTTAAAATTTGATTGACAAGATGACAAGTGATTACTTCAAAATATTGTGAAAAAAACTGTATAAAACTGAAAAAATGTAATCGAGTTATTTTATTTAATAAAAACGGTATGTGTTAATACAAAACAAACAAGAACAAGACACTACATACCAAAGAAATATAAAAAAGAACTATTATTTACTTTGAAGCTTTATGAAACTACCCGCATTTATGATTATATTTATCAATATAACTTATGTACAAATACAAATTAGTAATATTCCACAGGAATAAATAAAACAACATAGGTAAATAAAACAAACTATTTTATTAATAATAACACCTACCAAATTTTATATTTTAAATTGATGTCGATATTTTACAGCTACTCCAGTTTTTAGTATGTGTTTAGTTTGATCCTTCTACCATATACGAGATGCACTTATCTACGACGAAATGGTATACAAACTTTATCGATGGCAACTTCATTGGTGTATAAGACTTTCTGCCTGGGCAGCGAGTATTAACCATAAACTGTGCTCTGGGTCTACAGATAATTTTCACTCGATTTTTCCTCCACTTGACTTCAAAAGACACAAAACACACGTAATAATACGAATCAAAATGCACCATCTTCCGAAACGCAGGGTATTTAACAAAAATTGACACAAAATTATAACCTATAATTTGGCAAGACTTTGACAAGCGTCAAAAATGACAAAAATCTAAAGGCGAGTTCATACGCATTGGCGTCCGTTTGTCGTTCATCGTTCCGTCAAACCAATAAAATTGAAATACGATCTGTCATTTTTTAAACAAACCAATAAAACTGGTTAAAAACAACAAGACACGACGCATGACGGATTTATATTTAAACCCATCCATAGATAACTTAAAAATTATTAGAAACTTTTTTTAGTAAAATAAATAGATCGGTATGGGACGTCATCTGCTTTTCTTCTGTCATCGTCTGTCGAAATCTTACCTGAGAAAAAAAACAGAGTATATCAAAAATCTTAGGTACACCGCGATGGGCCTCAAATATGGCCGACTTAAATTCCGGTTTATCAGTGTCGTTCTAATTTTATTTTAAAAAAGTAAAACTATGAGGTAGGGTAGACGTGGGGTAGACTCAATAATTTGTTGTTTTATTTTACGTTGTGAATAAATGTTGGTAGTTATTAAAATTGTTATAAAAATATATAATTCTAATAAAAATAGATAAGTTATAATAAGTATTTATTAACACAAACATCCGATACGCTACTGAAGCAGGTAAGTCAAATTAACGTATCTAAATTCTTTGACAAGTAATAAATAAAAGCTAAAATGCAAGAAAAATATATAATTTAGTTAATTTAAGTGAATTTCATAAATGATCGGTTTACTTCTTTAGAGTCTTTTTGGATAAATCGCGATAGTGTCACTGTTAATTTAAGTTCTGCCACAATTTCCATCTAGATTTACTACATTTATACAACTATCAGTAGTAGAATAAATAATAAATAACATAAAATAAGCTCCGTAAAGACTGACAAATCCACAAAATTTCAAATCAAATTCAAATGTGTCAAATGAATCGTCAAACAGAACTGTCAAGGATCCCCACCGTAGAGTGCTTTTTCCGCCCACCATGCATGAATACATGGATAGCATTATGCTCCTTCCTTAGTCTTCTTATTCAAAGGTCATTTGATATATAAACACTTATTTATACAGGGTCCGGCAATAGTGCGTCGGGCATCTGTAGCTCCTAGAATAAAAAACTTGAGAATTTTGTTGAAGTGCAGACCTAAAGCATGTACCAGGATGTATTTCAGGAAAATATTTTAACTTCTATAGGGTGGCTCAAAAAAGTGTGAGTGGACCTGATGATTTTTTAAATTGCACCTGTATATTATTGCATTTTTGCTTCCTTTCAGATCACTTTACATAACCCTAAGATATGAATATATTTTTCGATAGTTTCAGAGATATTAATAATAAATAAAATATATATTTTTCAGTCCTTTTCAAAAAAATTATTAAAAATACAAGAACTGTTCTGAAATCAAAACTGTGTTAGGTATTTACTTTAGATGGTCTATTCTTACTTTGCTATAAATATGGTAATCGTAAATCATACAGGATGTTCAATATTTTACGCCAAACTTTCTAAAATATAAAATAATTTTTCTTTGTTTTTTTTTAAATGGAACATTCTGTATATTATTTTTTTTATTAGATGGAGAATTAAAAAATGAACATTTTTTGTATTTAAAGCATTTCAAAATTTTTAATAGTTTTCTGGATACACGCAGTATTATTTCATATGGCGCTTTCAATGGTAAAATACGAGAGAAAAATCATTGGGTGGCTTTGATAAAAATTTACTGTGGAAAATGCCATATGAAATATAAAACCGCAAATACCTGCGAAACCGTTAAAAATTTTGAAATACTCTAAATACAAAAAATGTTCATTTTTTAATTCTGCGTCTACTGAAAAAATAATATACAGGGCGTTCCATTTAAAAAAACGATGAAAAATTATTTTATATTTTAGAAAGTTTGGCGTAGCATTTTGAACATCCTGTATGATTTACGATTACCATATTTATAGCAAAGTAAGTACGGACCATCTAAAGTAAATACCTAATATAGTTTTGATTTCAGAACAGTTCCTGTATTTTTAATATTTTTTTTAAGAAGGGCTGAAAAATATATATTTTTGATTTATTTTTGAATATCTCTGAAACTATCGAAATATATTTATTCGTATCTTAGGGTTATGTAAAGTGATCTGAAAAGAAGCCAAAAATGCAATAATATACAGGGTGTTCCATTTAAAAAAAAATATCCAGGTCCACTCACACTTTTTTGAGCCACCCTATAGAAGTTAAAATATTTTCCCGAAATACATCCTGGTACATACTTTAAGTCTGCACTTAAACAAAATCCTCAAGTTTTTTATTCTATGAGCTACAGATGCCCGACGCACTATTGCCGGACCCTCTATATTTGTTCAAAATAATAAAAAAAATTCTAATGTTGCAGGTTCTCAGGAAGTGTTCCAAGAAATGCCTCACGAGTATGTGGCTCCGGAAATGCTCAGAAAAGCTGCTGAGCACGGAAGTTTAAACAAAGTGTACGGGTGTGAAGTTAGGAGAAGACACTATCTGGAACGAGCTGATGGTGGAGGTACAGTACGTCTGTCCGTTCTGTGGCTACGGGGTATCCGTGAGAGGGGAAACGATATTCTCTCGATGTTTTTCGTAAAAAATTAGACGACGCGTCCCATCAATAAAAATTCGACAAATTTGCAAGTAGGCAATAAAATGAGTGGGCGGGGCGATTTGCGGTGACGTACTCGTCAAGTCGACGTATAAAATATATTGCTGTTTATTTAAATGTTTTTTGTCCGCATTCCTTTCATAGACACAGATCCAGCAGACGAACTGTAAATAGCATTAAAACCAGTGTATACCCATATTAATAAAGTATTAAAAAACGATTTCATTATTTTTTAAGTTCATAATTATTTAGAAATATTCTAAAACTCTATTTTTTGCAGGTTTTGATAGAGCAGAATACGAAGAGTTTCCAGAACGTTACATATCAACTTTCAGCAAGCAGATTGCTCCCTATGCTTCAGTAATCGTGAATGGAATATACTGGGCAGTGAACAGTCCTAAATTGCTGACTATACCTGACGCAAAACATCTTTTAAGGCCAGCAAACACTCCTTGGCTGCCTACTTCAGTCGGTAATTTACCTTACCATATAATTCTCAATGATAATAATTTTCTCATGTCTTAAAGCAACCACATTTGGAAGCACCAAATTTCAAAATATTTTCAAAATACAAAACCTCTTATTATAATACAAAATTGAGCATTTTTTAATTAATTGATAATTAGTTATTCGTTATTTTGTTGTTCAATATAAACAGAGTGTCCCTAAGTCGAAGATGACTATACTTTGCGTATTCTAAGCTGTGAATCGAATATCACAATTCATTTTTAATACTCGTTCAAATGAACGACTTTGAACGAAGTGTTTGCTAAGCTTAACATTAAAATCCACCATTTTCTAGGAGCACCAGCTCTACCACATCGTACCCTTGCAATTTGCGATATATCAGCTGATCCAGGTGGTTCAATTGAATTCATGAACGAATGTACTACCATAGATACACCTTTTTGTTTATACGATGCCGACAGAAACAAGGATACCAAAAGTTTTAAAGGACCCGGTATATTAGTGTGTAGTATCGACAATATGCCCACTCAAATACCCAGGGAAAGTACCGACTTTTTCGGGGATTTACTCATGCCTTTCACTTTTGATATCATCAAGTCTAATGGGGACGAGCCTTTGGAGAAGCACGATTTCAACCCTGTAGTCCATGGGGTGAGTTTATATTTAATTTTGGTGAAATTAGCAAAGCTTCTTTAATATGTTGATTGTTTGTTATTAATTAGGCTATCATTGCTAGTAATGGAAAACTCACTGCAGGATATGAGTACATTCAAGAGTTGAGGAAAGCTCACAGGTAATTTTTTTAATAAAAATACACCTTATTTTTCAGTTTCTTAACATACAAGTAAAGCAAAAATAGTATAAAATCATTTTTGTGATTTTTCTCGAAATAGTATACAATACGTTCGAAAAAAAAAACGGCGTCAAAGACGGCTGGGAAATGGCAATCGATGGTAATTTTGGCGAGATCAAGCTCTATGTCATTTACTTGGCCCATACTCTTCTTTATTTTTTAATAGGGCTTATAAGAAGGTTGTAATTTACAATTTACTTTTATATTGAGTAAAATTAATTTTTTAATGGGGTAGTTTAAAATTTCATCGATTGTTATTCCTCAGCCGTCTGTGACGTCGTTTTTTTTTCGATCATACGGTACTTAGCACTAATGTGACAAGATTTCGAATACACAAATAACTGACACAGGCGGGGCAGCAAAAGAATGTGCATTTTTTAAATGAAAAAAATAAACTTTAAAAAAATAACTATTTTTTTAGTTAAAAATAGAAAAACGAAGTTAAAAACTTTAAAAAACAAATAATGTAACTGTATTATTTTTCAAAAACTCTAAGGTTTATCTTTCTAGGTTGTAGTAGGACTTTTAAATTGGTTACTTTATTTCGGAGTGCTTAAAAAGCTTAAAAAGGGTCTCCGTTCACTTTAATACTGATTTGATTAGTTTTGAAGTCACAACGTATGCAACTAACAATACACTGAACCGTACTAATTTTACGCTCTTTTTGCTCGCCGAATATCAACTCAATGCATACTTTAACATAAGGTCGAAAATAATATGTTACAAAATTAAAAATTAATTTTTACTGATTCAAGTAGTTAGATTTACATACCTCTATGCGTTATCTTATCATGTTTACAAATTACATAACGCTGAGATCGTTATTGCTGAATAATGATTTAAAACATAAACAAACGTTATCTAAAACAAAAACTCTGATTTACTTCAAGATTTTTTTATTTTGATGCAAATATAAGCTTAATTTTACAACTTTATTGATTTCCAGCCGAAGTAAATGTTCTGAAATAAGTAAAATGGAGAAAAACGTCCTAATACTCGGTGCAGGAAGAGTGGCATCTCCCTTGGTTGAATATTTGTACAGGGACAAGTCAGTTGGTATCACAGTGGCCTGCGAAAACAAAGAACTCGGGGATACCTTGGCAGCGACTTATCCAGGAGTGGAAAGTCAATACTTTAATGCTATTGAGTCTGGAAGTTCCTTGAACGAGTTAATTTCACGAGCTGATGTAGTTGTTTCCATTTTACCAGCAGATCTTCATCCTAAAATCGCGAAATTATGCATCAATCAACAGAAACATATGGTAACAGCAAGCTACATGAGCAACGAGGTAAAAACCCCTTTATTAAGCACTAAAAACATCCCTAATATACTAAATTTACAGATTAAAAACTTACACGACGATGCAAGCAATGCTGGAATAACAATTTTAAACGAAGTAGGCCTCGATCCAGGAATAGACCATTTACTGGCTCTGGAATGTATACAGGAAGTCCAAGATTTAGGTGGCAGAATCACTTCTTTCGAGTCTTTTTGTGGGGGACTTCCTGCTCCAGAGTTCAGTGATAATCCTTTAAGATACAAATTTTCCTGGTCCCCTAAAGGAGCCCTGTTGAACACTCTGTCTTCAGCCAGGTTGGTGACATGATATAAAATAAAGTACCTTATTTACAGGCCGGATAGTCCTAGTAGCTAAGGCCTTTAAAGTAATAAAAAAAGAAGAAGAATTTTTGACGTTTAATTTTTTTGAGGTTAAGTTTTTTTCGTGTTTTATTTTTTTTTATTTTCCTTTTCGTAGATATTTAAGTAAAGGACAAATAGTTGAGATAAGTGAAGGTGGGGAATTGATGAGAGCTACGAAAAGTCTTGACTTTTTACCGGGATTTAATTTAGAAGGTTTTCCAAACAGAGATAGTACACATTATTCAAAACTATACGGTATTGAGGATGCAAACACTATTCTTAGAGGTACACTGCGGTACAGTGGCTTCTCTCAGTCAGCTAGGACTCTTCAATTTCTTGGTAAACACTATTTTAACATTTTTATGATTGTTTTTAACTACCTTCTTTCGTAGGCTTATTGGATAGAGAACCTCATCCATCTCTACATTCCCGAGGCCCTGAAATCACATGGAGACAGTTAATTTGTACTCTTTTGGGTTTAGAAGACCCCAACATGTTTTATGACAATTTGAGAACGACAATAACTGAACGAACGGGCAGTGACTATGCGGTGGATGTATTGGAAGAACTTGGCCTATTAGAAAAACAAACTGTTCAAAAATATGGATCACCATTGGATACCATAACACATTATTTATCAACTAAACTGGCTTTGGGAAAAAATGAACGGGATTTAGTTATTTTGAGACATGATATCGGTATTAACTGGCCAGACAACAGAAAAGAAAAACGAGGTGTGAATTTTGTAGTGTATGGTGATGTAAATGGTCATTCTGCTATGGCTAAAACTGTTGGTTATCCCACTGCTATTGCTACCAAAATGATATTAGATGGTAAAATATAAATTTCCATATCTTATCAGCATGTTTTTTGTTAATAATTATTTTTCTTCCAGGAGAAATACAGGAAAGAGGAGCAATTTTACCCTTTGCGCCTGAAGTATACAGACCGATTCTACAAAGGTTGCGATCGGAAGGATTAAACAGTACAGAATCATCTAAATTTTTATGAAAAATGTATTTTTAATGACTATTTTTAATAAAAAAAACATAAAATTCAATTTTCTTTTGTTATAGAGGGTGCTAGATTGTAGCTTGCGAATTAATTCACTATGATTCACTAAATGGCCATGAAAACTTTTTAATTTACAAGAAATAATAAATTAAAAACATGAAATGTTTGAATAATAAATTTAAATTATACAGATATTTTGAAACACCCCTATACACATGTTAAAGAATTTTGTAGTTACCTATACATTGTATATTATCAATATTTTTCTTTGTATTGTATAAAAAAGAATGGATTATTTATTTACGAAAAAACATACAAGGTTTTGTCTCTTATTTCTTCGATTATTGCCAAACAAATTCACATCAATTAAACCGAAGGATAATTTCCAATTTGTACATCACGAAAGCTACAATTTCGGACCAGTGTTGCCGATAGTTGTGGAATTCCGCATTTTTATCTACTGCAGGCAGAAAATAATTTTTCTCTCAAAAGTAGCGGAATTTTTGACCATAAAAAAACATTAAGTAAAAGAATTGGTATTGGTAGACAGAATCCTTGAATAATTTCTCACAACTCAATACGCAATAAACAGTGCGTATAGTGCTGCAATTTAAACTATTTATTTATTTACTGGTTATATATTATTTACTTAGAATAGCATAAAAAGTGTCTATACTAAAATTCACAAATTAGATTGTGCCAAATAGTACTAATGTTGTATTATTACCTATACTTCTGAAGTTAAGTTGTTATTTATAAATATTTACAAGCATGCCAAAAAAATTGTGTTACTTGAAGCAAACCAAAGAGATATTTTTGTTATTATTTGGTGTATAATTTACCAATATTTATTTAATTAAAATTTCTCTATCTCTATCTTTTAGCTTTTTTTGTAGCATGTAGCGGAATTTTCAGCGCGCCGTAGGAATAATGCGCTAAACAATTGGCAACGCCGCTATCAACTCTCTACAGTCAATATGGCGGATCCATTGTAGCATCGGCTGGCCCGTTCAAGAACTGTTATAATTAATTATTCGTACAGATTGGGTTTTTCGCGGTGATCTTTGTGCTTTTTCGTTCGCTCCATCGATTACCCTTCGTCCCAGCTCCATCGGATCGGTCAAAGTTCTTTCGCGAAGCCGCAATTTCGCCAATTGTTCGCGCTAGTCGATCGCAATAAGTATGATTTTTGTTCTTCCGTCCGCCCTGTTTAAAGAAAGGCGTTGTCGGTGGTGTTGATACGGGTGTGTGGAACGCTTCCCAGTGCCAGAGACAATGGAAAACACGTCGGAAACGACGAGCAACCCCATTTCCCAGGGGTGTGGCCCAGATACCTATATTAACATCCAGATCAGCCCTACTACGGGGGGTGAATTTTATATAAGCGTAGACGCAGACAGTACGGTGGACAATCTCAAAAAACAAATATCGAAAAGACTGAAAGTGCCCAGGGACAGGATCTGTCTGCTCTTTAGAGATAAGTGGGTTTCAAAGCCAAAGTACAGTTATTAATTCATTGTCTCATACATGTTTTTCTCGTCTTCTTCCAGACAATTACAAGATGGGAATTTGTACCAGCACGGGATCACGGACGGCTCGAAAATCACCCTTTTACCCAATGTGGAGGCTGGTTTAATTGTAAGTCAATATCACTCCCTTGCTAAAAATAGTTCTAGGTTGTAGTGATGCAATATTAACAAATACCTTCAATGGTAATATATTTTTTATGTAAAATATACGTTTTTTATGTGTTTTAACAGACGCAGAGGCCAGAGATCGGCATCATGCAAGCTTTAGAATCTTTGAACGACTCCCAAGTCAATGAGTTTCTGTGTGGAAAGGCCCCACTCAATCTCAGTATGCGTCTCGGTGATCATATGATGCTCATCCAGTTGCAGCTTAGTACAGTAGCTTCTTCCAATAAGTAAGTAACTTTATATTTTAATTTATATTAATTTTTAATCAGTTTTAAAGTGATTTTAAAATAAAAAAAAATTGGAGCAACTAAAAGCAATTTCTTTTTAATATATTATTTGCAATAATTTTTTTTGTTTTGTAACAATAATCGTGAAGTTTCAATAACAATGCTTATTGTTGATTATTGTATTGTTAATATTATTAATTATTATTTCTAGATATACAGTATGTTCCTGGATTGTCTTTACAAGGGGAAAACTTTTTTATTACTGATTTTTTTTTAAAGAAATTTGCTTGTTCTATGAATTCCATTTATATATTCTAAATTTCCATACCGTATTAGAGAGAAATTTAAAAAAAAAACAAGCAAAAAATGCATTTTTCTCAAAATGTCAGTAACAAACAAGTTTTTCCTCTTGTATAATCTGGGGAAGAGACTGTAGAGTTCTTGAAGTTATTGTTTTAGAATCTTATTTCATAAAATTAACAAAATCTTTTAATTATTTTAATTAAGTTAGTTAAATATAAATATTTATATAAAAATATAAGATGCAAAGACATTGTGTGTTAATAATAATCAATAAAATAAATATCTAATTTTTGGGGAGTTATATTGTCAGGCCTCCCAATTGTGCCCCCCTAATTCAATCACCTGGACCTCCTAGTTTGCAACAGGCCAGCAAAAACCTCCAACACACTTTAAGAAAGCTCTCAGCTGACATATTTGCTGGTAGACAAAGAAACAAAGCAAAAGGTAAGCTTTGTTTTATTTCTTTATGCTTTTTTGGTAATTAGTTATTTAATATTTAATTTTTTTATGTTATATAAAGTGAATTTTTTGATACATTTTTTTTTCAAAATAGATACCTAAGTACAGGTTGGTTTGAATTTTAGCTTTTTTAAAATTAATGTTTGGTAATTTTTAGCTATTTTCTTTTTTCGTGTATTTTTAACTTAATTGCCATAAACTTAACAAGGTCTTTAGGTAAAAAGTGTTAGGTTTTTGCAGTAATAAATTAATGTATATAGCATTCAGTGGACCCTGAAATCTACATAAACATAGTCCCAAACTGCAGCAAAAGTTGCCTGTTTATATTATATATAAGGCTGTACTTAAACTGCCGTTAAACGGTAGCTTACTAAAATGCCGTTAATATGTATGACGTCGTTAACGCAACTAACCTCGACACTGATAAAAGATATAAAAAACAAATATAAATTAGTAAAAATCAACCAACCCCACCAAATAACCAACTAACCAATGAAATTAACACCCTCCAAATAACCAACTTAACCAACGCAACTAACCTCGACACTGATAAAAAATATAAAAAACAAATATAAATTAGTAAAAATCAACCAACCCCACCAAATAACCAACTAACCAATGAAATTAACACCCTCCAAATAACCAACTTAACCAACGCAACTAACCTCGACACTGATAAAAAATATAAAAAACAAATATAAATTAGTAAAAATCAACCAACCCCACCAAATAACCAACTAACCAATGAAATTAACACCCTCCAAATAACCAACGCAACTAACCTCGTCACTGATAAAAATATAAAAAACAAATATAAATTAGTAAAAATCAACCAACCCCACCAAATAACCAACTAACCAATGAAATTAACACCCTCCAAATAACCAACTTAACCAACGCAACTAACCTCGACACTGATAAAAAATATAAAAAACAAATATAAATTAGTAAAAATCAACCAACCCCACCAAATAACCAACTAACCAATGAATTAACACCCTCCAAATAACCAACTTAACCAACGCAACTAACCTCGACACTGATAAAAAATATAAAAAATAAATATAAATTAGTAAAAATCAACCAACCCCACCAAATAACCAACTATCCAATGAATTAACACCCTCCAAATAACCAACGCAACTAACCTCGACACTGATAAAAAATATAAAAAACAAATATAAATTAGTCAAAATCAACCAACCCCACCAAATAACCAACTAACCAATGAATTAACACCCTCCAAATAACCAACTTAACCAACGCAACTAACCTCGACACTGATAAAAAATATAAAAAACAAATATAAATTAGTAAAAATCAACCAACCCCACCAAATAACCAACTAACCAATGAATTAACACTCTCCAAATAACCAACTTAACCAACGCAACTAACCTCGACACTGATAAAAAATATAAAAAACAAATATAAATTAGTAAAATTCAACCAACCCCACCAAATAACCAACTAACCAATGAATTAACACCCTCCAAATAACCACGCTAACCAACCCGCTAAATAACTAAACCAATCTAACAAAAAGAGTGAAACCAATGCAATAAGATCACGCTATTAGCAAAAAAAAATATAAAAAAGTCTTGGTCGGCGTGAGATTTGAACCACAGACCATCCGCTTACGAAGCGATAGCCTCAGCCACTGACCCACAGTTGCTCTTGCAAAAAGCTTAAGGCTAGGCATTACTTTCCGCCGAAATGAACGACGTCACAATATCTATTAACGGCATTTTAGTAGGCTACAGTTTAACGGCTGTTTAAGTACATCGTATATAAAATTCACTACAAATTACGTTACTGCAGCAAAATCCATCTTATCCACTTACATTTGCTTTTTATTGTCATTTTTGTTGCAAATCCCGCATTTTTTCGTAGGTTTTTTTATTGAAGCATAATATTACTACTGACGTCTTATCTATTTCAAATCATTAACTAATTTTAATAAAATAGCATATCTAAAAATCAAGTTAAGATAAAATGTATTTCTAAAAGAACGAGATACAAAACAATGATTCCACTCAATGGACACGATAAGACGGGTTTTGAAAATTTGTCTACGTGTCAACTGGTCGTATACAGGGTGTCCCAAGCTTAGCGTGCATTAGAAGTTCCTCGAGAACTGCAATACCTAGATCGGAGATTTTTTACACATCATTGTTTCACGAGATCTATTGATTAAAAATATTTTCAATATGGCGGCACTTCTGGAAATAGCGGAAAAAACTGCCTGTCAAAAAAATGTGTTTAGCCTAAACTTCAAATCTAGCGATTACCACAGCCACTGTAACATAAGAGAAGATATGTGGTTGTCTGTTTCAAAAATTAAATTGTTCAAATGTCATTTAAAAATGGCCGCAGCTCTCATGGTATTGAGGGATAAAAAAATTATCACAAATATTTTTTTTCGATTTTTCAAAAACTCCACTTTTTTATTTCACTAATGAAAAGGTTTTCCAATTCGTTACTTTTTGATTATAAGGATTTAATATGATGCAAAATATTTAATATGCATAATTAAGATGCAAAACAATAGATCATAGATCTGGCCATGTCATATTGTGACACTTTGTTCAGAAAGCAGTATGTCATCCATCATCATTTCCAAGCCAACTTTGCGCCGTTTATTTTTCTCATACGGATCATACGGTATATTATTAATAATATCAACTATTAGATACACCAGGTGCGTCTCAAAAGTGGCTCACCCCTATAACTTCTTTATTTTTTCAGATAAGACAACAAGATTTGGTATGTTAGTATATGACATAAATTGGAATTGATTGATGTATTCAATTGTTTTCGGTCACACGGAAATGACTACAACTTTTGATTTTTAATTGGCACCCTCGGTATTTTTTTACTTTATTCGATAGAAAATGATACTCTGAATCGAATGACATATGATATGTCAACTTTTGACATTTTGGCATATGGTTTATTTGAAATTGTAACATGCGGTTCATAACGACAATTTGACTCAAAATAGCAAGTGTGTGGTATCAAATTATTCGTAAAAAAATGCTTTTTCCAAATATGCTAATGAACCACCCTCGTTCCATTTGAAAAAATTGAGATATGATTAAAAATACGATTTGAGCATGTTTTAACGGGCCAGAACAAGACAGTAAAAACATTAGACGATCAAATCTATTTTTCCAAGGCTCCTTGATTAAAAATTAGTGTTTTTAATACAGCCATGGCACTCAAGATTGAAATTTAAAATAAAATTTATTTTTGAGTAACTATGTCAAAAATTAGTGATATAATTAATGAAGAACCAGACATACTGAAATCGGAAATTGAAGCAGCAATAAAAAACCTAAAACATCATAAAGCCCCGGGACCAGATCACATCACGGCCGAAATGCTCCAAGCGTCGGGAGATTTTGGTGTGGACATCTTGCACAAGTTATGTAATCTGATATGGCATTCTCACCAATGGCCATCAGATTGGACCGATTGTCCCATAATAACCATCCATAAAAATGGATCTCCAGCCAAATGCGACAACTTTCGTACCATTGCGCTAATTTCACATGCCAGTAAGATTCTTCTTCATATCATTAACGAAAGGTTAAAACCGTATATTCAACCACAAATCCCTCCAGAGCAAGCAGGATTCACAAGAGGTCGAGGAACACGTGAACAAATTTTGAATGTCCGTCAGATTATCGAAAAGGCCCGAGAATTTAACAATCCGCTCTATATTTCTTTCATAGACTATCGAAAAGCCTTTGACAAAGTCAAATGGTCAAAACTATGGATGGTTCTTAAAGAAATGGTAAAACAACAACAAACCTGATGTAGTGAGCATTGGTCGTTTTGAGGTTGTAAGTAAGTATATATATCTTGGGTCACTTATAAACAACACGGAATCGTTAGAGGGCGAAATAAGAAGAAGATGTGAAATGACAAGAGTGGCAGTGCGAAAACTCCCAAAGATATGGCGAGACAAAAACATATCTAAACATTTAAAAAAAAGGCTTGTTCACTGCCTAATATTTTCTATATTAATGTATGGCTCCGAGTCCTGGACGATGAGACAGTCAGAAATGAAAAAAATTGACGCAACTGAGATGTACTGTTGGCGACGAACGCTCAGAATTCCCTGGACTGCCCGGCGAACCAATGAATCCATAATCCAAGAACTGAACATCACAGAACGCCTCTCAACTTCTATACAGTCACGTATGCTTAAATATTTCGGTCACGTTATGGGGAGGGATACTGACTGTATGGAAAAGCTCATTATACAGGGCAAGGTTCCGGGAAGAAGACCAAGAGGCCGCTCGCCCTCCCGATGGATAGACCAGCTATCAAAGATCACCCACAAGCCACTGCACACGCTTGTACATGAAGCACAGGACAGGGAATTATGGAGACAAACCTCACACATCACCTGACCACTACAGTCCTCTTGTAGGAATAAAAACAGAGAAAGAGAGATGTCAAAAATTGACATATGATATGTCATTCGATTCAGAATGTTATTTTCTATCGAATAAAATAAAAAAATACCGAGGGAAACTGGAAGTGACCGAAAACAATTGAATACGTCAATCAATTCCAATTTATCTTATACACTAACATACCAAATCTCATTGTTTTATCTGAAAAAATAAAAAAGTTATAGGGGTGGGCCACTTTTGAGACGCACGTAGTATACGAAATATATTTTTATAAATACACTATTTATAGTTTTAAGCAGGCAGTATTTATGATATTGGAAACTCAAATAATTCGTTTTCTGACAGATAAGGCTAGATAAAATTAAGAAAAATATACGTTTTAAAAGTAAATCTTATATAACTTAAAAACGATTTATTTTATAGTCAAAAAGTAACTAAGAAAAAACCTTTTCACTAGTGAAATAAAAAAGGGGGTTTCAATTTGAAAAAAATGATTTATGATAATTCTTTAATGGCTCGATTCCATGACAGCTACCGCCATTATTATATGACATTCGAACAAATGTCGATGTGCTAAAAATCTCCGATCTAGATAATGTAGTTCTCTAGAACATTCAAATGCACGCTCAGCCTGAGACACTCTGTCGTACGCACTAAAATACAGGCCAGGAGCCAAAAGATTATTTTTTCAAAAAACTCTTCTCTTCCACCGAAGGTGTAGGCGGCAACCGCCGAGAAAACGTCTACTCGGGCACGTTCAGCGGCGCCCTCAGCCCCACGCTGCAAGACTCCCGCGGCAGACCTCGCCGAGACGTCGCCACCATCGTCCACATCCTCAACGACCTCCTGTGTTCGGTGCCCGAGCTGCGCAAAGCCCAGGGCCGAGGCAGAGACGACCTCGGCGACGACGCCGCCGGTGACGAGACGCCCGGGTGTTCTTCCGCGTCTGCGCAGCCGTCTTGCACGTCGACTCCTTGCTGTTCTTCTGCGCCGTGCTGTCCGGAGTCGGCCGTGCCCGACGAGCACGAGCAGAACAGCGTTACGAGGAACAAACTGGACCAGTTGCGGTTGGTTATGGGTGAGAAGCGGGAGAGGAGGAGGCAGAGGAAGCAGAAGCCGTACTCGTTGCCGCAGCATACCGATTCGGATACAGTGACGGCGTAAAAGAGTTTTTTTTTGGGGGGAAGGTTGTATTTGTTTGAGATCTCGAAGTAGTTGAACCGATTGAAAACGAAAACTGTAGAGTTTTGAAAAAAAACTCTAAGGAAGGAGTATAATTAACAAACTTGACAAGGCAATGTTAAAATATACAGTATGCCCCCGGTTTATTATTGACATTTAGAGAAAAATGCATTCTTCAAAAAAATTATGCTTATTTTGAAATGGTTAATCCCGTTTATACTTTTCCAAATTTACTGTTTTAGAGAAAATTAAAAAAAAACATGAAAGTGTATGGTTGAATTATTTTTACCTAACTCCTAAAAATCAAAAGGCGTGTCTATGGTATTATAATTTAGTTTTTATTCTTTGATAGATTGTTATTGAGAGAATTTTAAACTCATATTTTTTGCTGTTTAAAATATTAAAGAGGCACAAAATTTATTTAGTGCAGTGCTATGGAAAGGCTGATGAAAATTTGATACTTTAACAACAGCAAAAAATATGATTTTAATCAAAATTAATAGCCATCTAGGAAAGAATGAATTCGAAATATTACCATAGAAACGCCTTTTGATTTTTAGGATTTTCAAACCATATTTTCATGTTTTTTCATTTTCTCTAAAACGGTATGAAAATTTGGAAAAGTTTAGAACAAGAATATTTTTTTTGAAGAATGCATTGTTCTCTAGATGTCAATAATAAAAATGTGTTTCCTCTTGTAATAGTACGAGAGCTAGCAACGTCGGTAAAAAAAATATTTCTGTCTGGCTCTTTAATATATCATTTACTATACTCTCTAGAACAGCATGCGGCCCGTCTGGCTGCCGGTAAACGTTGCGTTCCCTACTGCGCATTGAAAGAAGATCCTATAATTTTATTAGTCCTTTAAATTCTAGTATTGAATATAAATCGAACATATCTCCATAGCGCAGTGCGTAGAGTTTCCGACCACGAACCGATGGTTCAGAGTTCGAATCCGGGTCCAGGGCAAAGACTTTTATTTTATTTTCGTTTATATTCTGATCGTAAAGTATTAAATATTTGTTTTTATTTAATACTTTACTAGAATTTATAGGACTAAATTAATAAAAAATATAGGATCTTCTTCGGATGCGCAGTAGTGAACGCAACGGGTATCGGCAGCCAGACGGGCCGCATGCTGTTCCAGAGAGCATAGTAAAAGATATATCAAAGAGCCAGACGTCTTAAAATACTTTCTCGAAACCGTTGCTAGCTCTTAGACTATAAAGACAATCTGGGGACATACTGTAGGTTTCACCCAATATTTTGCTGGTTTTATTTACTAGTACTTTTTTAATTGAAAGAAAATATTACAAAATAAAACATTAATTCATTACTTTACATAAAAACACTTTACTTTTAGCACTGGTGAGCAGATCATTAAACCTTATTCAAACTCATTATTACTATAGTCTATAAAATGAATAACTTTGAATTTTGGCCGTTATTTATGACCAACATGGCAAATATAAAATCCCTCTGTCAAAAAAGTTACTGATATTCTTTAAATTGGGTGCCTGAACGAATCAGATAGGTAACCCTTTCTACTTTCTTGAAATAGAAAAGGAAAATAATAAAACAAGTAACAGTTCTTCCTCTTCTTCCAAAATCAACACGAAATGTCATAATTGTCAAAAGTAAAATGTCATCAGCTCTTGACATTTTTAAATATCAGACCAATGCCGTCTCTAATAGAACAGCCTCGGAGCGAGATTTATGACGTCACGCTAGTTAGATACTACGGATTAATAAATATGTTAGAATACATGGAAAACATAATTATTCCTCGTATTTTTGGTTTGTATTTTAAAAATGATATAGTTTACATGAAATATACCGTATGATCGAGAAAAAACGGCGTCAGCGATGGCTATGGAATGAAGATCGCTGTCATTTTATATGTAAATTTATATGGGAAATGTCATTGATGTTGATTTCCCAGCCAACTGGGCGCCGTTTTTTTTTCGATCATACGGTACATAATATACAGTTAATAAATACAACATATATACCTATTTATAGTAATAAATACTTTGGCAAATAAACTATGAAGCATATAAATGCAGCAAATGTTTTACAATATACAAATAATGAATAGGTACATAAGATAATGGGTAAAATGTAAAATATATTTTAAATTTTGGGTTTTGAAAATCGATCTAATTTCACAAAAAACATTCAATATCTACTAATAGTGATGTATTATTTTTTGCATTCACAAAATTTATATGTATATTATGCAATTATATTTGCGAATAATACAATATCATAGAAAAAAACGCGTCAGCGATGGCTATGAAATAAAGATCGCTGTCATTTTATTTGTAAAATTATTCTAAAATTTTTGATTTTCTTGGGATTTGGGTTGGGTTCGAGAAAAACGCTGATTAAGCTTTTATTTGGGTTTTCATTATTTTTATTTGGTTTAAAAAAACATTTCGGCTAACGTTATAGCCTTCATCAGGGTTTTGTCATATGAAAAAAATAGTGTCGAATATAATCCAAAAAATTACATATAAAATATTCACACCACACACCACATAATGTTTACTACAATTAATAAACTAATATAAACTTGTCAAAAGATGACCACATATTTTTTTAAATTATTATTCTTAACACTAAAACTATCTACTTTGACTATGGAGTACGATTTCAGCCAGAATAATTATATTTTCCATGTATTCTTCCAAACCAAAACATTTATTAATCCGTAATATCCAGCTAGCGTGACGTCATAAATCTCGCTCCGAGGCTGTTCTATTAGAGACGGCATTGCGTCAGCATGGCCGCAAGTTGCTAACCTAATAAAATTAACACTAGAAAAGCCCGCGGGAACTGTCAAATTCAAAGTTATTCGTTTCACAGACTATATTAACTAAAAACACTCTACCGGGAATAGTCGTTGAAATCATAGAAAATCCCATGCAAATTTTGAACTGTCCAGATATTGGTTCCCAAGTTAATTTTACAGCAAAGTTGTAAATAGATTTTTAAAAGATCTGCTTATGCTGAATACACATGCCAAATTTGAACAATTTTAGACAAGCCGATTTTAAGTAATTTAAGAGAAACTGTATCTAATTTTAAATTAAAGCTGTACAGTGCAAAATCATTGGAATGTCAACATAGAGTTGAAAAAAACTATTTACGATTTCTCGGATTTATTATGCTTCCAACGACGATGCCACCATGTGCTTCAAAATGGCTACAGTGACATTTCTTCCATATTTAACATGTTAATATTGAAATAGTATTTATTTTACTCCTTTCTTAGACTTTTTGTTCTGTGGTACAGAACAATAATATATTATTATCTGAATCTGAAATGTTGAAGTAGTTCAGCTTGAATAACTTGTAAAAAACTTTTATATTGTATTCATCTTTATTTCGATTTTCAGCAATTTTAACTGTGAAAAAAAACATAATTGTATTTCTTTGTACATTTGAACTACTCGACAATATTTCAATAATTATCCTGTACGTTACAAGGATGACATTTTTGTTTTGTATATGTTGTTTCTATTTATTAATTCGTATTGAAAAAAAAACAGTTTGGATTTGTGGCCCCAGTCAGTGTTACCAATGACAGATCTAGGAATTTTTAATGTGCAATGCTGTGTAGTTGTGGAGAAAGTGCTAACAGAGAATTAACTAATTTTCTAAAGTGGAGAATGAAACAATGACAAAGTAAAAAGTTGAGACTAAATCATCAATAATGATTTTATAATATCAATAACTGATTTCCTTGTTTTTTTTCATTTAGCTGTCACTCACATGCAAAAATAAACGCAACGGGAAAATCTTGGTCTTGTTTAAAATGTTATGCTGGAAGTACACACTTACCCTGACACATTACGCAAAAACACACCAATAAAATTTTGCAGTACATAAATAAATATATTCTGAAGAATAATTTTGCAAAAATAAAAACAAAAATTAGGCGCTCAACGAGATAAATTTAATAACACTTTTTGGAAAATTTGGGCAAAAAATTTTCTTAAATCCAATTTAAAACCGACCCGAAAGTCGAGAAGGAAAATAGGGAATGCAATCCCGCAAACCCGCGGGATTAAAGCAATCAATCCCGCAGATCCGCAAAATTGCGGGATTGTAAACAATAAATGCTCTTCTTTTCTCTCTCCGATTTTTGGATGCGGTTTGGACCAGGTTTTAGACGCATCTATTGTGATTAAGATGCTATGTGGTTTTCGAAAATATATTTAACAAATTCTCGTATACAGAGTATTTTATAATAGTGTTTGGTTAAGAATTTTTTCTACCGAAAATTTACAATTTTTGAAAAATCGAAATTTTAACTATGTACGACTAATCTGTATTGAAATTCGAAAAAACAATTTGGTGTTTTTTTTTAATTTTATGGTTTAAAGGAAAATACGAGTTTTTTCAAAAAATATGCATTTATAGTCATACATTTGGTCCTAAATTAATTGTACATTTTGCATAGGCCCACAATATACTGATATAGCGTGTATCTTAAACTAGCTGAACAGAAATTTGGACCGATGTATACAGGGTGTTCAAAAAATATATTTAATATTAAATAAACTTAAATTTTATTATAATAAAATTTAAATTTAAATTATAATTTATCTACTTATTTTATAAATAAAAATATTATTCTGATGTTGAAGGTTTTTTTTTTAATTTGTGTTAGTTATCTGCTTTTAGATATACTCTATATCAATAATTTTTTGGCATATGCAGAATGTACAAAGCTTTTTGTACCATTTAGGACCATCGTATGACTAAAAATGCATATTTTTCGAAAAAACGTCGTATTTTCCTTAAAACCGATCAAATTGTTCTTTTCTAATTTCAATACAGATTAGTCGTACTTGGTAAAAATTTCGATTTTTTAAAAACTGTAAATTTGCGGTAAAAAAGATTCTTGGCCAAATTTTCACACTCTTATAAAACACCCTGTATACGAGAATTCGCTAAATATATTTTCGAAAATCATATAGTATCTTAATAACAATAGATGCATCTAAAACCTGGTCCAAACCGCATCCGAAAATCTTTTTTAGTTCAAGAGATATTCAACTTTAAATTTACCCTAAAATTTTGCTTGTCCCGATAATTATGTCCGGCAGTTTATTTGATGAAATTGTCCACAAGTACTAGTTAAACGCTTTTCTTCACTTACGCACGCCAGAAAGAAATCTAATACTAACCTGTTTGTTTCACATATTTTTAATGATCAATTCGTAAGGGGAATCCCCTGGTGTCGATCCCGCACGGTAAATCCCGCGGAATCACAGAGGGATCCCGCATTTGCGGGATTGCATTCCCTAGTCGAGAAAATAAAAAAAAACAGTGAAATCCACAAAATCAAATTGCATATAACAGAAAAAGATAAATCCGCCTGTGATTATTTTTGTTTTCATTGTATTTTTTGGTATTATTTTATAGAAGCATACTCATCTACGCTTTGTTTATGTTGATTAACCAGTTAGCAACCCATCAGAGCAAACTCTTTGCCTTCAATTTTCTCGAAAACCATCGCTCTGGGCGGTGTTTTTTTTTAAATTTATGTTTTACCAAACCAAACCAAACCGTTTTTTAAATTCGCCCTTTCAGTGCCCCTAACTCTCTTAATATGCATTTTTCGCCCTATACTTATAGGAACTTTTTTTTACTATTTTTAGGAGTACTATCACGGTATTATTTTTTACATTTATTTCACAACTTGATCTCTATGGACTATTAATTGATATTGTGAGTCATTATTGATATTTTAACATGACTTTTTACTATAAATCTCTATAGAAATGAGTGAAAAAGACTATTTAATGGACTAAAGTCTTCGAAAACCCAATTTGTACACACAAAAAGTTATTCTAGCTTATATAGACTGTACGTATATCGACAATTTGTGTGCGAACTGACATAAGTATCCTTTTTTTCCTTAACTTCTTAGGTCTTAGTTTAATATGTGATTTTTCTGGAGATATAACTTCAAAAAAAAAATATTACAATTTTTAACGGTGCATTTTTTTGAAGTTGTACCTCATGTAATTTGCTAAATGGAATTTAGTTATTAAATACTCTAAATTTGTAAGTAATCTAGTTTAAAAAATTAAAACCAGATAGAGCGTAAGTTGTTTTTAGTTGTAATAAAAAAAATAAATTGTATTGTATCGATTATTGATGAGAGAAAAGTTTTTAAAATAACCTTTTTTAGTTTTTTTTTGTTTTCGAAGTAAGGTGATCATTTTGTTTATGTGATGAGCGGGTTATTTTTTGTTTCCTGTTTATATAATTATGTTTAATATAGTATTTTTAAAGGTTTAAAGTGTCTTTTTACATAACTACCGTTTCTTCTACCCGGCCTGTATTATCCAGGCGGGCTAGACAATCTGTTGAGAGTAGATAAGGACTTGCTCCAGAAGAAGGAAAAGCGAAAACACTCCTTGAAAAAAGGGGAGTAAAGGAACCAAGAAACAGCCTGGCGCATATCCATCAAATAGCCATCGAGACGCCTGCTCTGAGAACGAGAAAAAGCCAGGATTGAAGTCCGTCCAACACCGAGAGACAAGCAGGGACGTATTACCAGCGTTGCCAGAATTCAACGCTAGTGTATATAGGATATAATAAAACTCTTGTGAATACTTTTTCTTCAATGCGTTAATGTGTAACCAACACTTTAAAATTCATTTTTGCTTCTTAAAAATTGGCATATTTAGGTTTATTGCACTTTATTAGCGTTCTCTGGTCTCTGTCCATTTTCCATTATATAAAATCTAAAATAATTCAGTAATTAACATGTAATTAATAAATAACATATTATTTATTTACTATTGCTACACTTGTTTATTTATATAGTTGTCTTTGTCTAATTATTAACCATAGATTACAGTTACATATCTTCTTCTTGATTGATTTTACGGCTTAAGCTGCCAGGACTATACGGCCACCAAGAAGAAATATGACGTATCTGTGGTTATCTATGTTTGGGACAATAATTATGAAAAGAAGAAGAAATACTACTTTTGATCTGTGGATACAGTTCTTTTAAGTCCTGAAATAAGAAAAAGAAGAAGAACGCTGGTGGCGCCATTGTGGAAAAAGTGAGTAAAATTTGAACTAAAATGTCGTGTTTTTATGTGGCTCTTCCAATTTTTCTGATTTTTTAATAGAAAAAGGTATTTTTGTGCATACTATTTGAGTTTATTCTGTTCCTTAAAGCCTGTTTAATCTCCTGAAAATGTAAGTACCCATTATTTTGCCTGTATCAATTACATCATCATTAAAAGCTGATGATGTTTTTCCAAGGTTTTTCCTAATTTCCTGACTTTCTTTTTCGAAATCGAGTATATGGAAATATAGATACTTTCCTTGATGTCCCTGTTGTACATTAAAGATATAGTTACTTACATTAATGCTCCACATTTAGAGATATTAGGTATTTTTTGAACCATTTTTTTTAGTGGAGAATTTTTTTCCCAAATCTGTTATTCGTACAGGCAAACAAGTTTTCTACGTCTTTTGGAACGAGTCAGTGTTAAGTATACTTAAAGGGGCTCCCATTCTCAATATTTATATATTTCAGAAAATATAAAAGAATAAAGTTTATCACCTTTAATTCTAAACTTTTGATTTTCGAGTTTTGACTGCTACGTATACATTGTCGTCATATTTTAGTTAACAATTTCACATCGTTTTGATATATTTAATGCTTTAATTATAATTTTCTTCTTAGGAAGCGTTAAATAATTCACAACAGCACATAATAATCACCCAAAAGAAGAGACCTGGGTCACCTGTTGTATAATCCTGATGTTTGGCCGTCATTCTCGTTTAACAGATTGATTTTCTATTATCAGTAAGTAGGTTTAAATTATTATGTAAAAATTGTTTTAAATGTTTATTAACAGACTAACCATAGTTTTTATTTTTTTACAGGATTTGTACAACAAATTAATGGATGTATACAGTTCCAAGGCAGTACATTTATCCTTTTGATAAATATTACCAATGGCATCAGGACTTGTAAGTATATCTATAATTATATTATTATTATATAACTTCCATCTTAAAATTTCCAAAAATATTGCATTGATTGTATTTTTATGTCTTCAATTTGTATTATTTTCTTTATGGTATCATTCTTCTAATACTATTTTGCTTGAGTAATTCCTTGTACAGAATCTTAGTTTTCATGGATTCATTTTCGTGTACTTTTTTTCAGACCTTCTCATGAATTGTATTAATTTTACAGATTGTATTGATTCGGTTTGCGTGTGGTTACATATAATACCATAATATGGTCGATCATATGGTAACCATATGATCGAATAAAAATGGCGTCATTGGTGGCTATGAAATGAAGGTCGCTGTCATTTTATATGTAAAATTATATGAGAAATGTCATCGATCGTCATTTCCAAGCCAACTGGACGCCGTTTTTTTTTTTAATTTTCGATCAATTCCTGGCGCATTCGCCATTTATTCAAAAACCTGAATTCCACAGGATGATACCGTATGATCGAAAAAAAACGGCGTCCAGTTGGCTTGGAAATGACGATCGATGACACATTTCCTATACAATTTTACATATAAAATGACAGCGATTTTCATTTCATAGCCATCGCTTACGCCGTTTTTATAGCCGCCTGGCTTTTGTAGCATTATTTCCAATGTATTTTCCTAAGTAACATCGACTCTAGAGCTATGATGCTAGCCTATAGCCTCTTATTATATTCTATCTATAATATACCATATGATCGAAAAAAACGGCGTCAGCGATGGCTATGAAATGAAGATCATTGTCATTTTATATGTAAATTTATGTGGAAAATGTCATCGATCGTCATTTCCCAGCCAACTGAACGCCGTTTTTTTTTTCAATCATACGGTATATAGATATCATAATATACTATAATATATACCTATCGTATAATATTTTAGGTACCCTATCATTCACTGATTATTTAAAGTTATAAAATTGTTTTTAATCAAGCTTGTTGGTGAACAAATAATTATTTCTTTATATTTTCTTACAGAACCAAAACTTTCCAGAAGGGTAGCCAGAAGACGTGTTTACCTCAACATAGACATCAGCATGTCCACCAACACCTTGGACTTACATTTTTTAATTATTCTTGTTAATAAAATATAGTGTGCTAATAAACATTAATTAATAATATAAATGAGTTTGATTTGACTAAAATATACCTATTAGAAATACTGTCCAATCGTGAACAATAAGAAAGTCATTTAATTTTCAAATAAATAATATATTTTAATACTTACACTTGTTCTGGAATAGACAGTATTTTATATAAAAATAATACCTACCTTTACCTCTTCGCTCTTATGTACTCCTGATACAAATCCGAGAAGCTTTTGGCAAAAATTGAACGAAAAATTTTAACCCTTTCCAAAATCACCGATATCTATCAGGAACACATAAGTGTGAAGAGGTATAAAGGAGTAAATTAAGAACCAATATTTACCTAGTCGCTTTTATGTACTCCTGATACATACCAAGAAAATTAAATTTTTAACAAAGATCGCACGAAAATTTTTGAAACTGGTCCAAAATCGCCGATATCTATCAGGACCGCATAAAAGTGAAGAGGTAAGGCGTAAATTTAGTACCACATATAAAATAGCATTAAACAACGATATTTCTGCTATCTCTAGCACTTCGACCTCGTTTCCAAACTTCAACCCTTAATATCTCGGAAACTATAAGGGTTAGAGAGGAACGGAACTCGGCATTCGATAGGCATTTCAACCCTCTATAAGGGTGGAAAACGAGGGCGCGATCGGAAACAAAAAATTTTTCTCGGCAAAAATGAGGTAAGGGGTTACCTTCTTTCATTTTTGCCGAAAAATTTTTTTTGTCTCCGATCGCGCCCTAATTTTGCCCCCTTATAGAGGGTTGAAAGGCGAATCGAATGCCGACTTCCGTTCCTCGATATCTCTTATAGTTTAGAAGTTATGGCCGTTTTTCAAAAAAATCTAACTCGTTCGAACTCGTTGGTCAGGTACTCAAAATTTGATAGGTTGAAATTATTTTTGACACATTTTTGCTAAAAGTGAACAATCGTGAATTTTTATCAGGAACATATAAGAGCGAGGAGGTATATTTCGGTACCAGGAGTTAAGCAGTTGCATTCGTCATTTAATATTTAATGTGACAGTAGTACTAAACAAAATGATCTAGTAGTACATTACTAGTACATTTCTATGAGGAACATATTTTTCAATTTTATATTTGTAAAAGAGTAAAATATCTATCTCTTCGCTTCTATATGCTCCTGATAAAAATGGCCATTTTGCCTTGTGTTAGAACTTTTTCTTGAGTTATGCTTCTGGAATAGAAGAAACTCAATGAAAAACGAAATAATAAAACAACATTATTTTACTTAGTACTATTTTTATTTTTCAACCAATACCATCTCAACATCCATTCTGCAAGCACAACAAATCAATAGTTTTCGTAATACTACCACTAGAAGAGAGAGCAGACTTCATACCCAGCTGGAACACCTTTGTCAAAATAATTTTAGCATACTCCTGCATCACTGGCACAAAATCGGACAACCTCTCCAAGAAACTCGCTACCGCGTCCCCATTCTGACTATCCAGACAACTCAGCACCGCTGGCAAGGCTTCAGAAGCAGCCTTAGGGTTGTACTTCAGCCATCTGTTGATCAGCAACAAAGCCAGAGACCTCACAGATGAGTTAGGAGCTTCCATGAGTCCGTACAATGACTGGGCTACACTCTCTAAGAGCTGAGGTCTTTTGTTGGTGATATGGTCAATTTCTTGGAGGGCTCCAAGACTGTCGGAAGACTGTAGAGATGTCTTAAGTTGGGACCAGTGCTGCGGGTAGGATTCTGGAAGAGGGGGATTCACCGCGCCTACCAGTAGTTCAGATGGCACCTCTTGATCGGTTGTTGGGAGGGAAACGCTGGATAGAAGAGGTCTAACGCCGGGTTGGTTGAATTGGATGTCGCTAAAATATTAGAAAAAAATAAAAAATTATTTAAATTCATATTTTTTTTTAAGTTAACTTACTTCAAAATCGATCCATGCTCCTGTAAAAACTTAGATGCCCCTTTTACATCGTTCACCATCCAATTCTGTACAAAACTCACGATTCTCTTCACAATCACCACCAATTCGGACCTCTGACTGTTACACTGCAACAGCAAAAAGTACGAATCCAGTAATTCACACAGGGTGGCGTTTTGTTGAAAGATATAAGGTTGAAGTAATTCCATAAGTCCCAAAACTTGTCCAAACAACGTGAAGTGCCATCGGCTTTTTAAAACGCTCCAATCAAACTGCGCCCGGCCTTTCAAACTTCCCGCCAACATGGGTAGTTGACGTAAGACGAGCAAGGGATGGGTAGCTGTCAATTTTCTGGCGAACAGTTCCAAGTCTTGGCTTTTTCTTGGCCAGTCCTTTGACCTAGAAGAAGAAATGTTACTGTTTAAAATTTATATCTGCCTCATTCCTATAACTTTTTAACTTATTTTTTCATATTAAAAAATGAAATTAATATAATATGACATAAATCAGGATTGACTGACGAATTCAATTAGTTTCAGTACTACAACTATCGATAAGTATTGATAATTTTGAAGTCACCAATTGCTAGTCGATATATCGATAATTATCCATAGTTATTGATAGATCAAAAAATGTCATCCTTAATCCTAGGTGTTTAGGATAACAAGTAGTCTTATATTTTATGAAATTATATAGAAAGGTAAAAAAATAAATTTGATATATCAATAACTATCAACATATCGGAAAAATACCATCCTCAGTCACGTCCTTACTAACTTAGATCTTATAAGGTTACTAAAAGTATCGTCAAGAACTATCGACGTTTTAAAAAAATTATCGATATGTTTATACATCCCTACCTCGGAGTCGCAGCTAGCGCACTAAGCAAACAATGCGAAATCTTGTCGATAGTGCTGGAACAGCTCATCTTGGATATATTCAGCGCTGTCTCTGGCTTGAACTTGATTTCGTTCTGTCCAGAGTACGGCAAAGACATGTAGATCATAATCAGCAATTCTCTGCTGTAGATGTTTGTATCCAAGTCTTTGACCAAGTCTCTGACTATTACTGTAGCGTGGTTTCCGATGCATTTCAACAATAATTGAAGGCGAATCTCCATTTTTTGTTTCCAGTTGGTCTGATGTATTCTGGATTCTTCCAGGATATATGCCACAACAGTTTTAACCTTTAAAACAAGCAACGTTTTAATAACAAGAATATAAAATTAAATTAATGCTAAAAATGAGTTTCCTTGTATATTTAAAATAAATATACTGACCTGGGATTCATTTAATTGTAAAACATCCTCTGAATGATAGTGCTTAGGCACAGCCTTGTCTCTTCCTTGCCACAATTTTGGACTTTTGATCAGCGCTGTCAGAAAATCTAGAACAGCTACTGGACAAGAGTTATTGGTGTCACCAGATAAAAGGTAGAGAACCAGGTTTTGCAGGCTATTCCAACTTGCTCTTTGTAGCAAGAGTGACATGAGGAGTGGCCTAAAATGTAGCTCGTTTTTGGAGAACAGTAAGTCAACCTAAAAAAATTATCATTTAAAATCATAATTTTTTTAAAATTAATTTCAAAAATAATTTAATTGTGTTAAAAAATCGTTAAGTCGGTCATATAGAAACTAGGAATGATCGATAATGGATTTTATCTATCGATAAGTTCTAGCAATTCACCTAGCGATATATTTTAGTTATCGATATTTCTATAATTATCGATATACCGACAATTATCGATGCAGAATAATCTATCGAATTACCGATCGATTTTTTTTCGATATATTGATAACTATTGGTCTTGATAACTATCTGTAGAAAAAATGTTCTTATGAAATTTTAAGAAAAACTGAAAATATACATTTTTATCAATAATTCTGAAATAATTTGCTATTAATACATCTAGAGGTGACAATACATCGATAGGTAACAATATATCGATACGCTATCGATATGTCGATAATTTTAAAATCACGTATTGTTATTCAATATACCGATAATTATCGATATATCGGAAAAAATCCCATCCCTAGTTGAAATGTCTTTGTGATCTTGCCAAGTTTGTTTTGGGCATAACAAAAAATGTAACAAACTAATATTATAAAACAAAACGTATAAACTTTTTTTACCTGTATTTTGTCCTTTGCCGAATTTGCGATCTCCAGTTCCAAAGCGGACAACCAATCCACCAACAGTCCAGTTTTTTCAGCCTCGTTTTGATCCTCCAACAAAATCTTCCCTAATTTCTCTCCCAAACTCTCAGCCCTACTCAACACTTCTTCAGATTTAACATTAGTAATCAATTCTTCCTTCTTCACGATATCCTCCAAGTTCAGTTGAGGTTTAACATCCTCCTCCATTTTCGTACATTCACTCAGACAATACCTCAACACCCTGGCAGTACAGTTATTTGAGGGAATCCCACTCAAAAGCTTGCTGATAAATTGCTGTTTCTCCGTGTTGAGGGAATCCCTGGAGAACATCAGGGAGAACAAGGTGGAGAACGAGTTATATTGAAGGATATTCGGGAGTATTGTACTGATAGGAACTGTCTTGATATAGTTAAAAAGAAGATCCCTAATATATTTTTTGGATTTAATACTTTTTACCAGGCTCAAAATAATTTTGTTTTTATCTCCACTGTATAGAGAGTTAAACAAAACATTAAGACTCTCCCCAATAGCTTTATCATTAAGATAAACCTTTTCTTTCTGATTTACTACAGGGAGTTGTTTTTTAACTTCAACACTGACACCAATGTCAACGTCAGGAACTGGGGGTATATGCATTTCGATGGCTTTGACAAATATGTCACCTCCTACAGCGCCTCTTTTATTCTGAACCTCCACTAACTGAATCATGTACGTTTTATCCAGTACCGACTCCATGACAAGTTTTTGGTCTAAAATCGTCGCTTTGTCCAGAGTATTTAACAGTTTGCTTATAGAACTGGTAGGAATGCCAAAAGACTGAATGAACAAAACTAGTTTTGGTGCTTCCAGTTTTTCAATTGCCGCGTCAACTAAAGTCGATACATTTGACCTAATCATTCTTAGCTTCATCCAGTCAGGCAGATATGAAGTTGTTTCGGATGTATCAGGTGAATACGCTCTTGGATGGTCCATATTCAAGGGAAACCAGGTGTTTAAAAGAATATTAAACGGCTCAAAGTGCTCCAAAGGACCGTAAGTCAACAGAACTATCGCCGCGTGTATGACTAAAGGCTGCATAGCGCATTGTTCTCCAGTTCCCCAAGAAACTATAACATAATCGTTAAAACCCTGATGAATGGCGTAGGACTCTTCAGCATGAGCTTTCGCCTTCAACGTGTACAAACAGAAAATCTGTAGCAAGTTTTTCAAAGTTGTGCTGTTCTTTCCTGGTAATACATACGAAGCTACGCTATGTCTTTCAATGATCACCGAAGATAGGTCCGTTATAAGTTCGTTTAAGTCTGCGAACGATTCATAACAATCCCTGGTAGCTAGGAAGTTAATATAACTCGATACTATAGCGGGGTTCGTTTCGATCTGTAGGGCCTGTCTCAAAACTTGAGCTAGCATGTTTTTTATGACTCCAAAATGGACGAACTGAGTTATGTACTGAGATAACCAGTTAATATATGTTTCTGGTGATCCTTCGACCGTAACTACGTCACTGGGTGCAAGAATCATAGCCAGGCCTTTAGTGGCTTGGGCTCTGCTAGCTCCATGGTCTGAAGCAAGTCTTCTGAAAAGATATTCTAAAACTTCGCCGGCTGTTTGAGGGTCTGGACCGTTCACTACTGTCCGTAAATGAGCTAATAGCTGACCGTGTTTGGTCAGTTTTTCGGCTGGGGCTGTGGACAGGAGGTATTCGCAGAGACACTGGACTGGGAGGTGGGATAAGACGCCTTCTGAACTGTGTACGAGTTCTGCTAGCCATGGCATGTGAGCTGTACCTATTTGGAATACAACGAAACTTTAATTTTAAGTTTTGGATTGGATTTAGAGTAAGATAAATGATAATAATTTGTCGTACATTTGAACTACTTTTAATAAACCAACAAAAGTTATACAGGGTGGTGTATAGTATCGCTTTGTAGTAGCACGACTTTAACAGTTGATGGAAACTTATTTCAAGTCATTCTATGTCATCATAACGTCAAAAATTATTCATTTTCATAATACTCAGTGTTAAATTTTTTCAAAAATAAAAATTGAATATTTTTAATAGTATTTAAATTGCTAGATATATTTAAAGAGGTAAGATCTTTCTAAAATTATCAGTGGCACCTACTGATACGAATAAAAATAAGTTTCGCACTTTTTGTGTGATAAATTAATTAATATCTCATAATTTACAAACGTATGCAGAACATAAAAGGAGGTAAAATTGCAGAGCTCCAATAAGCTGTTAAGAATTTTTCAGAGAATAGACAGTACTAAAACGTTTTTTTAAAATTTCTACAAAAATTACAACAATTTTTTTTGTGAAAAAAACAGTGAAGTGGTTCTAGAGTCGATCTATACTACCTAAGACTTTCTAAAACTAAAGTTTCTAACCTCCCTGACGAGACATGATGTCCAAAAGAAAGTCCGGATGCCTGGACTTGCAAAGCAAGTGTCCTAACCTATGCGAGTTGTTCAGCGTTTGCAATATGTCCAAAATAGGGGGAGGAGGTCTCCTGGGATCCCCTTGTGGATTCAACTCCATCAATTGAGGTAAAAGCAAGCTAGTTTGCTCATTTATCTCGGCTTTAGTGCTGGCTGCAGCCAAATGAGACTCAAACTCCAAAATAGTTTGTTTTTCTATTACTAGGACTTGCTGTTCTTTTGATTGGAAGTCTTCTTCCAGTGATATCATTGTGGGTGGTGGATATGAAAAATAACTGAAGAAAAAACAATAAGTTAGTTAAGGAGCGTCTACCAATTGTGAGGATTTTTTTTAATAAACATCCCCTTAGTAAAAATACAGAAGAAATCTGAAAAAAACTTGGGTACTTACTTTGTTATACACATCTCCATAAACATCTTCAATGTCGGATACTTATTCCAAGCCAAATTCCCTATAGTTAATGGATTATGTGCTGCCAGAATCAACAGCATCAACCAAGCCTTCCAGTACAAATTCGAGATAGCTAACTTGGGTGGAACGTACCCATGAGGCAAAGTAATGTTCTCTGGGTAGTTATAACTACACAGATTAAAGATTAAATCAACTATTTCCAACTTATCCACGAACAAAGGTGGTTCCAGATCGTTGGGTAAGTTTGCGGCTCTTTTAATGAGTTGGTCAACGATATCGACGATTTCTGTGGGCGTTATGGGGTACTCTTTGTTTATACCGATGAGAAGTACCCTGAGTAGAGTGGTTTGTAGTAAGGGAACTTCACTGGCTAGTCTTAGAAAAAGATTTCTTTCGTTCTCGCCTGGCCAGGAGTCCACTTTGTAATAATGTTCGGCTTGTTCCAAAAATAGTACCTAAAAAGAGCGAAAACGTTTTTTATTGATATAAAAAGAGTCAGCTAAAAAATTATAATAGAAGAGCATCAGAAATCGAGTAAAACTACTTCTTGTGCGCGTGGTACATTTGAACTACTGCTAAAAAATAACGACTGTATTAGTCTAAAGAGTTCCTCAACTTGTACAGTCTGTCCAGCAAGAAGATAGCACAGTGACAGTGGTCTGTCATTTTAACTATCAGATTAATTGTATTTTCTGTCATTTTTTAGATGTCTTGTGTTCAAATTTTCAGTCTCAATGGACAGACGTTTTTTAACAATTAAAAAGAGATAATTGAAAAGGTACATGCTTGGTACATTTGAACTAATATTAATCAATCTACAAATAACATTTTATTAATTCACTAACAAATAAAAATTATTTCAGAAGTATTTAATATTTCTAAAGAATTTTTGTAAAGTTTTTTAAAATATAAACTACACAAATGCCTTACCTTAAGCAACGCATGATGAAAATCCGCAATATTAGGCCTGTAAATCTTCAGAGCATACTCATGCAACCATATAATGCACTCCCTCTGTATATTCGCCACTTGTTTTTTGAAAGCTTCCAAAACAGTGACGTCACGCTTGCTCTGAGTCGCTGCGTCCCTCACTTGGGGACTCACGCACAATAGCATACACATAGCACTCAAATCGACCAATGAGAGGAAGATTCTTTCTCTGAACTCGTGTTCTCTGATGGTGGGGGCCAAATCAGGCCGTTCACGAAGCAGGGAGTGTACTACTGTGAGTAAATTGAAGTCATGTCTTAAAACTCGGTTTATTTCTTTTAATAAAACTCGTAAGGAGCGTAGATAGTCGTCTTTGTTCAACAGCAACTCCTAAAAATTGATTATAATTCTGTAGATTTGAGTAAAAATATGTACTATAGAGTTATCAATAAAAGTTGGGATGCAAAAGCATGTCAAATTGTTAAAAAGTTACTATAAAAGTTATTATTCTTACCAAGCATATATCTGCTAAAGCATCAGCTGCTTGTTCATCTTTAACTTGAAACAATGCTCCAACTACAATCAGATTATTTGGGTTCCTTGCATTGCTGAGTTCATTATAAATAGTATATTTCAACAAAGGATACAGATTTTCAGGAAATGCTACTACCATTTCTCTCAAACAATTATTAAAGTAGTTTACCATAGGTTTATTTTTCAATCTTAGCTTGCTCAGTTGAGCTATGACCTCTAGGTCTCGTTGAGAATTAGCTGAGCAATTGTAGCAAATGTAAGCTAGTAATTCTTGAGCAGGTTTCATCAGTTTGTGATTATGTAACCAGGCTTCTATGCGAGCTACTCCAATAATTCTTATTTCAGTCAAACCACAGGCTGTGCTAAGAAATCGTACAAAATTCTTGCTTATGGTTTCCGGTTGTTGTCTTCTAGCCAGCAATTCCCTGATTGCTTCCAGAACAATTTGTTCAACCTTCTCTTGGCTATGTGTGAATCTAGGAACTATTTTCGTGAACCAACTTTCAACTATAATCTTCTGTTCACCAACAGCTAGGGAAAAAATTAGTTAGAATCCAAAAAAATTAAGAAATGTTAAAATTACAATCATCTTCATCGACACTGTTAATTGTCAAGGGACTAGAAGTATCTCTAGCTGCAGATGTCCATGTTTCTGATTTCAGAAGCGATGATGGTGGTAGTTTGGTGTGAAAAGCTGTCACAACATTATCAACAAACGGTTTAGCAAAAGGACTGTCTATTATAACTCTATCACCAATTGCATCCTCAACATACAACTATAAAATGATTATATATAAGTACATATAAAACACAAAATAATAAATTGTACCTTGACAAAAATCTCAGGCCAGTTATCTTTATCAGCAAACCCAAAATAAATCAGATTTAAAAACATCTGGTCAACATGCGAATTACTCTTGTGAATGTTCTTCAATCCTGCATTTATATCTCTTCTCAATACACTGACCATAGCGTTCACAGTAATCTCACTTGTGAAAACATCTGATCTCAAACTAGCTATAGCGCACAGTATAGACCAAACTACTTTACATGGTTTCGATTTGCTAGCTTTCAGTAGTTTTATTAAACCCAAAATATATCCAGACTAGAATATGTAATTTATTAAAACAATACAAAAAATGGTAAAAATCAAAAGCCTTACAAGTTTGTCTATATTCTCTGTTGCTAGAAGGGGAGTGATTTTATCAAATAACTCACCAACTTCGCAGTCAATACCTAATACTTCCCACGGTTCTATTCCTGGAGTACCTCCTCCCATCCGATCAATAGTAAGTAAACTTGAACCTGAAGAACTAACTACTCCAGGTCTGGATACTCCGGGAAGACCAACTTTTAGCTTTTTGGTTGGAGGCACGGTTAAACTTGATGAGCTACCTTCCCGTTTTAACTTATCTGCTGTAACTAAGATTGATTCACACAAAATGTAACTAAACAATATAACTAGTAAAATATATAAAGCTTACCACTGTTGGAAGATCCAAGCGAGGTAACTGATGGTTTCGGCAGTGGTATTGGTCTTTTAGAATCATCTCTAGAAGTCCCTGGTTTGGCCCCCAATGCAATAAACGAATCAGGCATTTGTTGGGAGATTTTTGATTTGGGACCTCTGGTCCCGGTCAGCGATTTGCCTCTGTCCATATTTGTTATAGTTTAATACATCTAAAATTGTTGATAAAATCAGAAACAATTATTAACTAATTAATCACATATTAACATAAACAGAAAACATTTCAATAAAAATTCAAACTTTATTTTGACAAGTTGACATTTAAATATAGGGTTAAGTTTAAATTCTTTTCTTTTCATTCTTGATTAGTTTTAAGGCCTGAGCTGCCAGGACTATACGGCCGAGTCTTATATTTCTTCTTCTTGGCACAATTTAGGGCAATTAGCCAGGTAACTTTTATTTTTTTTGGTTGGTTATGCTGACAATTACAAAAGCCTGAATTACTCAAAAGAAGAAGTATATTTCTTCTTCTTTTTTTAATGTATGGGCATTTGTTATATACCCATTAGCCAGTTTTCTTTACATGGGCTAGAAAACTATTTAAGCAAAAAATTATATTATGAAAAAGAAGAAGTAATAATCAGTAACCCTAGATTTAGTTGCACAACAAATAATTCATTTACCAAACTCGAAATTTTGCTCGAAAAGAAAAGACCTAAAACACATAAATTATTTGTATTTAATTCTTTATAATAATTTTATAGACAATGAAGACACCAGTGATTCTTTTAGCTTGTGGCTGTTTCAATCCAGCAACTAATATGCACCTTAGAATGTTTGGTATGTAAACTGTCTTACAACATTTATTTTTATTAGTTTTTAGTCTTTTTATCATGAAAAATGTAATTTTAGAAATTGCAAGAGATTTTTTACATCGAATAGAACAATACGAAGTGATAGGGGGAATAATATCACCAGTTCATGATGGATATGGTAAAAAGGAACTTGAAGCTGCTACTCATCGGTTAAATATGATCAAACTGGCATTGCAGGGCAACGATTGGGTTAAGCTTTCAGATTGGGAGTCTAAACAAGAGACGTGGACAAGAACAAGACAAATTCTACAGTATCACCAGGTAAATAAAATCTTTCGTTTAATCTTTTGCTGAGTCACATCTACTTGTATTGTAGAATCATCTTAATGCTTATTTACATACATCAGATTATAACGTTGACGTTAACGAGGAAGATTTGAAGTGGATGCCTGATAACATTCGAAAACGATGTGGAAATAAAAGTGTTATTGTAAAACTCTTATGCGGTGCAGATTTGTTGGAATCCTTTGGCACACCGGGTCTTTGGGCCGATGAAGATGTAAATTTTATTAATTCTAAGTTATTTTTTAATTTAATAAGTCTTTTTTTAGATTGAAGACATTGTTGGGCAACATGGGTTAGTGGTGATAACAAGAAGCGACATAAATCCAAGCGAATTTATATATAATTCTGATTTGCTTACTAAATACATGGTAAGATTATTCTTTGATTAATTTTAGACATTTTTAGTAATGATTTTTCTTTAGTTTAATATAACAATCGTAACAGAATGGATCAGAAACGAGATTAGTTCTACGAAAATCAGAAGAGCACTTAGAAGATCTGAATCAGTTAAATATCTCATTCCAGATGATGTTATTGAATATATTCACAAGCATTCCTTGTATGGTTCAAAGAAGACGTGAGTATTACGATTATTTATTACCTATTTTATATAAAACATCATTTTTTCTCTGCTTACCTTGGATCATAGTAAGTATTTATCACCGAACGACATATTTGACACATCAACACTCATACCATCTCCATCAGACAACCTCATGGAGTCTCCTAGCCCCACTAACTGTCTTCTCATATGCAATAACAACTTATTCAATCGAAACTCGCGTTATGACAAAATGTCTATCGACACTACCGAGTCTTTTAAAAGTCATACACAAATTCCTACCATCAGACATCCAGGTCAGGCAGTGAAAATTATCACCGACTACGAGGGAGTTCACAAAATGCTCCCCAAAGAGGAGGAATTAAAAATAAAAGTAAGTTTGGGCGATTTTAAAAAGAGGTTGGGTATAAAACAGTCTAAAAGTTGTGCCAGTTTTGATGAAATCGAGACACAAATTAAACAAAGCAAAGAAATTGTCAGTCTTAAAGAATGTAAGAGTTGTGATGAGAATTTGGTAAAGTTTATCTTCACTAAGCACGGTATTCAAGTGATTAGTGATGTGGAAACTATTGTTTAATTATCTATATGTTTGGGTGCTCTTCAAAAAAAATAAATAAATAAATAAAAATCTTTCTGTGATGATAAATGGCAAAAATAGCTAATAGCCGGAGAGCTGGCGACATATTTAGAGAACATATTTTAGGCAAGTTAGAATAAAAAAAAATAAAGTTTAATAACTTGTGAAACCAGAATCCTAAGTCTGGCTGGGGTGTTGGGGGTATTTCATTACTGCGCAACCCATAACATTTGCAAAAAAATAAATCCAAAAAACATTCTTTAGGCAACTTGAAATTTGTTTATTCTTAAATTTTAGCATCTATTTAACCTGTGTGCCAGACTTTTTTTCGGGTTTAAAGTGTAACCAGACCATTCCAAATATGTTTAATTATTATACCTGGAAAACATACTTTAGGCATTCTAAAATTTTTACAGCGTGTTTATTAGATGATATTAAAAAATATGTATTAATTGCCAGACGAATTTAATGGGATTTAATACTTGCCAAACGTGAATAAAGATTTTAAATGAGCGCGACAAAAAAAGTCTTATGAGTATCTATAAGCGCGAGAAAGATAGTTTATTGAGACCCGTCGGCAGCCGGTGCGGCTGACGTAACAGTATTTTGGAGTACTTCAAATTTTCATAAAAACAATTTTTTTTCGGTTTCATTTCAATTATTTGCAGGCTTTTAATTCAGAGATTATTTTGTTGGAATTAAGTTGCCATGTACAAATATGTATTTATAAATTAAATATTGATGTGCATAGTGTAAATAGTTTAGAATAATTACTGCAAATAAATATTTTAGTAACTACTAATTTCGCTACTAACTACTAAATCACAATGGATAAAAAAACATTTAAGTTGTGTAGTTTGTAAAAAGTTACTAGTGACAAAGTTATTGTTTTTGATGAAGGCAGACTACAATAATGCAAAGAATTTTTAAAAGTGCGCCGACATCATGGTTTAAAATTTAAAGAAGTGGTTTTACCAGAAAACGTAGTGCCGACAAAAGGGTACCATGTACAACTTAACAAGTATAGCTAGAGACGTGAGAAATATAAAATAACACGCGACCGGTGCTATCCCCAAGTCTCTTCCTATATTTGTTTAACAGTACAGTGCTAAAAAAATAAGTAATCTGGAATTTTATTAAAGTACCATTGTTAATCTGTCTAAATATATTCAAAAGTAAGTAAAAGTGCTTTACTTTTATGCTTAGGCGTTAAAATGACTTTTTAATATTGTCAATCAGGTCGCAAAAATTAATAATAATATAATATGTCACAAAAGTATAATAATAAGTATACTTTTGTGACGTTTGAAAAACATATATTTTATATTATGCTAATTTTTAAATAATTATTCGTTTTTTTAATCTTTCAGATACAAAATACTTAAATTAAAAAGTCTTCTTATTGAAAGGATTTCAATCATACATTTTTATTAAAAAATGTTTCTTTTTTTTATCCAATATTAGTTAGTTTTTTTAAGTTTTTACGACTCCAAAATGCTGTTACGTCAGCCGCATCGGCTGCCCCGGGTCTCAATAAACTATCTTTCTCGCGCTTATAGATACTCATAAGACTTTCTTATCGCGCTCATTTAAAATCTTTATTCGCGTCTGGCAAGTATTAAATCCCATTGAAAACGTCTGGCAGTTAACACATATTTTTTAATATCATCTAATAAACACGCTGTAAAATTTTAGAATGCCTAAAGTATGTTTTCCAGGTATAATAATTAAACATATTTGGAATGGTCGGGTTACACATTAAACCCGAAAAAAAAGTCTGGCATACTTATTTCTAGGTTAAATAGATGCTAAAATTTAAGAATAAACAAATTTCAAGTTGCCTAAAGATGTTTTTTGGATTTATTTTTTTGCAAATGTTATGGGTTGCGCAGTAGCGGAATACCCCCAACCCCCCAGCCAGACTTAGGATTCTGGGTTCACCAGTTAATAAACTATACATTTTTAGTTATTCTAGCTTGCCTAAAATATGTTCTCTAAATATGTCGTCAGCTCTTAGGCTATAAATTAGATTGTTTTTTTTTTGGGTACATTTTTTTAATTAAATCATGGCCTAGATGTGTTAGGTAAGTATATTTATGTGGTTTTTATATGTTATAGAAAGTAGTAATATTGTTTTATTAATTTTTAAATTGATGTGCGCTTGTAATGTTTTTTTTTCTAAAATAAAAAATAAGCGAAACAAATATTTATTTCTTGGAATTTAGTCTCTGATATAGCGCTTTTATTAAATATAATATCTCAAGAAAAACGAAGATTATTGGAATGTTTTTAATTATTATTTGTCAAAAATGAATATGTAATACCGTAGGTTCAAAAAAAAACGCGTAAAGGGCTCGAACGGACTGACGACCAGGTCGCAATGACCTGGCCGTCGCGTCGGCTGGCCGGATGTATTGCGTTTTTAGCTGCGGCCGAATGAACGACCAGTTTCAACAGAGTTGTCAAATCTAACAATTTTTTACGTTTTACCCATTAGAAAATATTGTTTCAGAAATGTTAAAATATCCGAGTTAACTTAAAAGCGAAGTTGCTATTCACAACAAACAAAAAGTATTGTGTACGCGCGACCGACAAAAAGGGAGACATTCTGTTTCTTTTTTCTACTGATATGGCGCCCTTATCAACTTTAGAAGTAAACATATTAGGGCCATCGTAAAAAAAGATCGTCAGACACTGGCTCTAAATATAAGCAGGTAGAAAGTTTAGCTTCCAGTTATTCCAATGTTTACAATATAACGAAGAATCAACAACAGTAATTACTTCTAATTTATTTCTATGAATGTTTAAGTTACTTTCTTAATTTTTTTTCAAAATAATGTACCTAGTAGAAATATAGTCTAATGAACCCTGTTTGAAAAACGTTAAATTAAATATAATATTTAAAATACAGTTGTCCTCCTTGTACATGACTACAATACAAGTCAAAAAACTAATTTAATAAAAAAAAAGTGGTTGCAGAAAAACTTTAAATATTTTTTTTTTTTACATCGAAACTCAAAGGTATAATAACGGGTATCATACCAACCATAAATAGAGTAGGTATGTCATATAAAAATGTTTTGAGTTTTTACTAGAATCAACCCTTAATAAAAAAAAGGGATTAGATTTAAGTTTACCTTTGATCCAGTCTGTATAATATTTCTTTGGATTTTCTGCACGTGTGCAAAAACTACACTAAAACACTATATCTTATAGAAAATAAAATATTGTGCCTTGAATTTGAGGGGATTTCATCTGAAAAATTATTAATTTGGAAGAAAACCGGCAACAAGCGCCAGAAAATAATAATACTTCCGTGCAGTCTTCTGGTCGCAACGACCAACGGACGGCCAGGACGTTAGTGTGCGCTATATCATTTGATTTAATGGTTTTAGAGGTAGCTGCGGCCTGGCCGGTGCGACCTGGTCGTCAGTGTGTTCGAGCCCTAATTATAGAAAGATCTACCTAGAAATCTTATTTCCAAATCATTTTTTATCGAATTTTAAACTATACCATTTAAAAATCATTTTGAACACCCTGTATAATAAAATAATCTAACCAGTATTTTAAAAGCATCAAAAAATTGTGCCAAAATATTTTCACTACACTCCGCAATAAAGAAAATACTCAATAAAAATACATAAGCTGTTCATTGTTAGATATAAAAGTAGTTCGTTTGTACCGTACTTTCTCTAGTCTTCCGACAGTCTCTGCATGAACTTCCTTTATGTTTCAGGCATCTCTAAAGCGACCCGCATGTCTGTAGACCTCCTTCTTTGTATCGGGGCTTTGCCCCAATGCCTGTGAGACCCCCTCATTGTCTTGCTTAGGATTTAATGTACTTATATATCGATGGAAAAACATATATGTTAGAAGAAAGTGTCTATATGCTTCTGTAGAGTTTTTTTAACGTATATTTTGTATGTTTTAATAAAGAAATAGAGTTTTTAGGTAATATAGACACTTCTATTTGTGTTATATACAGTGTGTTCAATAAGTTTGGACACATATTATGGAAAAAACATTTAAGATTCTGATTTTTTTAAAGTGCCTGATTATAAACTACTCAGAAATTAGTTATGATATTTCATATATACAGAGGAGCTAAAAATGAAATACAGAGCCTTTTGTAAAAAATAAAAATTTCTAACAAACATTTTTCAACACACTGTATAAAGAAATAATATGAATTCCAAATATTTGTGATTTTACTGTAATAGTTTCGTTTTAATTTCTCCTGTTATTCTGGTAAGTTAAAGAAGCGTTTTATATTTATCTCCTTGTTTAAATCTTTGATATTTTGTTGCTAAATGTATAAGAAATGATTTTATTTTTGTATGTATTTTTTTGTTGTTTATAGTTTTTCTTTTATAAATATAAATTTTATATTTTTATATCTAAATGATGAAACCAAATTAAAAAGGCGGTTTCAAAGTTTGATGTTTTTAAATTTAGTGTATTTACATCAAGGATTTTTAGTGTTAAATTAATTATATTGTAATAGTTTTGATTCCTCAATACTTGAATACATCACAGTTTATACTCTATATTTATTATAAGAAATAAATTGCAATAGAATATTGAAAATAATAGTTTTTTATTTCCAAAAAAAAACAAGGAAAAAAAAAGAAAAAATGTCAAAGTATATCTCTAATTTGGCACTTTTGTGACTAAAGTTTGAATAGATCATCATACAATTAGATTCAAGTATAAAATTCAATAAAAAAAAATTTAAAACTTCCATACCCCCTCTGTACTTAAAACAATCAAAGTAAAATAAGCCTAAATACTGTAAAAAAAAGTCATTTCACATCACAGTCACACCAGGGTGTGCTGTTTCGATCACAGAAAAGCTGTACGTTGACTACAGTGAGAGGAGCATCATCAATCACAAGATTATTACTAGATATAATCTTATACCTAACATCGTGCAATCCGGTTTGTCTGTCTCTCTTCCTAGTCGATTCTCTCTGATTGTAACATTTTGTTGTATCTCTTTTTCTATTTTTACCGTGAATATGCCTGTGAAAAAATATTACACAATATTATTTGATCTTTATTTTTTTTTAACATGCGCAATTTTTATTGTACTAATCAATAATATAAAATAAATGACTCATTCTATCTGTATCTGTTCTTTTTACCTGAAAGTATTTGTAACATTTGTTGAAATATTATTAGGTCTTGTTATATTCAAATGTGCATTTTTAATTCTAACATAAAACTCGTCATCTTCCAATCCCCAGCCCCAATACCTATTTGACAGGCCATTCACTAACTCGTAATGTTCCCTAAAAGAACCAACATTTACTGCACAGTACATAAAAATATATTTTATTTACCTATTGATCAACAGAATTCCACCGATAAACTTTTGATAATGGTACCTAGGATGCAACTCCGGAGCTGCTATATGAAAAGGCTGACTAGGATAATCGTATCTCAGTTCATTATTCAACGGTAGGAGATCTACGTCATGCATGGCAATATAGTCAAACTCTTGTCTCGTATATAAAAACCCTACATTAATTAAAGAAGCTCGGTTAAATCTAAACAAGTCCATTTGGTTGATTAAAAATATGTGATGATCTACTCTCTGGTTGGTTAAAAACTTATGCATGTAAGGTGCGAACTGTAGAAGCTCTTCGAAACGGTTCCTAAAGGGTACTATCACAGCTAATCTGTGCTTCGAAGTTAACCTACTAGTTCTCGTTTGGGCTATTTGATATCTAGTTATGTCATAACTGGAATAGTTGCATTGTTCTGTAAATAATTTTGTTTGAATTACGGATATAATCAATTTTGTAAATATTACCTTTAATAAGCAGTCTATAACTTAAGTAAACAGTTGTAAAAAACATTAAAATAACAAAAACTACTAAAACTAAGAATGTGTTGAAGGAAAAACATATCGGTTTTCCTCTTGTGTGACGCATACTGAATATTTTATTATAATATTCGACATTATTGTTTTATATTTCTCATTTTTCTGCTTTATTTTCGTAATTTAAGGAAAAATATTTATTTTTATTTTTCTAACCTAACTTTGTCAAGTTAAGTCAGTATAAAAAGATAATCTGTGGTGTGGATACAAAAATGGCTGTTACTAATCGTCCGCTAGACGGAAGAATTATATAAATTAATTGTCCGTATTTTACAAGACCTTTTGTATTTATACAGATTATAATATCTAAAAACTAAGCTAAAAACTCTCTCAAATTATACAGGGTGTTTCTTATTGACAGGCTAATATTTGAGGAACTGATTCTTGGACTTATTCTAAAATAAAATGGTGGTCAAAGTTATTGTTTCATAATAACTCTGATACTATTATAAATATCTTTATGAACCTTGATACACCTCTTCTATCCATCAATATGAATATAAAAAATAAATATATGTATAAAATATAAAAAATAAATCTAAATTTTTTACATGAGGAACCTCCCCACAAGAGATGCGATGACACACATCCTTTAGAAGACCCGTATCAAATATTTCATAAAGATATCTATAATAACATAAGAGTTATTATGAAAAAGCGTTTTTAAATACTTTTACCACCCTGTATCTTAAAAGTTAAGATATTTAGGACATACATTCATATGAAGTTTTTTTTTAGACTAGGTCCAAGAATCGTCCCTTAAATATCGTTAGGGAACACCTTGTATGTAGAATCGAACTAATTTTCAGCCATTTTGAGCCCTTAACCGGAAGTTTAATTTATTGTATTCGTCCGTCTAGCGGACCTCTAGGCACATTTAAAAATTCTTTGCATAGCCAAGGTCGAAATTAAATCAACCATGCGCGTAGACTTTGGCACCTTTTAAAGACGCAAGCGTCAAAATTTAGATCGATGCTTTAAAATCGCCGTCTTTTGGGGTAACGGCAGAAGTTGATCCCAACGTGTTTATCCAAAAACATGTTATTGCGCTCTATCCGATCTTTATATCAAATTAAATGTCAAGTATCGTGTTCCATACGAAAAAACATTAGAAATAACTGTTTGCCTTCTTGATCGAGTGTTTTGTTAGTGAACGTATTCAGCAAATACCAAGGGAGGTTTCGTTTTTTTCAATTATGCCTAAAGGAAAGAAAAAATCCAGATCTGGTAAGTTCAGATATCTACTACGCAAATCTTAAATGCTGTACAAGCAAAGTATTTGATAAATCAATTTTTAAAGGGATTTTTAACTTACCATGTGGTTCAAAGCGATTAACCTATTAAAAAATATAATTAGGACGTGACATTGTACGAAATTCTGGCATCTCTATCGTTTCATTAAACTTTATACTAGATACAATGAACTGGGTTTAAAAATATTCAACATTTTTGGGTTCTTTGTCAAGCCAGATCTCACAGCTATTTTTGTATACTCAAAAAAATTTAAATCGCAATGCTGAGTCATCGTAATTTTTCTCAGAATTGTTTACATATCTGTATTAATACATTTTTTTTGTTATGCACTACCATATGTTGCATTTTTATACCCCCTAAGAAAGTAAAAGTGAAAGTTACATAAGATCAGATTGTTTTTTAAGTAGGTTATCTACTCTACTAAACTTGATTTGTCCTTGTTAAATGAATGCATCTGATATAACTACATATTATTAGCTAATTGATAAGGGCATAGAACATAATATTGCATAAATCTATAGTTATTCCAATGATTCTAGATCGCCACAGAATTGAGGGCTCATTGCAAACATCCGATGATGACTCTTATCCAAACGATAACATGAGCGTTCTGAGCAACTACTCAGAGAATTGTAGCGTGGAAGATGGCAATGAGGGTGACGATTTTGCTCAGGAGAATTTTGAAGACAAATTGGTGGAGTTAATTGATGGGTTGTCCCAAAAATCTTCTCAAGGACGCGTTACCAGCTACAAAGCTTTCACAAAGGCGCTCATAAAGAAATATATGCCCAGTTTTATCAGAGACAGGTAAATAAAAATAAAATGTATATAATTAATATTATTCTTTTAATATACAGTTTAATTTAATTTTTAATGAACAATATTGCCCAACGTGTGTTTTTTTATAAACACAGTTTTTTTCATGAGTAAATACTCTTATCTTTTTGATAACTTGGCAAGTTAATATTTATTTATAATTAATATCTTCTAAAAAACTGATAAATATTTATATATATTTCTTCTAATTTTGTTAACAACAATATTGTGTAATAATATGATATTTTTTGCATCGGAGGTAATGTCATAAAAATAATAATAGTTTATTTCATTTTTATGTTACCTTGAAATATGATTCTCTTATGATCTAATGCACATAACATGTTTTAGAAAAAATAAAAATAATTTATGATACACCAAAAATAAATAGACATATTTATGTATTATAATTTAAAACCGAATTTAAGTTACTATTTTTATTAATCCTTGGTACTTAGGACATTTACGCTATGCGATTGCATCGAGAAAAGTTTGAAAAAGGGGGCAGCTGCAGAGAAATCCGCCGCAGCTGAGTTGGTAGCTGTGATTTGCGTGCAGCTGGGCACTGAAGATGCTGGGGAGGACGTCTGTAGAACTATTAAACCGCTGTTGCTGTCCATGGCTTGTGATAAGTCAGCTACTCCATCAGTCAGAGCAGAGGTATGTTTTGTTATTTTATCTCAATTCTTATAAACACCCCCTGCAGCTAGTTAATGTTTTTACTAACTAATGTTACTAACTACTGTTTTATTGTTTGACGTTGAAAACAATTTTTTTAATAGTAGTTCAAATGTACCAGACATAAAAAGGATTTAATTGATTTCTTTTTAATATCTTTTGTCAGTGTACTCTACAAACTAATATAGTGTGATGCAGTGATGCAAAAAAGCACCATATTAAGTTTTCTGTTTGACATTTTTGACTAAATTTTCTGTACAGGGTGTCCCATTTTCGTGTGTTTTACAAGGTATTTCTTTTATGAGTTGAGATACAAAGATGCGGTTTTCACGTCTACTTTTGTGTTACTTTTTTATAAAACCAAAGATGCTACACACAGATTTTTCCTCTTAGTTCCTGAAATACAGGGCGAATTTGAAAATTCTGCATTTTTTGATCCCCTTTGTATCTCAGTTATCTTTAACTTATGGAAAAGGTGAAAACTGAATCCCATAGGATATTTCATGTAGAATTCAGTGGCGTAACTCTATTTTCGCTGGGAGCTGTCATTTTTTGAAATATGACCAAACTTTTTTTTTTTTTAAATGGGAGACCCTGTATATTTTTTTTGTTTTACATAATATTTGCCTTGCTATAAGCTTTCTATAAAGATACTCTATACTTATTTTCATATACAAGGTAAAAAATGCATTATTTAACTTTTTAACATAATGAAATGATTAATAAATTAGGTAATCAAAACAATCAAATAATTTATTCGACGTCATATTTTGATTATTGACTATTATCGGTGAGTTTCTTTGTGTAGAATCATTGCACAAGTGCATTAAATAATGCATTATTTTATCTTATTACTGAAAATAAATATGGAGTATATTGTATTTTTACACAGCTTGCAAAACGGCAAATAAAACAAAATAAAAATAATATACAGGGTGACCCATTAAAAAACACGAGTTTGGTTCATATTTCGAAAATGACATCTCCCAGCAAAAAACTAGTTACTAGTTTTAAATTGGAATATCTATATCTGAAAATATTTGATAATAATGCTGTTCTAAAACTAATTATACATTTTAAAGTACACTTACCTTATTTATACAGGATAAATCAAAACTATAATTTTCTTAACAGTGCTGCACAGCTTTGGGCAACATTGCCTTCTTGTCAGGCAGCGATATGGCAGAAAATCTAACCCTGATGCAACAGTTTGAGTCGATTTTCTCAGGGAGTTTTTTGAAAGGCGACGGATCCGTACCGACCACCACTCCAGAGGCTGGAGTAATGCATGCTGCAGCATTGAATGCTTGGACATTACTGTTCACCTTGATCGGGCCTGGAAATATTGGAACGATGATCAACAATTCCAAATCTTTACCGTAAGTCATATATTTTTTATCACATTGTAAAATAAAACACTAGTTCATCACAAACACACCAAAACACTTTATTTTTGCACTGGACGCGCGTTTCGCTAACCATGTAAATTGAGCGTTTATATGGGCGCTCAGTTGCCACTGACCAAGCGTGGCAAAACTAGTCAAGCGTGTAAAAAACCAGAGAACTTGCTAATAACTTCATAAATAATATATTCATAGATAAAGTAATAATGTAATATATAGTAGATAAATACGAGAATATAATAGAATAGAACTCCTTACTTAGCTACTATTCCATGTGATTATGATTAATTAAATCTTAGGTCTTTGGAGCACATTTCTGAACTACTCCAGTCTGCTCACCTGGATGTACGTATGGCTGCCGGTGAAGCTTTGGCTCTGATTTTCGAAGTAGGCAGAGCGGAGAATGAAGCTTTTGAGGAAGATTTCGCTGACGAAGTCACAGAAACTTTAAAACAACTTGCCACAGACTACCACAAGTACAGATCTAAGAAAGATAGAAAGCAACAGAGAGCTACTTTCAGAGATATACTCCAGTTTATTGAAGTAAGTGTATAAATTAATGAAATTATCATAAAAAACACCCTGTATATTAAATTTACCTATTGTTTTCTCTCAGGACGATACTACAAACGAAGTTCAAGTAAAAATAGGTAAGGAAGTCTTATTGCTTGATACGTGGGTGAAAAGGAAACAGTATGACGCCCTGTGTACCATTTTGGGGCCCAGCATCAACAACCATCTGCTAGAGAACGATTTGATCAAGGAAATCTTCGAGATTGACGTCACAATAGTGGACAGCAAAATACCCGCCTATGCTCAACTGCAGATGGAAAGGCATAGAAAGGTAAGATTATTTTTAATATATTTTACAGGGTTTTTTTTCAGTTTAAAATATGTATACCGTACGATCGAAAAAAAAATCGGCGTCAAAGACGGCTGGGGAATGATAATCGGTGATAATTTTGGCGAGGTCAAGCCCTAGACGTAATTTACTTGGCCTGTACTGTATTTTTAATAGCGCTTACTGCCAGTTGACTTTTTTTTTATTTTCCTATAAAAAGTTTTATGTCAATTTTCAGTAAATGACTTTTAGAGATTTACCTCGTCAAAATTATCATTCCGCAGCCGTCTTTGACGCCGTTTTTTTCGACGATACGGTATTTATTAGAAATTTTAGATATTATTTGTTAGACTATCAAACACCTAGACACTCACGTTCTCAGTAAACTTGTAACCAATATAAATTACTGTTTAACTCATTGAATAAAAAGATTATGGATTATGGAAGTATCTTTCTGTGTCCTGGCATAATGTTATTCCAGATTTATATGCTTTGCATAAATCCGGTTATAAAATAAACAAGAAAAATTGATAAAAGATGAATATAAAGATACTATTAGACCTCTTTCTTAGTCATTTTGATCAATGGGTTAAACTAATCGACCTTATTGTTATTTTTATCCCTTGATGGGCTACAGATATGTTTTTTTTTGTTGCAGAGAGTACAAAACGCGGCCAATTTCAAAGCTAGAACAATATCCAGAGCAAAAAACAGGGATAAGCGATCAGATTTCTAAGAGAAAAAACGCAAAAATACGATAAAATTTCAATTTATTTATATAATTTAGTACAATTTTACATGTTTTTGCTTGCATTAATTAATACCGTTCGATCGAAGGAAAAAACAGCGGCACGGTTGCTTAGAAATACCGTAAAAATATATGGTAAGATTCATAAATCGTAATTTCCAAACCTACTTGACGCCGTTTTTTTTCTCGATCGTGTCGTAAATGTATATTAAATATTTAAACGTGATGCATAATTATAGTTAAAAATTTTAGGTGAAGTTGTTTGTGATTAATCAAATTTACAATATCTTGTTGTAAAAATATCGCAGATGTGTTTTAGATAATAAATAATGGTAATATTACTGAAAAATGGTGTATTATTTTTTTACAAATATTTCCCCAAACCGTCGGCGTCAAAAAATGGAGAATTAATTGTTTGATGAAAAAAAGGTGTCGCAGTAGCCTTTGAAATGACAATCTGGTAATTTCTGCACTAAACAAATATATGTTATTAAATATTGCATCTTAATACCATATGATCGAAAAAAAAACGACGTAAAGTGACAAACGAATGTCAATTTTTAGTAAACGATGTCCAGAGACCGATATCGCCAAAATTATTATCGATTGTCATTCCCCAGTCGTCTTTGACGCCGTTTTTTTTTTATCATTCGGTATTTAATAAAATACAGTATGATGCAAAAAAAACGGCGTCAAGTTGGCTTGGAAATGACGATCGGTGACATTCCCCGTATAATTGAACATATAAAATGACAGCGATCTTCATTTTATAGCCATCCCTGACGCCGGTTTTTTTTTTGATCAGATGGTAGTTTTATATCAATTTTTAATTAAATGACGACCAAGAGCCATGAAGAATTACCATTTGTCATATCAAAGGCTACTGTGACGCCCTTTTTTTCGATCGTATTTGCGGAACATCTGACAGTCAGTTGATATAGCAGATCCCAAACTAGAATGTTATTTCTACGCCTACCATGACATCGTTTTTATTTGGTTTTAACAAAAACCTCAACAATATACATTTAAATATTAAAAAAAAGATAAAGATTGTCACATACCCGTTTTCGAGATAAAGCTAAACGTTAAAATGTTTATAATATTGTAATTTATGTATAATATACATTTAATATTAATAACTTTATTATAAATAAACTCAAAGGCTAAACTAGCAGCTTTTATGAAACTTCTAATATCATCTTTAGTATTTTTAGATGTTTAAAAAAAGTTACCGTGAATTTTATTATTAAAATGTTTTTTTACTATCAAATAAAGAAAAATATGTTTCTTTATTTACTTTGTTAAAAACTTCATTGTGTTTAAATGCAAGTACGAAATTCAGCAAACATTTTTAGATGTTTACTTAGTGATAACATTTATTTGTGTTTATATTTAAACAAAAAACTATGTATTAAAACACACTTCAACCAAAAAACATTCAAATTTTTATAACATGAAAAATGCACTTTTAAATTTAAAATATCATATTTTATGTTTTTGAGCCATTATTTCGTGACACAAAAAAATAAATTGGGGAAGTTTTACAGACGATTTGAAGTTGAATTTTAACCTTAAATAACTTTCAAACGAGTAGATTAATGAAAATTCATATAGGGCCTTTTTTGAAGACCGTTCAATTTCCTAGAAGAAATATGTATTGATTTTTGCAAAACGCTGCTTTCCAGTATAAAGGCGTATAAAGGCGAAAAAAAATTGTCGATTTTTTTGATCCACCCTATTGCAGGTAGAATGGGCTCTTTCACTATATTTTAGAATTAGCATAATTGAATAAAGCAATTAATTCTAGAATTTTCAGCTATCTCACTTTCGAAAAATTTGAAGTCGTTCTTAAGAAAATAAATAAAAACAAAAAAGCCCAGACTAAAAATCCGCACTTTATTTTCAATACGTTACACCGGGCATGTTGAAAAGCGGCAACACGGCCGCGGCCGAGCCAACATGCTGACCCACCACCACCTCCACACAAGGCCTTTCAACCTTTTCCAATATGGCGGAGATAGAAGTGCTTTATTTGGCGCGTATTTTAAAACCTGTTTTACTCACAAATAGACGTTTTTCATTTGTCGGGTTAGATCACGTAATATTTCACTAATTTTTTAATATACAGGGAGTCTAAAGTTCTCCACATAAGTATGGAATTTTTTGTATTATTACTTTTATGAAAACATCAGTTAGTTACCTACTTTTTATAAAAAGGTCTGCTTTCTCAGAAAATAGGTAGTGTTAAAATATTCAAGCTTGAGGTAGCAAATATAGGGTGTTCAAAATCATCGGAAAAAGAAATAACCAGAAATATATGACAGAAAATAGCAATATAAACTAAAGATTCAATTGCAAACACTTACCTACCATAGTTTAGAATTTACTGAACTTTTGATAAATATATACTATTATGGACAGTATAGGAAGTTACTGTGTCTTAGTAAAAGCCTTGGTAAATGCTCTTGGAATTATAAACTACACTGGCTTGGGTCAAAAAATATGGAATATTTTTTCTATGTTTTGCAGCATTACACAAATGGGAATAAATTTAAACTATAATAGGTGAGGATAAATAAAAAATATAATATGTGTTTCAAGATTTTATATAGAAAAAAAACTAAATACCATTTTGGGGGTTCGTAAGTAAAAATTACGCCTAGCTTAGTTTTCTTTACTCTTTATCTTTACATAGGGCATTGTCTTTGTGGTAAAGACGTCATTCTTCTTTTTGCATAGTTCTTCAATAAAATATTGGATATTCTGAACAAGATGGATTTAATAATAAATTCTGACGTATGTGAGGGGCAATTGTGACCTAAAAAAAGACTTACATCCAGGCCATTTAAATTTTCAAATGTCAATCTTGTCAATATCTTTCTGTGATCTTTTTGATGTAAAAGGCTTGATTCTTATCCCAATATTTTACTTATAGTGAGGTAAGTGTAAGCAGTAGCCATAACTACATCCTCACTAGGGCAACAGAGGCTTTGGCCTTTGGCCTTTTTGAGGCATATTTAATGCACTTCTTACCCGAGAACTACTAGTAGGAGTGAAATTATCTCTTTTAATAGCTGTCAACCATTTTTTATGAAGCTCGTCATTTTTGGAGAATATAAAAGCAGAAACCTTGGGACCCCCTCTATAATTCCCGTGACAATTTGGATCAGAGCATGTAAAAGGCATGCTACCAATAAAATGTTAATACCTACCCTTTAATACCTATCTTTTGATTATTGTAAGTAACCATTATAAAGTACTATGCAGACTGGCGGCGAAGGCTTTTTACTCATTTAGGTGTAATATCTTGATAAATACTTCTAGTTCTTACCTTAAAATAATTAATAATAGAGGAGTGCGACAAGCAGAAAAGTTTGAAGTTCCCTATGTGGAATGTCTGGTTTGGATTTTTATTACACTGTTATTTTATCACAATTTTCTGATCACACCATGCACTGAACACTAAGAACTAAACAAATGTGTTGCAGAAGCACAACAAACTAGAGATAAATAATTATTTCTGGTATGCAATCGGAACGAGAAACCACTACCGGCTTTTCAGGTTAAAGATAAACAATTTAATAATGCGCTGCTTTCGCCGCCATATTTGCCTTGCCCATATCATTTTGATTGGCCTTGAGTTAAGGTGGTGCTGGTCAAATCAAATCGCAATGTTGCCAGTTGTTGGCTGGCGCACGAGCACGGTTCTGCAATGCGATTGGGCGTATTTTTCATACGTCATCAATTGGCACTTTAAAATTATTTCAAATTAAAGCAATTTTGAGGGCCTATAAAAAAATTATTCAATGTCATAGAACTATTTTTTTTAGATAAATATACTGAAAATAGTCTTCTATTTCAGATTTTGTCCTTGAATTGGGTATTTTATTTTTTGTGAAAGAGCCCATATTCCATTTCCATACATTTTATCTTTGAATAAAGCTTCTTAGCTAAATAATCCTACATAAATAAAATAAATAAGATTGAGAAAAAAACTCTTCCTATATTACATTATTCTTTGAAACCAAACCAATAAATTTGGTTATTATATTCGAATTAAATAAATCTTTTTTTAAACATCTCCTATCAATAGTTAATTTAAATTAATCCTCTATAATAAACTTAAAAAAAACAAAGATAAATATTTGGAATGTAGAAAACGAGATCTAATATCGATATATACCTATCCTAATTTAAAGCAAAATAAAATTCTTCCTATATCATTTGGTACTAGAATTCGCCCTGTGTGAAGCGACATTTTCTTTACTTATTTCGTTAGTAACATACTCCCAAGCATTCACCGAAGCTTCATAGAAATGTATCTGCTTCGTAACAAAATCCAGCAAGATTTTTTTTACACACCTCAATTTTTCCTGTTGCCAATACTCTAAATCGCTTCTCAAGCATTCATTGGCCATTTCCAGGCTATCCTGGCTGGATTCTACTTTTTTTAACAACTGGGGAATATGTGTTCCTAATTTTTCTAATTTATCATCGTTAGAAGGCTGTTTCCACAAAGTAAAACTACCTGAACTCTGACTAGGGTTCTGAGACATCGCTAACAACTAAAAAAATATTATATAACATGCAAAAAAATAATAGATATATCCAAAATACCTTGTCCTTTTCACCATGCCTCTTATTCAATTCCTCCAAAGAACACTCATAAGCAGACTGATACGATTCCCTTTTTCTTAAAGTCTCTTGAACTACTTCAATGTACTGTAAAAAATCTTTTATCGGATTTGTCATAGTGTTGGGATAGCTATGAACCAGAGCCCCTTGTGCTGCTGTGCTTCTCTCTATAGCGTGACTAATGTTTTCTAAAGTTACAGCCAGTTCAGGCTCATTGGCCGACCACATAGTGAAAATCGGGTAAAAATTGTTTATATCTGAAATTAAATCTTGTCTTTCCTTGTTTATCCTGTAAGATATTCTTTCTATCGAGCTCAGTTTGTCTGTTAATGTACTTAAATATGATTTAGTCTTATCAAACTCTATGTTAGTGGTTTTCAGAGCGGAATGTGAAGAAATAACTTGGTTTACAGGTATAATTCCATTAGAACTGCTCGAAGATGAACTTTTTCTTTTATGAGCTGCAAACTCCTTTAAAGCCATAATAATAGTTTATAAATCCCATAATATAAATGTTATTTTACTTACAATATGATTAGCTGTTAAAAATAATTTAAAATGCTCATTACAACTTAATATTGGATGGCTACAGATCCTGTTTAAAAACAAATTCAAGAATTTCATTCTTAATAAAATAAAATCTTTGCTGTATCGATCTAACTGGCCCATTAACGAATGTTTTGCTGGCAGAGGCTGAAAATACCATATAATATCAAAATAAATGGTACAATATATAATATTAACTCACAGGTATAATAGAAAACGGATGGCACTCAAGTAATTTTTGCCTAAGCCACAAAAAATCATTGTAGCGTCTTCTAACTACGTATTCGTGAGAGGTAAACTCGATCCTAGCTACCCTAGTGCTTATGCGAAACGTTATATACGTTTCCAATGTTTCCAAGTGCTTTTCCGGATTATCAATTTTAACATAAAGATCTGTATCTTCGTCCATGTTTAATTCCGATAAATTTTCTATATCTTGTATTGTGGAAAAGCTCTCTATACTAGGTGACTGAACCTGAAATAATCTCGCTGGATTTAATGCCAATTAACTTTTTAATCTCAAAACATACCAACGAATTATCGTTATCAAATGTTGATTCGCTACACACACTGGATCGGTCTAGATCTTTAGCCTTATCTTTAAGTATGGACGAAATATCTTTTTGCTCCGACACTACGTTTAAAACTGCTGAATTTTTACTCTCCATTTTTTTTATATATTCATTTATTATTAAAAAAAAACAATAAAAAATATTTTATTAGGTTAGTGACAAAAATCTCTTCTCTCGAAAAATAAATAGGCTCTTGCAGTCAGCTCTATGTCAAATGAGGAATCTATGGATATTTTGTTAGAATCAAAATGGTGGCACCACTGTTTTGATTACGTTTTGAATTTTTTAATATATTTCCATTTATCAGACTATAAATATTTAAAAAATATACTTAAAACGTACATATTTTAAACAGTTTTTTCGGAAAAACAAAGTTCATGGTTAATTATCTGAGAAAAAGGCGAAAATATCACTTTTAAATTGTTCTAACCTCGAAAATGTCCCATCAAACAGGCATAAAAGGTAAGTCAACTTTATTAATACCTTTTTTTCACCTTGAATATATTAATACCCGCTTCCCTATATTTTTAGCCAACGATGAATTAAAAAAGTTCTTTTCGAAATGCAAAGACGGTCACGTCAGAGTGTTTAAAGTCGCTATAGAAGATGGTAGGTAATTTGTTGCAATTCATTTATGATTCATAAACTGATTAAACTTAAGAATGCCAGTTATCTTAATCCTACTTCATATTTTTAGAACAATTGGTCCTAAAACAACACCACAATCACAAACACAATTGGGAAAAAGACTTTGATAAGTATGTTACGCCTCTCATCGAGGAGAACCAGCCCTGCTACATTCTTTACAGGCTGGACAATAAAAGTTCCTTAGGCTATGAGTGGCTGTTTATTAGCTGGTCTCCGGATACGGCACCAATTCGCCAGAAAATGCTTTACGCCTCAACCAAAGCAACATTAAAACAAGAATTTGGAAGTGCCCAAATTAAAGATGAATTACATGGAACAGTACAGGTAAATTAGAAAATATATAGAAGGGTGAAATAGTATTGTAAGTTTCTATTTAGAGTGAGGTTACTTTGGACGGTTACAAGAGGCATAAAAAGAATGTGGCTGCACCGGCACCTCTTTCATCCAAAGAGGAAGAAATGAACGAAATAAAGAAAAATGAAGTACATACAGATATCTCCATAAACACCAAACAACAAACTTTAGGAGGTGTATCGTTTCCTTTACTTGAAAGTGCTCAACAGGCTGTTAGAGATATGTGCAGGGGATCCTACGACTATATTCAATTTAAAATAGGTCTGTTTTTTTTAGTTTAAATTTAGTAAATTAGTAAATAATTCAGGTTTTAATAGATATTGTTGAGGAGACAATAAGTTTGGCGACTGCAGAAAATATTACTTTGGAAAAGCTTCCTTCTAAAGTTCCTTCAGATACTGCCCGGTATCATTTGTACAAATTTAAGCACACTCATGAAGGAGATTATACAGAGAGTATAGGTAAATTAATTGCTATACCAGGTGTCAATAAAATCTGGGTAAAATTCAGAAATTAAATAAAAATTTAAAATATTTTATTATATTGTCTTTTTATTGATATTATTGGTTTACTTTCATCAAAATTTTTAGTTTTTATTTACTCCATGCCTGGATACAACTGTTCAGTGAAAGAACGAATGCTCTATTCGAGTTGCAAAAACCCCCTAACTGAAACCATCACAAACTTAGGCCTGGAAATTGCCAAAAAGGTAAAACACCCTCTTTTTCTTAGTTATTTTGACCGTACCCTGTATTTTTTCTTCTAGATTGAAATCGATTCAGGCTCAGAACTGACTGAACAGTTTCTCTATGACGAATTGCATCCCACAAACACGCTGCATCGCCCCAAATTTGCCAAACCTAAGGGCCCCCCTGGCAGGGGGCCAAAAAGAATGACGAAAAATCAGTAAAACCGTTTTAAATGCTTCGTTTTTTGGTGTCAAAAAGGCTCAAATATTGACCGTATTCTTGCTAGTATTATTTATGCATACAGGGTGTCAGTTATTTTTGAAAACCTGCTTAATATTTTCACAAAATTTTTTCTATATCCTGTATATTGTGCTAGATCTATTATTGTTCTTTATTATTTCCTATTTTTTTTATTGAATATATATGTATAATTATATTGTCCAAGACATTTTTTAATGATGTAAGATAATAAATTGGCTACATTTGTTGCTATAGCATCATTTTTTATTCAGTTAAAATATTTATCGGTGATTTTTTAATGTACAGGGTGTCCCATTTTTGTGTGTTTTATGGGGATGATCGTTTATGAGTAGAGAAACAAAGATGCGGTTTTCACATCACTTAGCTACTATTATAATGCATTTTTTTACCTTGTTTATGGAAATAAGTATAGAGTATATTATAATTTTAGAAGGCTCATAACAAGGCAAATAAAATAAAAAATAATATACAGGGTGTCCTATTTAAAAAAAAACATAAGTTTGGGTCATATTTCAAGAACGACAGCTCCAAGGGAAAAGCTAGTTACGCCGCTGGATTCTGCATTGAAAAATGCAACACTTTCCAATTCACCATGTATTTCAAGGACAATAGCATCTTTGGTTTCATAATAAAGTAGCATAGTAATGTGAAAACCACATTTTTGTACCTCCACTCAAAAACGAGAAACCCTGTAAAACATACGAAAATGAGACATCCTGTATAGTGTGTCATTTTATTTTGTCTCATTTTTAACTAACTTCTTTGTTTTTGGAGATTAATTGAAAAAGCAAATTATAGGGGTTTTGAGAGTTTTATTACTTATTAACAAATATGTCACACTCTCATAAATATTCATATAAAGTATATTTTTTTAAATAGGATACCCTGTATATTAAAAGTATATTAGACAGCACATATCCAAAAGCAAAACAGTTATAGTGGGACAAAATAAAATAAAACCACTCTACAAAGTGTTCAAGATGTTTGAATAAATGAAAAACAGAAAGGTTGGTTCAAAAATTGAAAATTAGTCTAGTAGACTTGTTTATTATGCAAAAAAGATGTCCAATTATTATTATGCATTCAAATATCTTAACCACACTGTATATTATTAGGATTTATTTTAAAAACAAAAAATAAATTAATAAAATCTATTTGTTATTTACATCAGTATCACCAGTTATTTCATCTATGCTATCGAGAGTATTTCCTTCATTACTCATCTTATCATCGTGAAGTTTTATGATGGCAAAATCATCATCCTCCCATTTTTTCTTCACATAAGCTGCCTTCATTCCTAGTTTCGTCTCTTTCCATTTGTACTGCCAGTATCTGGCCTCTTTCAAGGATAACCCCGAGAATTTCATGATGCTCCATGTCGCCGCGCCACACATCAGTCCCAAGGCAGATCCTAAAGTATTCATATAAAGCAAAATACAAAAGAATTATTTAGTTTTTTACTCACCTAATCCTGTACCAACAATACATGCTCTCGGACCTGCATAAAACTTATACATAAATCCAGTTAGACCACCTGATACTACATATTCCATAATTCCATAGTCCTCATTGTATGTCTGTATTAGCGTGGCTATACCACTTTTAAAATAATACTAGTGAGTTAATGTATGCATAAAATTAGACTAACTTACACAAAACTAGTTGTAAAAAGCGTTAATCTCCAGCCGAATTTTGCAGCACCCTTCCCAAACGCAATTGTTACTTTATCTTGTAATTTTCTCTGAAAAGTAAACCAATATTATTGTCTTTTTCGACCGACTCCTCTTACAACATCTCACTTTTGCATCTAAGTGCGTTTTAAAAGTAGTGGCTTCGTTATTTCTCATAAATTCCATGTAGGCTCCTCTGCTGAGCACTACGCCTCCATATATGAAACCTATAAAGCAACTTATCGCGGCGCTTTGGAGAACTGTGTGAGCTTCGTGGGACACATTACCGAATTCACTAAAAGATTTATTAGATAAACCAATAAAATGACCTAGGCAAGACCTTTTTGTAGGAGGGAACTTACTCCACTTCGAATACTTTTCGCACCCTATCCCATCCAGTCTCCTGGCTTTCAGTTGTATCGGTTTTTTTTTCAGTAGGAGTTGCGTTTTTTACATTATCTTCGGCGTAATATTGATTAAAAAACGGTAAAAATACTAATTTTACATTTTTGCGTAATAAATTAATCATTTTTGTTGGTTATGAATGACTTTTTCTACGTCAGTAGCTCTCGTGATAGCCAAAGCTGCCAAGTGCTTTAGCTACCACAGATGATTATTTTATAGGTTGGTATTACTGATTTTATACAGGCTGAATAGTCCTGGCAGCTGAGGCCTTAAAACTAAACCATTTTGAATAAGGGATGGGCGTAAAAAAGACATCTAACGTAAAAAACCAGTTTTCTGCATGTAAAAAAACCAATTTCCAAATAATACTTCAACATATAACATAAAATAAAGTTTTTATTTTAAAAAAGTCATTCAATCATTGAAGTCTGTAATAATAAATTACCTTTAAACATAATCCTGAAATTCCTAATTTTACTACACTATACATGGATTAAATAATCAGTTCCGATCACAATAGAATAGATTAAATTATTATCAAATGCACATTTACTATCGTTTTAATAAAAAAAAATCCTATATTACCGAGGAATATTTTTAATAATAAAAAAATCTACGTATTGTCGAAATCTAAATCCAAAAACCGTCGCACATTTTTAAGAAACACGTCTTTAATTTTACCGCAATTCGTCGTCTCTAGTGCATCTAAATATGCTTCAAGAGGCTGGTAAAAGTCTTTATAAATATCTCCGCCCACACTAAACTAAAAAATAAAATTTATTTATTTTTAGGAAAGTTATTTGAAAATTTAACTTACTGATTCAAAAACGTTATAGATAGCTTTGAAAACTGCCTCTTTTTCAGAATGAAAGAATCCTCTGGACCCGTGTATTACAGCTACACCGTCTTTTTCAGCAGGCCTACAAATACTGGAGTACATACAATGATCCGGTCTATAGTTATATCTACATGAGTAAATGTAGAGTTTTCCTGCAAAATAATGTTACTAAAATGCTTGTATTTTATTAGAAATAGGTTTATTTTACCTGGGTGATAATGGAAAATAATATTTATAATGTCCTGATCCCCCCATGTTATATGGAGCTTAAATTTCTTATAAATTGGCACAACATATTCAGTCCATTGAAACTGTCGCATTCTTGTGAGATTCATAAGCATAACTCCTGAATTAACTCCTATAAAAATAAAAAAATTGTATAAAAAAATTTATTAATAATTTTTAAAAATTCTTACCTAATTTTCCATAGTATGGATGTTTGGCAAACCTATTATACCATCCGACATTTGGATCTTCATGTTCTGGAGCCAAAGCAGCCATTTGGCTTTTGTTAAACTTTCGAAAATACGCCCAAATGCTCTCAACTGGGGTCAGAAACAATGTGTCTGTATCCATATATAATAATGAATCAACGTCAGGCAAAATATCCTGAAATTAATTTTAAAAATCATCAAATTCCTGGGAAATATTTAAAAATTCTGATTTTTACCGGTAAAAACAACCTTTGGGCTGCACAAGGTTTAAAAAGAACTCTCCATTCGTCGCCATCTTTGGTCGGAAAATTTAACGGAAGTACTCTAAATGAAAATGCGTTGTTTGTAAATGCTTTCCATTCATTTAGCTACAAAATATTATTATTATCGTATATTCCTTTCAGACTTCCATAGTACCTTTTCTTTAAAGCTTTCTCTAAGTTCATCCTCAGCAATAACAATGAAATTAAGCTTTTCTTTTGTTAACATTAACGCAGACTTTATTAATGTCAGAGATTCTCTAAGTCTATCACCACATGCTACGACAGCTATAATAATATCATTCCTAAAAATAAAACAAGATGAATAAATATAATATTTATGCTGTTGTACCAAAATTACTTCTTAAAAGATACAGTTTCTGTAGTCGATTCTTGAACACTAATGGATAATTCTGAATAAACCGACTCCCTATGACTAATTTGTCTAATACTGTATAGATAGAATATTATTAGTAGTATGGATACAACGACGGCAATATTTAAATACAGATACAAGCGCATTTTACTATTCATTATTTATAAAGTTTATTTTGACTACATTTCAAATTTGTTTGTTTTTGATTTTTGACACATTTTCCTAACCCTACATTTTTATTTTTCTTCTTTTTTTAAATAAGGGCGTTGTGTCATAAGTCGCTGGTTCATAGCATTTGCCCATATAAATCATAAGAAGGAAAACACGGGCCGTACAGCTCTGGCAGCTTAAGCTTAATACATGGAAGAGAAGATGAATTAATGTCAGTGTCAATGTCAAAAAATTGTAACCTCAAAATTATTGTTCACTGTCAAAAATCTGTCGCATTTTAAAGAAAAATTTACACATTTTCCAGTTAAATTAGCGATGGCAGATGCAGAGGTAAAATATATATTTCAAAAAATAAATTAGCCCTTTTAACGTGGTGTTTCTTTCAGTTGACGAGTGCTTTAAAAGACCTTAATTTAAAAATCCAAACATCTAGTTTAAAAGAGCGAAAACAGGTTATAGATAAAGTTATAAATGTTTTGACAAATCCCGGTAAGTTTTATGTGAAATTAAGTTATATTTGCTGATATAAATGTGTTTTTAAAGGTATGACTGAGTCTATAATCAAGGGAATATGTAGAGTAATTCCTCTAACATTACATCGATATAGAGATGGTAAATCACAATATTTTGTAAGACTGCTGATTTGTGCTTTAATCAAGAAATATCCCGAAGTGACTACTAAATGCTTAATTGCAATATTTACGGATTTAGCTTCCCAATTTAAAAATGTGATTGTAACGTAAGGGCAAATCTATTTTTTTTTAAGTTATTAATGTCATTTAAAAAATAAACCATTACAGAGACAATGTAAGTCAGAGTTCTCTGTATGCTTTTGAGTGGACCACTTTACTACTGTTAAATGCCTGGAAAACGGAAGAATCAACTATTAAACAGAGCATAAGTCAGATAGTTGAAGCACAGGCTATTTTCTTAACTTCGGTAATAGCCTGTGGGAAGAAAAAGAAAGCAGATAAAGCATTTTCATTGGTAAATAGTTTTATTCATACACAAGGTGACCTAGAGCTCATAAAAATTCCCATTTTTTTTTTTATTAAATATAACTGGGGGTCACCCTGTGTAGGAACTTGGGTATACATAAATTCTTTTAGATCAACTCTGTTTGGACAACCCTTGAAAATAGTGATGTACTATATCTAAACACTTTAAAATCACTAGAACAAACTCAATATGTTGTAGTGTTTGAAGCAATCTTAACCAAAAGGTTTTCTTTGAAGAATGACTCTAGTATTAAAGATCATTTAGTAAGTATTTGTTTTTAAACAAGCCTTTTGTGTACTGGGCGAAAGATTGGCTATTTAAATTGATTTTATTTCTTTTTAAGGATCTTTTCTTAGAAAGTTTTGTTAAAAACTTTATAACATGCAAAATAGCTCCTCTATCTACAGTTGTAGAAGCTTGTTATCCTTTACTAGCTCAGGTATTATTAGATCAGTTCAAAAAATGCGTATTACCAGCTCTACAGAAAGCAATGTTAAGAAATCCAGAAGTAATACTAGAAACTGTTGGATTAGTAGTAAGGGGAGTTGATATAGATTTGAGTTCATGTGCAATGGACATTGGCAGTAGCTTAATAAGTAAGTACCTAAGTTTTTTATCTTAGGTGCTTACTTAAAAACTTTCATATATTTTTTTCAAGCTAATTTACATTCGAAAGATGAAAACGCAAGGAAAGATTCAGCACAGAGTTTAAAATATTTAGCAGAGAAAATTAGCGATCCTAAATCAATAGAAGAACTTCTTAAAAAAACTTTTGCAGTTTACCATGGATCAGATGGGAAACTAACAGTCGCAGAACATAAAACTGGTGTTTTACAGGTGAGATTGTAATGAGAAATTTTCTTTGTTTAACAAAAATACATCACTTACTAAATGTTTGTTTTTTTTACTGGCTCATTACTGTATCATTTCTTTTAAAGGGCGCTGGTAATCTAAGTTACAACAATGTAACTCCAGAAAATCTTATAGATTTAATATCAAAAGCCTCAGTACATTTTATTAAAGTTCTTGAGACAGAGGTTCATGAAAAAACTTTATGTTTTGCGTTGGATATGTTGGCTTTGTGGACAATTAAACTAACCAACGAAGTTCCCAAAGCTTTATTGGACGGTTTTAAGGTATATTTTTCCGATTTTTATTATATATTATTTACCAAAAAAACATTTTTTTATGTCTAGAATGGAATGGGTTTGAAATCATCAACTCCTTTAGTCAAAATATCTTATATCCAGTGCATGCTAAGTACTTTTTCGTCAAACAGCATATCACAAGTGGTTCTGCTCACATCAATTCTGACAAAATCAGTAGAAAAAGCCGTGTCACAACCTACACAGCCTTTGTCGGTAAATGAGGGTCTCTGTGCGGCATTATTACTCATAAAACTCAATGGTTCAAAATTGGAGAAAGAAAACGGACTTTCCAACGTATGGAACGCGGTATTGGATATGGACAAGCAGATTTTTGTTTCTGAAAAGTTTTTACAGGCAGCCAACGAAAATTGTAAGAATAAATTTGAATTTTCCATGTTTACTTATTTCTCTGAAACTTTAATTTTAACTAAAATTATTTTAGGTCTTCCCTATGTGGCACAATTGTGCGAGACACTTCTGATAGAGTTTCCAGACAAAATAGGCAACAAAACTGATCCAATTTTAAAAGCTTTATTATATTGTAGCTTATATCCTTCAACTACTATACGCCAAAAGTGTTTAAAGGTTGTAAAAAAAGTCGTAGACAGTTTAGGAGGTACTAAAGTTGCTATAGCTTTGCTAGAAACACTTAAGCAACAACTAGAATCGGAAAAAATAATTTTCGTTAAGGAGGGTACAGAAAATGTTATAGCAACCACTCCAAGTAACGTTGTGGAATGTATAACAACTCTGTGCCCTACTGTATGCCAAACTAACGAAGACAGTCAGCAAATATCCATTGCTGCATTGTTACCTTTGCATTATCCATTACTGATTAGTCCGGCACCGAAATTATGGATAAAAATAGTGAAACATTTGAAATTGAACCCTAAAAACCTCGTTGCGCAGTGCGCAAGTCAGTTAAGGGATGTATTAATAGTACAATATAAACCTTCCCAGGTAAGTTTTTCTAAAAACATCCTGTACAGAGAGCGGTATGTTTGAACTACTTTCTTTTGTAGACCTACGAAAACGCTTTAGCTACAGTCTTATCTCTTAACCCCGACGTTGTTCTACCTAGTGTCCTGACTAAATTGAAAAAATACCTAGAAGATCCGAGAATATGTCAAATCTCTAAAGACGATTACTTCACGTTTTTGACACCAGAGGGCGAATTATATGACAAAAGTGTGATTCCTGGTGAAGAAAACAGTGCTGAGATGAATTTAAAACGGGAGAGTAAAGCATACAGTTACAAGGAACAATTGGAGGAGCTTCAGTTGAGAAGGGAGTTGGAAGAAAAGAAGAAAAAAGAAGGTAAAATTAAACCTCCCAGTTACACAGCCAAGCAGCTGGAAGCTATAAAGAACCAAAGAGTTAAAGAGGAAGGGATTAGAAAACGACTTAATGAGGTAGAGTAGTTCAAATGATCCTTAGTAAAGTCTTTCCATAGATATATGGCAGTGACAATTATTGTTTTCTGACATTTTAATTCATAGGGAAATTGTTATTTCTGTAATTTTTTGGGTGTCATTTGTCAAAATCTTCCCTGACTTGTTGGACAGATATCTAGTTTTTACTCACCCTGTAGAAGTCTTTTATTTACAAGACAACCTTTCTATTTAAGTGAAATTTACTAAATAATAAAAAATGTCTATACCTATGTGGCGGATTCATCTCTCCAAAAAAAATTCTTTATGGGTATTTCGTCACTGCACTGCAAGAAAATCTACAAAATAAAATAATTATTTTTTGTAAACACTTCTGCGTTAAACCCATAGACAAACAAATAAAAAGAGACTGATAAATCTCATGGTAAAGAGTGGGACCAAAGAATATACCTAGCTAGAAAAAGAATGGACTCTGCCATACTGAAAAATGGTCCTACAGAAGTGGCGCCATCTATTGAGTAGGGCTTGTTTTAATTGGATCGAAGCGCGGGCTTTTTAAATGAGCGTATTTATTGAATTTTGCTCTAAAATAATTAAATTTGATTATTAAATCTTATTTTTTACACAAATTCAACAATACTAATAACAAGTATCGTTGTGATGTGTAAAAAATAAGATTTAACAGTATAATTTATACAATTATTAAATCAAATTAAAGCCAAACATGTGTAAATATTATTTATTATTTAAAGTTTTTATTTATAAGTCAAATATTTAAACATCGTTTATTATAATAAAACAAGACCAACGTAATACGCCCAAAGTTTTGTAAATGGAGTAAATATAAATAAGTACTTAAATGATGGCAAAAATAAAAGACTTACATTATATTTTTAGGGCCACAAACAAAAGGAATTGTCTAATAAAAACACATATATAACAAATTATAGTTTGAAAAACGTTTTGATAATCATTTTTGATAATATTATGATTGGCGCTATGACAACGACAATATTTTTTGAGAATTTGACAATAGTATGACAATGGCCGTTGGAAACTATGGAAACTACAAAAAAAATCTGATTGAACGCCATCTGGCAATAACCAGTAGCAACTTCTTAACCTAAAAATTAATTGCACTACCACCTAGCGCCCGAGGCTGGAACTATTTTATTTGAAATTTCCGTGGAAACGGTGGAACCGCTTTTGCTATTTCACTTTCCGGCCCCTGAGTAGGACCGCGTTCCCCCCACGGCAGGACGTACGTCTTTATTGCTATCTTTCTTTATTATGTGTGCTTTATATGAAAAAGAAAGAGATAGGTATAAAACGTATCGTAAGACATTATCGCACATTCTGGCTGGTGGGAAACTTGAATTAGCCATTATTAGTAGTATTCTTTCATTCTGAAACTGAAAATTTTCACTTAAACTGATTTATTTTCTATACCACGTCGAGGGAACGTGGTGTAGGGAATAAATCAGTTTAAGTGAAAATTTGCAGTTTCTTTCAGAACGAAAGAATACTACCTTTATGAGGGAAATTATAAAAAAAGCAAAAATTGTACGATTTTATAAACATATTTATTTACACATAAAAATAAATAAACTTTTTATAATATAATAACAAAAAATAACAGTGTTTATTCCACCCACCTACCAATTTTAAATGCAGAAGAACTGACTGTTGTAGGAAACGATCGGCCAATTTTTTTAAAGGGCATTAAAAATCTCATTTTCGAAAAAACTGCCTAATTGCAATAACAAAGTGAATATCCAAGCAAAGAAGACTTTTTAATCCTGAAACAAAAGTAAAATAGGTATATTAATAAAGTTTCTGGTTACTATAAACCAGCTATAAACTACCTACCCAAAAAATTAAAAAAGTTAATTGTATTAATTTGTTATGTTAAGAGAGGTTTGAAATATTTTTGACACTACTACTTCTACTTTTTTCTTAATAAGATGATAAATATAACTACTTACTTTTATTTTACCGGGTGTCTTTAACATATCTATCAGAGAAAGAGGGCAACAATACATATAAAAAATTGATGATACTGGCTCCTGTAGCAAATAAAATAACAAATAGTATAACCTAAAATTATAAGTAACAAAATATAAATACCTATATGGAACAAAGGAATTTGTTCCCTATCCATATTCGTAAGTCAATAAAATGGAGAGTTTAGAAAAAAAGGTAAATCGCCAAAAGAAAAATTAACAAACATTACGAATTGTCATGATGTTGTCATCTTGGTTGTCATGATGACGAAAACGAAAGGCGCATGAAAGGCGATTGTTCTAATTTCTATTTAGAAATTACTTTTTATATGGTTGGTTCTTTCTCTCTTGTTACATTAGAATGAGATAATGGGCCCAATAGACGCAATGCGCAGATCAACATAAATAGAACGAAATTTTGCGTTCTAAGTTGCGCTACGGGAACGTTGTCCCTCTCTTTGCCATTTCATTTGCCAGTCTCTTTTTATTTGTTTGTCTATGGTTAACCCTAAACGGACACTGCTTGTCAGAAGTTTTGCTTACAGTTATACAAATTTGCCTAACAAAGAAAAAAATGCTTAACGTTTCGGAAAGTCTATCTCTTTCCGTCGTCGGCAGCAAAAAAATACAAAGAAAAAAGAAAAAAACTATTTAAAATATTTAAATTCAAACTATTATGAGAACACTTTAGTTTTTTTAAAGCAGATAGGTCTACAAGAAACCGTAGACGTTCTGTTAAAATGACATTATATCTAGTTAAACTTCAAAATTAACAAATAGGTACTACCTAATAACAATTACTTAGTAAGGTAAAACCAAAAAGCCCCAAACTTTCTGTATGATTATTTTTAAATTTTACGTATGTTATGTTTATTTATGTTATGTTCTTTAAAATCAAAGAAGCGATTGCCATACATTACTAACATCTACAGATGCATAAGCAATACATTTATCTTTATTAGATTGCATTAAAAAAGCCTCTTTTATTTTTATTTTAGAGGCTATCGCTTCTTTCATTATAGTTTTGGCGTTATCAAAATCTACTCTGTGCCTTGTGTCCCATGCATGCTGAAAAATATTAGATTTGTGAAAATCTCCCTTTCTTAAATAATCTTTATGTTCTTTAATTCTAACATTTAAGGGTCTAGATGTGTCCGTTTAGGTTTAACGCGGAAGTGTTTACAAAAAATAAGTATTTTATTTTGTAGATTTTCTTGCAGCGCAGTGGCGAAATACCCATAAAGAATTTTTTGAGTAAATAATCTTTTTAAAAAAAAATTTTGATTATTTTTCTTGCAGTTGAACGAATTTATAGTTAAGAGTGTTTCGATGATCAACGCAGCTGCCAAGGGATGTCCCCTACATTTATCTCTGCATTACAAAGACCTCTTACCATTATTGCTTCAAGATTTACAGTCACCCCTGGCATCTCCATACCTAACCAAACTTTTCACCGATTTACGAACGACAGTGTTTGACAGAGACCTGTATTTCTTGGGAGAAATAATTTCCATTATTACACTAAGACTATCCAGACCTCAGTGTGACTTGGATTCAAACTGGGAAGCGGAGGACTTGAACGAGGCTATGGTCAGGGTCGTGACGTTAATACACAGCAGGACTGTGTCCTCTGACATACCGAATGCCAGATTTAGTGCGCCGGCGTTTAGTTATACGTTTCCGTTTTTGAAGTACAGTCTGACGTCTTTTTATGCAAAGAATAATGAAGAATTCGTTCATGATGGACTGCAGATTATCTCTGAACACGCTAAATTGAGAGGGAACGATGATAGTAGCGAAGTGGATGTGTTTCATCCTCAGTATTTGCCAACCAGGCAGATGTTTGCTTTGTTGGTCGACATTATTTGTAAGTATTTGGAAAGAAAAAGCCATTTATATTAATTTATAGTTAAAATTCTTACTGTACATTTGAACTACTATATAGGAAACCCATTTTTTTTCAAGGCAATAGTAGTGGTAGAGTTCAGGCCCAATCCGAAGCTTGTTTACTTGAGGTAGCAAGAGCTTTAAGTGGTGAAGCCGGTTGTGTAATAGCTAGTTTAGATGAAATCGATGTTTTGTTAACAGCACTACAAAATCCTACGTCAGTAGTGAGAGATGCGGCCTTGAGGGCGCTCATAATAATGGTCTCTTGCCTTCCAAACTTTGATTCAGACTATGAATACACTTTGAAGCTCAATAAACGGATTTGGATAGCGAAATTTGATGAAACCGAAGAAAATAGGTATGTATATAGTTCTTCTCTCGCAACATTTCCTCTTTTTGATCATATTATCGTTGAGTAAGCAAGCCTCTTTGTAATATTCACAATAATTTCTGTAATTCAAGTTTTGCACAATATACTTCCAGACTTAGACACTTTGCACTGAACCAATTAGAATGTTAAATAGGAAATAATACGAAATAAACACACTCTTGTACTAAATATACTTCTTTATAGGGACCTAGCTGCGAAACTTTGGAGTACTGCTGGAATGACATACCCAGCGACACTCAGTACTCAACTTATGGCTGACATTGAACACCCTGTAGAGTGCGTACAGGCAGCTGCAGCTCAAGCTTTAGCTGCGTTGCTGAAGGAAGATCTGGCTCAAGTAGAACCAACTTTAAAATCATTGTTGAAGCTATACTCTGACAGATTAAAGGTATAGTTAACTTTTTCTCTTAGGAAGTTTATTTTTTTAAAAAACAACAAAAGCACAAAAAATATATCTGGTTCATTTGAACTACTGTTCTGTAGATGATTCCAGCAAAGTTAGATGAGTTTGGAAGAGAAATCGAGAAAGCTATCGACACGTGGTTTCCTAGGAGAGGCGTAGCTCTAGCTATAGCTCAGTTAGCTCCCTTGATAACTCCCGAGCTAGTAGGGGATCTCATGAAGTTTTTCGTATTCACATCGCTCAGCGATAGAAACGAAATCGTCAGAAAAGAAATGCTGAACGCTGCTTTGAAGATTGTAGATCTTCATGGAAAGGTATGGTTTATGTATAGTCTGTCGAAAAATTGAATTTTGATAGTGACATTTGTTGTCTATGCTTTTAATTCTAAGTAAATATAAAATTACCGTTTGTATTGCAAATTTTAGGAGACGGTGGGCATTCTTTGGCCTGTTTTCGATAACTTTATGGGCAAATCCTCAAAATCCGCCCACTTTGATGCTGTCAAACAAGCTGTAGTAGTTCTAATGGGTACCCTAGCCAGACATTTGGATAAAGAAGATCAAAGAATCAAGCCAATCGTTACACGTCTGATTCAAGCTTTATCTACACCTTCACAAACTGTATGTACTATGCTCTATATTTTTTTATATTTTACAAAACTGTTTAATTTTTTTTTGGTAGGTCCAAGAAGCGGTTGCTAATTGTCTACCACCTTTAGTGCAATCAGTCAAAGAAGAAGCTCCAGGATATGTCAACAAGTTGCTGCATCAACTGTTGAAAGGTGATAAGTACGGTGAACGTAAAGGTGCAGCTTATGGGTTGGCTGGAATGGTGAAAGGAATGGGTATATTGGCTTTGAAGCAACATGAGATCATGTCCAAACTCACTGACGCTGTTCAGGACAAGAAAAACTACAAACACAGAGAAGGTAAGATGCGCTAACTAAGCTAACTAATTTTGATTAAGTTAAATCGTAATTTTTTCACATTTAGGTGCCCTGTTTGCTTTCGAAATGCTCTTTCAAATGTTGGGCAAGCTTTTTGAGCCTTACATCGTCCACGTGCTACCTCATTTACTACAATGTTTCGGAGATACTAGCCAGTACGTCCGTACTGCTGCCGACGACACTGCTAAAGTAGTTATGAGTAAATTATCGGGTCACGGCGTTAAACTGGTTCTTCCATCGTTGCTAGACGCTTTGGAGGAGGATTCTTGGAGGACCAAGACAGGTAAAAAATAATTTACTTGATTTCTAGAGGTGTTTTAATTCAAAATATCGTAGGTTCGGTTGAACTGCTGGGAGCTATGGCTTATTGTGCTCCAAAACAACTTTCATCGTGCCTTCCAAGCATTGTGCCCAAGTTAATTGAGGTTCTGAGTGATTCCCACATGAAAGTTCAGGAAGCTGGAGCGGATGCACTGAAAGTTATCGGATCTGTCATTAGAAATCCAGAAATTCAAGGTATAGTTGTGAAAAAACGGAATAGTTCATTTGAACTACTCGCCAATGTCTATACTTAATAATAAGAATTAGTTTAAAAATAAGTATATCAAAATGGCTATCATGATGTATCTTTTGTCGCCATTAATGTATGACTAAAAAACTAAAAGAAACTCTTACTTCTACAGTATGTCTGTCCGTTCTGTGGCTACGGGGTATCCGTGAGAGGGGAAACGATATTCTCTCGATGTTTTTCGTAAAAAATTAGACGACGCGTCCCATCAATAAAAATTCGACAAATTTGCAAGTAGCCAATAAAATGAGTGGGCGGAGCGATTTGTGGTGAGGTACTCGTCAAGTCGACGTATAAAATATAGTGCTGTTTATTTAAATGTTTTTTGTCCGCATTCCTTTCATAGACACAGATCCAACAGACGAACTGTACAAGGTTTTAAAAAATTTTGAATAAATTCTGAAATATTGTTTTTTTTAATTAATAATTTATTGTACTTGCATGTTTAAATTTCTATTTCAGCAATTGTACCTACATTATTGAAAGCCCTTCAAGACCCATCAAACAAGACCTCGGTCTGCCTTCAAACTCTTCTAGACACCCAGTTCGTCCATTTCATAGACGCACCATCCCTGGCTCTGATCATGCCGGTAGTTCAAAGAGCTTTCATGGACCGTAGCACGGAAACACGTAAAATGGCCGCCCAGATCATCGGAAACATGTACTCGCTGACAGATCAGAAAGATCTGTTCCCTTATTTGCCCACGATCATCCCCGGACTTAAGACTTCGCTATTGGATCCTGTACCGGAAGTGAGATCTGTCAGTGCTAGAGCCTTGGGAGCAATGGTTAAGGGAATGGGTGAGTCCAGCTTTGAAGATCTGTTACCTTGGCTGATGACGACTTTGACATCGGAAACTAGCTCTGTGGACAGGTCTGGGGCCGCTCAAGGGTTGTCAGAAGTTGTAGGCGGTTTAGGTAAGTCTATTCGTTAGTTAAAAGGGCCACGTAAGAAGGATTATGTTTGATGATCACTTCTACTAGTAGTTCAAATGTACCAAGGATAATTTTATTTTTGTCTCTTATTAGGCGTTGAAAAATTGCACAAACTCATGCCAGAAATCATCAGCACTGCCGAGCGCACCGATATAGCTCCTCACGTCAAAGACGGCTACATAATGATGTTTATTTACATGCCTGTGGTATTTACCGAAGAATTCACTCCATACATCGGCCAAATAATCAATCCTATTCTGAAAGCATTGGCTGATGAAAACGAATATGTCAGAGAGACCGCCTTGAAGGCTGGTCAACGAATAGTCAATCTCTATGCTGATTCTGCCATTTTGCTTTTGCTGCCAGAGTTAGAAAGGGGATTGTTTGATGAAAATTGGAGAATTAGATACAGGTAAAGAATAATGTTATGAAACGAATAAGAAATAACGATGATGGTTATACTTTTTATACTTTCAGCTCTGTACAACTGTTGGGTGATCTATTGTATCGTATCTCCGGCGTTACTGGTAAAATGAGTACAGAAACAGCTAGCGAAGACGACAATTTTGGTACCGAACAATCTCACATGGCTATTATAAGATCTTTAGGTATGTAGGACTTATTATTATTGCTTTTTGGACGAATTTTGTTATATAAACATCTTAAAAATATTTTACAGGTTCTGAAAGAAGAAATAGAGTGTTGGCAGGGTTGTACATGGGTAGATCTGACGTAGCTCTAATGGTACGTCAATCTGCCCTTCATGTCTGGAAGGTGGTAGTGACAAATACACCGAGAACACTTAGAGAAATTTTACCAACTTTGTTTAGTCTGTTACTTGGATGCTTGGCCAGCGAAAGTTACGATAAAAGGTAGAAAATTAATCCTATTATTTTTTTTTATCTTGGCTTCATGTCGCGAACTATAGGAGGTGTTTAGGGATTTTTATAGTCTAATGTATATAACAAATATTAAATAAAAAATACTATTGTAATTTTAGGCAAGTAGCCGCGAGAACACTAGGAGATTTAGTAAGAAAATTAGGAGAAAGAGTACTGCCAGAAATAATACCAATTCTTGAAAAAGGATTGCAGTCTGATCAGCCAGATCAAAGGCAAGGAGTTTGTATAGGACTATCAGAAATAATGGCCTCTACTTCAAGAGATATGGTGCTTACTTTCGTTAATTCTTTGGTGCCAACTGTGAGAAAAGCCCTCTGTGATCCTTTACCGGAAGTTAGACAAGCCGCGGCTAAAACTTTTGACAGTTTACATTCAACTGTCGGTTCGAGAGCTCTAGATGACATTTTGCCTACTTTACTCAACCAATTGGTAAGTTTCGGTAGTAGTTCAAATATATTATTAAATGTCTTTGAATAAGAAGACTAAGGAAGGAGCATATCAAAAATCTTAGGTCCACCGCGATGGGCCTCAAATATGGCCGACTTAAATTCCGGTTTATCAGTGCCGTTCTAAATTTATTTAAAAAATGTAAAACTATGATGTAGGGTAGACTCAATAATATGTTGTTTTATTTGACGTTGTGAATAAATGTTGGTAGTTATTAAAATTCTTACAAAAATATATAATTCTAATAAAAATAGATAAGTTATAATAATTATTTATTAACACAAACATCCGATACGCTACTGAAGCAGGTAAATCTGGTAAATCAAATTGACGTATCTAAATTCTTTGACAAGTAGTAAATAAAAGCAAAAATGCAAGAAAAAATATATAATTAGTTAATTTAAATGAATTTCATAAATGATCGGTTTACTACACGTATGTATATTATATAGTCACTTACTAGCGAAAAGTTGTTCCATTATTTCACTCGATTTTTGCCGAGATCTACCTCACGCTACACAACCATTTTAGAGTATTTTTCGGTAAATCGCAATAGTGTCACTGTTAATTTAAGTTCTGCCACAATTTCCATCTAGATTTACTACCTTTATACAACTATCAGTAGTAGAATAAATAATAAATAACATAAAATAAGCTCTGTAAAGACTGACAAATCCATAAAATTTTATTACAAATGTGTCAAATGAATCGTCAAACAGAACTGTCAATGATCCCCACCCTAGAGTGCTTTTTCCGCCCACCATGCATGAATACATGGATAGCATTATGCTCCTTCCTTAGTCTTCTTATTCAAAGATTAAATGTAGGCCCCAGAAAATAAGCAAACCTATTTAATAAGTTCTGGAACCATTGGTACAAGTAGTTTAAATGACCTCTATAGTTTTAATACATTTTTCAGAACGATGACAACCCTGAGGTGGTTGAATGCACTCTGGACGGTCTACGTCAAGTTATGGCCATCAAATCCAGGGTCGTGCTGCCTTACTTAGTACCTCAGCTCACAGCGCCACCAGCCAACACCAAAGCTCTTTCAATCCTAGCTTCCGTAGCTGGAGAAGCTTTGAATAAGTACCTTCCTAAGATACTCCCAGCACTGCAAACTGCTCTAGCTACATCAAAAGGCACTCCAGATGAAGTGTCACAGTTAGAGTACTGCCAGGCTGTTGTTTTATCTGTGGTGGACGATATGGGTATCAGAACTATTATCGATACAATGCTGGAGAATACCAGGAACCAGAATGCAGATCAAAGGAGAGCGGCTGCAACGCTTTTGTGCGGGTTTTGTGCTAATTCTAAAGCACAATACACAGCTCACGTGCCTCAGTTGTTGAGAGGGTTGATTCACTTGTGTACGGACAGTGATAGGGATGTTTTGCAGATGTCTTGGGAAGCTTTAAATGCCGTGACGAAGGTAATGTATTTGGGACAAAATAAAACTCTATCACTATACAAAAATAAAAATTTACAGACTTTGGAGCCGAAACAACAAGCGACTTATGTGTCAGACGTCAGGCAAGCTGTTAGATTCGCGATGTCTGACATGAAGGGAACTTCAGATGTGTTGCCAGGGTTCTGTTTGTCCAAAGGCATAGCTCCTATTTTGCCTATTTTTAGGGAAGCTATACTCGGTGGTGATGGGGACGAAAAAGAAGCAGCTGCGCAAGGTAAAACACTAAAAAACACTGAAATTCAAGTGTATAATGATGACAATTACGTAAAATTGTAGGTTTGGGAGAGATTATCAAAGTGACAAGTGCCAGCGCTTTGCAGCCAAGCGTCGTTGCTATCACTGGTCCTTTAATCCGTATTTTAGGAGATAGGTTTAGTGCAAATGTGAAAACTGCTGTGCTGGAAACGCTGGCTATTTTGCTTGCAAAGGTATTGTACTTATTTGTTTTTGTTTTATTACTTACTTATTTGTTGTTTAAAAAACCACCAGACTCGTGTTTTTTTTAAATTGATTCTATCACAGTATATAGGATGGTTCATTGTTCCTAAAACGACTCCAGCTATCTCTTTTTTTTTAGATTTTGCACTTTTACAAAAATATATTTACATAGATTTACAAGGTGTTCATTTTTACCAAGAGACCTTAATATAAATACAGGGTTGCTCACCACATACGACACGGAGTATTGTAGCTAAACTATTAGATTTTTACAAATTGTAAGTTTTGGGTTAGTTGAAGGACTATTAGAGCTACAATTTAAAAATATTTATACAAGAAACAGAGTGTCCCAAATAAATAAAAAATATCAAAGTTGTATTTTTTTTTTAAATGGAACACCCTGTATATTATTACATTTTTAGTTTCTACGATTACAATAAAGGTAAATTTGATTAAGGTTTATTACACTTAAACCTTACCGTTTTTGAAATATTTTCAATTTTGTTAAATTGCAGTAAAAATTTTAAGGGTATCAAAGTTTTTAATACTAAATATTTACTGAAGTTTATTTATCGATCAATTATTGTATTGCAATAATAAAAATAATACTATCTTATACAGAGTGTCTAAAAATGTATTTTATATAATTATTAGCTTTAAACGGCAATAACTTGTTTCATTTACATGGAACACCCGGTATATTTTATGAGAATCAGATGCACAATTTAATTGTCTATCAAATTGTATTATACCATTTTTTACCTATCTCTTTAAGTTTCCGTAGAAAATGCATTTTCTTGTAATTTAGAACTTATTTATTAATATACCCATGGAATACTGACATTTTAGATTATTTTTAAAGATGCACCATATTTTTAAAGGGTACAGATACTAATATTGTCGATATAATTCGTTTATTTCATTAAAAAATAAAAAAAACTGTTTAAATATTTGTTAAAGAGGACCAATTAATATGATTCTAGTATTCAAACTACATTAACTGACTGTTTGCGTTGATTAATAATAATTGCTCCCAATACTAAAAAACTGAGTTTTGTATGTGTATTAGACAGTGCGGTAAAAACTAACACCTTAAAAATGATATTTCATTTTTTAATATATGCATATTTATAACAACAGAGACGTTCATTTTCATAACTTATTATTATATTGATTTCTGATTCAAATCCACATTTATTTAGAATAATTTATTATCGAACACAATTAAGTATGTAATTAATTAGTATAGTCTATAAAATGAATAACTTTGAATTTTGACCGTTATTTTTTACCAACATGGCAAATATAAAATCCCTCTGTCAAAAAAGTGACTGATATTCTTTAAATTGAGTGCCTGAACGAATCAGATAGGTAACTCTTTTTACTTTCGTGAAATAGAAAAGGAAAATAATAAAACAAGTGACAGTTCTTCCTCTTCTTGCAAAAATCAACACGAAATGGCATAATTGTCAAAAGTAAAATGTCATCAGCCTCGGAGCGAGATTTATGACGTCACGCTAATTAGATACGGATTAATAAATATGTTGTAGAATACATGGAAAACATAATTATTCCTCGTATTTCTGGTTTGTATTTTAAAAATGATATAGTTTACATGAAATATACATAATATACAGTTAATAAATATAATATATATACCTATTTATAGTAATAAATATTTTGGCAAATAAACTATGAACCATACAAATACAACAAATGTTTTACAATATACAAATAATGAATAGATACATAAGATAATGGGTAAAATGTAAAATATATTTTAAATTTTGGGGTTTGAAAATCGATCTAATTTAACAAAAACATTCAATATATACTAATAGTGATGTATTATTATTTGCATTCACAAAATTTATATGTGATAGGTATGTGATAGGTATATATTTTGCAAGTATCAATGTTCGAAAAATTATATTTGCAAATAATAAAATATCATAGAAAAAAATGCGTCAGCGATGGCTATGAAATTAAGATCGCTGTCATTTTATAATGTAAAATTATTCTAAAATTTTTGATTTTCTTGGGATTTAGGTTCGGGAAAAACGCTGATTAAGTTTTCATTTGGTTTTTCATTATCTTTTTTGGTTTAAAAAACGTTTCGGCTAACATTATAGCCTTCATCAGTGTTGTGTCATATAAAAAAAATAGTGTCGAATATAATCCAAAAAATTGCATATAAAATATTCACACCACACACCACATAATGTTTACTGCAATTAAAAAACTAATATACACTTGTCAAAAGATGACCACATATTTTTTAAAATTATTATTCTTTACACTAAAACTATCTACGTTGACTATGGAGTACGATTTCAGCCATAGTCAAATATAAGGAATAATTATGTTAGCGTGAGGTTATAAATCTCGCTCCAAGGCTGTTCTATTAGAGATGGCATTGCATCAGCATGGCCGCAAGTTGCTAACCTAATAAAATTAACACTAGAAAAGCCCGCGGGAACTGTCAAATTCAAAGTTATTCGTTTCACAGACTATATTAGGGCGGAAATATTGGTGTTAGATTTAATTAATGGTATACTCTTTTATAAAGATTTAAATAGTTTTCTTTTTGCATACAAATGGGCTAGTAATATTATCATTTTGCTAAAAACGATAATATTACTAGCCTGTACATTTTGTACATGTGTTGCTTTAAAAACAATCTAAAATGTCAATATTCCATGGGTATATTGATAAATGAGGTCCAACTTATAAGAAAATGCATTTTTTACGAAAACTTGAATGGATAAGTAAAAAATGGTATAATACAATTTGATAGACAATTAAATTGTGCATCTGTTTCTCCTAAAATATACAGGGCATTCCATTTAAATTAAAGAAGTTATTGGCGTTTAAAGCTAGAAATTATTTAGAATAATTTTTTAGACACTCTGTATGAGGTAGTATTATTTTTATTATTGAAACACAATAACTGAACAATAAATAAACTTCAGTAAATATTTAGTATTAAAAACTTTGATAACCTTGGAGAAATGAAGCGTTCAAATTTTTACTGCAATTTCAATAAATTGAAAATATTTCAAGAACGGTAAGGTTTAAGTGTAATAAATCTTAATCAAATTTACCTTTATTTTAATCGTAGAAACTAAAAATGTAATATATTCCATTTTTTAAACGTAATAAATTCCATTTAAAAAAATATAACTTTGATATTTTTTATTTATTTGGGATACTCTGTATCTTGTAAAAATATTTTTAAATTGTAGCTCTAATAGTCCTTCAACGAACCCCAAACTTACAATTTGTAAAAATCTAATCGTTTAGCTACAATACTCCGTGTCGTATGTGGTGAACAACCCTGTATACATGACTTGTCAAAAGGTTTCCAACAAAATCAACCAAATAAACAGTTGGTTTTCCAACGTTTCGACTGTTTTTTCATAGCAAACCTCACTGTATTTTGTTTCAGGTCGGCCCAATGTTGAGGCAATTCTTGCCGCAGTTGCAAACAACCTTTGTTAAAGCTCTCAACGATCCAAACAGAGTTGTGCGACTGAAATCCGCATCAGCATTAAGTTATCTCATTGTCATCCACCAAAGAGCTGATCCACTCTTTACAGAGATCCACAGTATGATCAAAAACAACGAGGACCCAAGCATTAAGTAACAAACTAATCAATTACGAGGGTGGGCCGAAAAGTTGGCGACCTCACAATGATACATTTTTTTTAAATTGTCACTGATGTGGTCGGAAACTTTTCAGAATACATTAAATGGATTTTTATTAATTTTAAACAATTTCAGAGAGACTACGCTCCATGCCTTGAGGGGTATTACATCACCAGCGGGAGATAAAATGTCTGAACCAATCAAAAAGCAGATTTATGCTACTTTAGTAAGTTACTTAGGACAACCTGATGACACGATCAGGAAATGTGCTGCGGGATGTTTAGGGGCCATTTGCAAATATTTATCTCCTGAACAATTAGACGTAACTTTAACAGAAAATATTCTGAGTGAGTATTACTATAGTTAGGTGTTTCTAAATGTCCAAAAAACTCTTGATGATTGTTTCAGACGACGACAATAGTTTGAACGTAACATTAAGGGAAGGTCGGGGTTCTGCGCTGACTGTAGCGTTGAAAGAAGCTCCAGAAAGACTTTGGGATGATCAGTACAGGAGTAAACTGACTCAGACTATTCTAAGTCAAATACAGTCACCTACAATTAGTATTACTCAAAGCGCAATTCGATCTTGCGGGTATTTGATAGAATACTTGCTGAAAAATGAAGAACCCATTCCAAGTAATCTTTTAGTACCGTTTGTTAGGGTAAGTACATTTAAACTACTAAGTTTCAAAGGTAAATTACTAAAAAACAAAGGCTGTACTTAAACTGCCGTTAAACGGTAGCTTACTAAAATGCCGTTAATAGGTATGACGTTGTTGATGTGACTCACTTGACGGTTTAATGAAATATAGGAATCTTATAAGGACTAACCAACGCTATCCACCCCACCAAATAACCAACTTAACCAACGCAACTAACCTCGACACTGATAAAAAAAATTAAAAAAATATATAAATTAGTAAAAACCAACCAACCCCACCAAATAACCAACTAACCAATGAATTAACACCCTCCAAATAACCACGTTAACCAACGCGCCACTAATAATTTGGTACCACGCACTTGATATTTCGCGTCAAATTGTCGTTATGAACCGCATGTTACAATTTCAAACTTTGAATAAGAAGACTAAGGAAGGAGCATAATGCTATCCATGTATTCATGCATGGTGGACGGAAAAAGCGCCATAAAAGCACTCTAGGGTGGGGATCCTTGACAGTTCTGTTTATCGATTCATTTGACACATTTGAGTTTGATTTGAAATTTTGTGGATTTGTCAGTCTTTACGGAGCTTATTTTATGTTATTTATTATTTATTCTACTACTGATAGTTGTATAAAGGTAGTAAATATAGATGGAAATTGTGGCAGAACTTAAATTAACAGTGACACTATCGCGATTTATCGAAAAAGATTCTAAAATAGTTGGTTGTGTAGCGTGCGGTAGATCTCGGCAAAAATTGAGTGAAATAATGGAACAACTTTTCGCTAGTAAGTGACTATATAATATACATACGTGTAGTAAACCGATCATTTATGAAATTCACTTAAATTAACTAAATTATATATTTTTCTTGCATTTTAGCTTTTATTTATTACTTGTCAAAGATTAGATGTCAAAGAATTTAGATACGCTAATTTGACTTACCTGCTTCAGTAGCGTATCGGATGTTTGTGTTAATAAATACTTATTATAACTTATCTATTTTTATTAGAATTATATATTTTTATAACAATTTTAATAACTACCAACATTTATTCACAACGTAACATAAAACAACAAATTATTGAGTCTACCCCACGTCTACCCTACATCATAGTTTTACATTTTTTAAATAAAATTAGAACGACACTGATAAACCGGAATTTAAGTCGGCCATATTTGAGGCCCATCGCGGTGTACCTTTGATTTTTGATATGCTCCTTCCTTAGTCTTCTTATTCAAAGATTTCAAATAAACCATATGCGTAAATGTCAAAAGTTGACATGTGATATGTCATTTCCAGTGAAACAGGAAGTGACCAAAGATAATTGAATACGTTAATGATTCCTAATTTATGTCATACAAAATCTCCTTTTTTTATTTGAAAAAATAAGCTAGTTTAGCACCCCGTAGAGGTTTATCCATAATAAATTACAATTTAAGATTAAGAGCTTCTGTTACGCTTTTTTTCGATCGTACTGTATCATATAGGCACATAAGAATATTTCCTAGTTATTATTAAATATTACTTATTAAAGTTATATTTTTTCCAGGCAATGAACAATGCAAGTAATGACGTAAAACAACTATTAGCAAGAGTTTGCTTCCATTTAGCGAAGGTTGTACCTCAAGAAAAGATGTCTCCCGAATTCCTCAAACTTTTACTGCCAACCTTAGTGAACGGCACCAAAGAAAAGAATATCTACGTTAAGGCAAACTCCGAAATTGCTCTCATAGCCGTTTTAAAATTAAAAGAAGGAGACACTGTATTTCAAGTAAGTTTCTTTCATATCTGTTAAGTTTTAATAATTTTATACCTAAATATTTCAGAAATATTCAGCGATATTGGATGTAGGAGCTCGCGAGTCCCTTTCCGATGTAGTGAGCAAAGTTTTAAAGAAAATCCTCCACCAACCCGAGGGCAAAGAAGAGGATATTGACGATACCCTATTGACCTGATCATTGGAATGTACGAGAGATGAGACTAGGTCATTGTATCAGCATTTTTTATTATTTGAAGATTTAAGGGAAGAAATACTGTTTGTTTTTAAGTGTAATCAAGTCACTAAATATACTCTATTATTTATTTTTCGTTTATTCTTAAAAAATCCTTAAATTACAATAAATTATATGTTGTCAGCCCAACTGATATTGATGTGTGGCATTACTATCTTGGATATCTTGCAAAGTATATATCACTGTACTTTCTGCATTGTCCGAAGTACCAGGGGCATCTAAAGAACATCAATAGTAATGCTTGCAAAGATTTTGCCATTATTTAACTTACTATAAGCTTCTTCTGAGCCTTCTTCGTATAATATGTCACCTTGTGTCAGATTTTTATCAATTTTTACTGCCTAAAATCAATCGGAGAGTATAAAAACTGTTGCATATTGATACAAAATTAATTTATACTTCTCTATACTTCTGCAAATAGATTTTTAAAGGCTCTACATAGTTATCAAAGCCCAAGGTACTCATAGCAAACAAAATATCTTCTCCGTTAATAGTTTTTCTTTTCTCCAAGTGACATCGATCGCTAGCTTCACTTGTTATGAAGCTAATAAACTCAGAAACGCATTCCTGGACACATTCCCTGGCATCTTTGGCGATCTAAAATCAATTTTTTAGTTAAAATGGTTGAAACGTTACAGTAAGTGTGACGACTTTGTTATTGATTTTTCCGGTATCTGGGATGGCCTTTTTCATTATTTTGGCTACATTGGCAATGGGAAGAAATCTGTCTTGTTCGCGAAGAGGTAAACTGATTTTTTCTTCGTGATTAGAATCGTCTGTGTTTTCAGCAGCTATCTGTTCTGCATCCTCTGTAGAAAATTTTAAACTAAATTTAAAAAATCAATAATTTGACATTGCGTTCTTACCGTCAATGTCTTCCATCGAAACTACGTATCTCTCTCCTAAAGCGTATGTGTGAGACATATCAGAGAGGTTTTTATTTGATTTTTTATATTGAAAACTTATTTAAATATAAAAATCATAAAAACTATAAATATTTACAACTTTGACATTGACCAACGTCGTAAATAAGTAAGATGTCAAAATTGAAGGACCGTCTAATTAGATCTGTGGGCCATATGGTAGCTAAAGGCCTCTAAATTGAAAAGAAGAAAAAGACTGCAAGTGCCGTGATTTTTAAAAGACGATTTTTTTTAGTGAAAATAACCTACAAGTTTTTTATTTTTTAAATTCAAATAAATACTAGATATTTATTTTTTAAAAATGGAAAACTATAGAAAAGGGAGGAACCACGAAGAACCGCTTACCCAAGAAACTTTACAGATTAAAAATCTTCCAGAAAAGATTCTATGGATGCAGGTGAGAGGGTTCCTTAATTTTATACAAAATAATATATTCACCTTAATTTTACAGGTGAGAGGAGGCAGCAAAATTCGTAATCTTCTCGAATACGCTTTAAAGACATTCCCTGAAAATAAAGTCGTCGTTTGGACCGGATTTGGAACGTCCGTAGGAAAGGCGATAACTTGTGCAGAGATCATGAAACGAGAGTATAACAATGTTTTACATCAAGTCACAAAGCTGGCTTATCGCAAGTATGTTTTAATGCCTTTATTATTAATATCTAGGAAATTCTTTTAACTCTTTATTTTTTAAGTGTGGAAGAATATTGGGATCCATTGATCCCAGACATGGATCAGCTGGTAGTTAAAAGAAAATTGCCTATGGTTCATGTGTGTTTATCAGAGCAACCACTTGATATTAATGATTCAGGGTAAGGAGGTTTTATTTTACATATAACTGAATTTAAGTACTAAGGAAGCAGTCACGCATAAACTATGTGTGTATTTCATTTTACTTTTGACAAATATCAGTTAGTTTGGTGTGCTTTTCTGTGTTTATGTTCTGTTTCTGTTCTTAAAACATGAAAGCCACTGCAAACCCCTTCACAAGCCAATTTTGTTGATTATAATCTTTCCTAGTCTTTTCTTTCTATTTTTGTTGACTGTGTCACAGTTTGCTTATTTTTTTGTTTAGTTATCAAGCTCCTGGAGATATTGTACCATATACAGGACCAGGAAGTTCACAGCCACATTCAGACAACAGAAATTACGGTAAACATAGGGAGAAAAAGAAAAAACACAATGGAGCTAACAAACAAAATAATGCTAGTAGTAGTAGCAGTAATAGTGCAGTAAATTCAAACAAATAAAGACTTTTTTCATTAAAATTCGTTTCATTTATTTACTTATATTTTAGTACTTCATAATTTATAATATAATTCCATTTGGTTGATAAACAATAGAAAAAATTATACAAAGAATACCAAGTAATTTAAGTATTTCCACACATGCGCTGTATGGATGTTTGGTGTGCTACTGCATCGAAGGTGGTGGTGGGGGAGGTCCTCTTGGGGGAAACGGAGGTCGTGCCCCTCCGAAGTTTGGCGGAGGGGGCGGTCTCCAGTTGGGGGGCGGAGGCCTAGCTCCTGGAGGCGGCGGAGGTGGGAATATGTTCGGGAAATTGCTGTTAGCAGCTGCTTGTCCTGTAAGAAAAAATTTTCTTAAAACCCTACCAAAGAATACATTTATCTATGATATAAAAAAACGACAATAAGCGTCTTGAAGTATGTCTAAGTTTTTTTTATTAGAATAGGTCCAAAAATAACCTCCTTAAATATTAGCATGTCATTAAGGAACGCCCTGTATATACATATTCCTTACCTGAAGTAGGCAGCGGAGGCATCCCTCCAGCCTGCCACGGCGGCGGCGGAGGCATCATCCCCCTCGGCATCCCTCCTGCAGGCAATGGAGGCCGAGGCGCTCCACCTGCCCCTGCAGCGGATATAGGCGGCGCTCCAGGCGGCAGCGGAGGCTGACTGGGAGGCAAAGGCGGCGGGGGAATCCCAGAAGGAAACGACGATGGCGGAGGCACCGGAGGCGGTGGTGGAGGCGCCATACTCGCCGGCGTCGGAGGAGGCATAGGCATAAGACCCCCTAAAATAACAGGAGGAGGTGGAGGAGCCATGGCCATGCCCATCATGCCCATCGGAGGTGCATCGGCGAACAGCTGGTGAGGTCTGTCTGCTTGGGAGAGTGGGTTTTGAGCTGCTAGTAGTCTTTCGGCTGCCGAGCCGTGTCTTTCGCCTTTGGAGTCTTTTTTGAAGGCGTATGACACCGATATGGGTCGGTTGCAGAGGTACTGGCCGTTCATGGCTTCAATCGAGGCGTCGGAGGCTTCGAAGCTGGCGAAGTTGATGAAGGCGAAGCCTTTGGAGTTGCCGGTTTCCGGGTCTCTCATTATCTACGAATTTAAATAAATAATAATGTTAAAACACTAAAAAAATTGATTATTATTATGAAAAATCAATGTTCATCAGTGTTGCAAACTCTTCGCTAAATCAGAACAAAATAATATGACTCAAAATCTTTAAAATTTATCCAAAATTTCAAGAAACTCAATTTTATTAAATAAAAAGAAACAGGAAAACATAGTTTTCTTATTGGACATTTTCTGTAGTTTCATCCCAGCTTGGCCGTGATGTCAAATATTGTTTCATCGAAAAAAACGGCGTCAAAGGTGGCTGGGGAATGACAATAGATAATTTTGACGAGTTCAATCTCTAAAATCTATTTCCAAAAAATTATTTTTTCTCGAATTTCAAACTTCACCATTTAAAAATCATCTTTATTCAATAATGTACCGTACGATCGAAAAAAAAATCCGTTAGCGATGGCTATAACATGAAGATCGCTGTCATTTTATATGAAAAATCATGGACGCCGTTTTTTTTTCGATCACACGGTACTTATTAATTGTTAAAAAATAATGTTTACGTTTTTTTTAAGATAATTGTGTGTTAACACTAATGTGTGACACAAAAAAGTGTCATGTCAAAAAATGTAAATTTCTACAGTATTATCGAAAAAAAACGGCGTGCAGTTGGCTGGGAAATGACAATCGATGTCATTTCCCATATAAATTTACATATATAAAATGACAGCGATCTTCATTTCATAGCCATCGCTGCCGCCGTTTCTTTTTTCGATCATACTTTAGTTATCTTTACATATAATAGTGAAAAAACTACATATCACTCAAAAATTAACTAAAGTTACATACCTTAGGCGTTTGAAGTATAACTCCAAAGGCTGAAAACGTGTCGTACAGCAATTTTTCGTCCACTTCCGGATCTAAATTTCCTATAAATATATTCGCTCCCACATCCAAGTTTTTCTGATGGGCCGACGCTTTGTTTACTCGTATAGGTTTCCCATACAACTTTATCATGTTCATAATCTTTATGGCATAGTCGGCGTCTTCTTCGCCCATGAACTCGACGAATCCGTACCCTTGGTGCATCATAGTCACTCTGTCTTTCGGCATATGAACGTTTACTAAAAATGTTCGTTAATAGAATTTTTTTTATGCTAAAAAAGTAGTTTTTTTTACCTAGTGGACCTGCCTGAACAAAAAGTTCCCACAGTAAAGATTCGGAAACCTTATCGTCGAGACCTCCAACGTATATTGTTGCATCTATATTAAAATAAAATATAAATAAAAAACAAACACACTAAAGTATATTGTTTCAGTTTCATTTCTTACCTCTATTTCGTTCAGCGATTGGTCCGTTAGCCATGATATCTTACTATGATATAGCCTGAATATTATTATATTATATTCGCGTTTAATTTAATACATTATATTGAGGAAAACACAAAATATAATTAAAAATAATTTCAACTCCATCGGCTTCTGAGATACATAACCTAAAAAATGATTTGTCTAGTCTCGGGATGGGTACAACAGATCGATATATTAAATATATCGATTGTGAATAATTTATGGAGTATTAAGCTTGTTTCATATAGACGCGAATCGCGAATTGCGAAAAGCGATTCGCAAAAAAATATTCGCAAAATTTGGACCTATTTCATACAGTCGCGAATTTTTAGGGACATTTCATTTTTGCTCAACTGAAAGTTACTAAAAAAAATCATAACCTGAGATAACTTAATTTGTTTTTATTCGTGTTTACGATCTTTATTTTATATTTTATAGCATACAATATGAGTTTAAATTTGTTTAATGATTATGAATATTGATTACGATTGTGGGATTGGAACAGAAGGTGCAAAATTGCCATTTACTTATTGTTAAAACGTAGAAAAGAACGGGTTTATAGGTCATTTGGGACATGTTTATAGGTCATTTGGGACATGTTTATAGGTCATTTGGGACATGTTATTTAAATTTCGTAAGCAACAAGGTGCTTATCGCAATTTAATTCAAGAAATGAGGAAAAAAGATGAGAACAAATTTAGGAATTTTCACAGATTGAGTCTACTGACTATGATGTGTTTATGTTTTTTACAGATTGTCTGTATAGGAGTTTGATAACTTGGTTGAAAAATTGTCACCATATTATATCAAAAACATATACACGAGAATCCATTTCACCTGGAGAAATGCTTTCAGTTACTTTGTACTTTGGTACCACTTTGGTACTTTGTGGCAGCGTCGTCAAAATAATCGATAACCGGATCACAACACCATTCTGCGCAAACGCGAACCTTCAAATCGCGCGAATATTCGCAAAAAGTTGAAAACACTTTAACTTTCCCGCCCCCCAAATTTTAAATCTTGCGAATCGTCAAAATCTTAAAATTTCTGACAGCGCTGCATGATCATTAAAATTGGACCAATGAGAGCAGTTTCGCAAAATCGCAATTCGCGATTCGCGTCTATATGAAACAAGCTTTAATAGGTATTTTTCCAGACTGATGCGACGTATCGATCCATTTTTAAACTTTGCCATCACTAATTATTACTTGATTAAACAGAAAACTGTAATATGTTTCTCAGAAATGGCGGTTCTTGGCGCCAGCCTGGCGCTGCTAAAGAAGCGCGTTTTTGAAGTCAAACTTTAATAAAATAATGATTATTAAATAAAAAATATTATCTAAAAAGAAAACAGCAATAATAAAACTATTTTCAGACACTTGGCAACTGTAATCAATATTTCTGTGTGTGGTAGGTCAGAATCCTTCTTTGTAAAGATAAACACTTATTTGTTTAAAAGCATGCAATTATTTACCGGATTTAACCAAAACACTGTTAATGAATTAACAATTTTGAACTCTCTATAATTAGTATAATTACGGGTCAGTATAAATATTTAGGAGCTTAATTAAATATCTATAGAAATTTCATTGCGTTAAAATTAATATAAAAATCAGTTTTACTATGAATAAGTGTGAGTTTTATTTACTTCATTCCTTTAGTCGAAAAATACATCAAATCTTTAAAAATAATTTCCAACAGTTCCTTACACTGAATTTTTAGCGACTTGTTGCTCAACGATATCGTCCTGGATCTGGCTCTCTTGCTTGATCAGTACTTTCTGCAATTGTTGAACAGCAACACTCTGAGCCAATTGTTCTTGAGCCAAGAAACGTTCTAGCTGTTGCAATTTAGCCTTAACTTGTTGCAATTGCATACAACCTTGACCACAACCTCCTATTTGTCTGGCTACCGTTTCTTGAGCTTCGACCTTTTTGATTTGCTGAGTAACAAATTGACGTTGAGCTTGGATCTGTTTGGCTTTTTGCTGACAGTCACAGATCGATCTAAAGATTGTAAAATATAAATAAGACTTATTATAATGAAGAAGATTACGTACTTTTGAGTTTGTTGGGCGTTGATTTGGTCTACCAATTGTTGAACCTCACCCTGGAATTCTTCTGCTTCAGCCTGACCTTGGAGTCCAAGTCTTTGGACGATTTGTGTGGCCAGTTGTGCCTCAATACCTACTTGGAGGGTTTGTTGAAGAAGCTGTCCAGTGCTGCCAGGTTGAGCTTGCTTCTGCTGTTGTTTTACCAGTTCCTAAAACAATAAATAGCCATCTTATCTCTAACTTACCGAGTTGGTCAATGAATGCCTGCAGAAACTGAAGTATTTCTTTAAAAAAAATCTTACTTCAATAACTTGTTGGATTTCTCCTTGTCTGGCTTGCTGGAACAAAGTTTGAGCAACATTTTGACCTCCAAATGTATTTAATCCAGTAACCTGGGCTCTTTGGGCAAGTTCTTTGATGGTTTCCTGGATATTCAGTTGTTGTTCTTCTTCAGCACCACGTACTATTTGTTGGGCAGCTTGAGCAGCTACTATTTGACCATTTCCTTGAGCTCCACCTTGAGCTAAAGTTCTCTGAAGAGCTTGTCTAGTAACTTGTTGAGACAAATCAATGTTTCCGTATACTCCTGTTCTTTGTGGTGCCTGGATCATTTGTTGGAAAGGCGTTTGGAATAGTCTTGAGGTCTGTTGGAGTGAAGAACGTTGCTGAGACACTTCTTTGAGTAGTTCTTCTATTCCCGAAGTACCAAATCTGGTGTTGTAGTCGTTTTTCGAGCTTCTAGCACTAGCTAGAGCTACGATAGTGAGTAAAATGAAGGATTTCATTTCGGTAAGGGTGTAGTTCTTGTTCTGAACGAAATGGGAACTGTTTTGGTGAAGTGAATTTGAAAATGTCTTTATATATTAAAGCTCTTATCAGGGGTATAAGGGTTCACCACCCGCGAAGACTGAATTTAACGTAATTGTTGTTTTTATTGCACCAGAAAAACAATATCAATAACAACGAAAAAAATCTTATTTGTTAGATTGTGATGCTTTTTTAATTATCTGTTTTGTATGTATAAAAATAATAATAGGAATCTTCCCATTGACAATATGGGTAAATTGAACTTGTAGTTCCTATGGAAGATTTGTGTTAAAAAACAGAAAAATATTTTTAAAATGTCGCAAATAAGATGTGGTTGTTTTTCTGCATCCGAATTTGTGTTGAAAATCAAAACATGTTTTCCTTTAACTATAGCTGTTGTATGTATATATTTGTTTACTTATTTATGTACTAATATCATTTTTTTCTAAAGAGTCAGCGATGGCTATGAAATAAAGATCGCTGTTTTTTATATGTAATCAAAATTAATAATAAAACCATCTATCAAAGAACCAAAAATCGAAATTATATTATCACAGAAACCCTTTTGATTTTTGAGATTTTTAGGACTCGGAAGAAATTCAACCATATTCTCATGTTTTTTTTTTAATTTTCTCTAAAACGGTGTGTAAATTTGGAAAAGTATAAACGTTATTTATACTCTTGTAATTGCACTTGCGGTCTTGCATGCTTGGTCTTGCGGAAGTCTTGCTCTGTTCGTAGAGTATGTCCATGGATCTTCTTTAAAAAAGAAAAAAAACTTTTTTATTGCCGTAATTTTTTTATAAAGAATACATTTTTCTTAAAAAGTTAAAAATAAAAATTTTCCTCTTGTACAAATATTTGGAAGTTTACTCTGCTATATTTAAAAGAAAATTAATGATGTTTATAGAAATAAGTAATGGAATAACAAATTATTATTGAATTAAACAATTTGTTATGTTTGAATACATATCAATTAAAATATTTCATCACAACAGAAAATTTAGATACAAAATAATTAATAATTATAAATATCTCAATAGATTTTTTGTTTTTGGTAGACCAAATTTAGTATTCGTGTCTATTTCCATATCAACAAGGTGAAGAACAAATCAAAACAAATTAAAGATAGTTGTTACTAGTTGCTATAATTGGAAAACTCTATACAATTTCTTTAATTTAGCTTTGATGTAGAAATTATAAACAAATCTGGAAACCTTTCCTTAGCAATAAATAAAATGTAACAGGAATATGTCATGATTTACTATACAGGGTGAGTCTTAAATAAATGCAAATATTTTCAGGGCTGGTAGATCTCGATAACGGACACATATTTTCTCTTTACCGTTTTTCAAAATCATGTCCAAAATAACCGAGATATTATTTTACTCAAATTTTATTAAAACATTCAAACCCGACCGTTGAGTCTTTTCTGGGTTTTCTTTCTTGTAGATTTAATCTACTACCTATGTTGCTCTTAATCTACCTTGTTGTACAGGGTGAGTCAACGATAGAGTAAAGTCCATTATCTCATTTGTTTCGAGGTTTACAAAAAAATATTAAATATAAAAGTTATAGAGATGGTTAAGATACACATTTTAAAATTATTATACAGTATACAGGGTGCTTCAAAAAAGTGTGGCGGCTATAACATATGTTTTTTTAAATGCAACACCTTATTTTTATTTCATTTTTAGATTCTGCGTAAAATTCTATAACTTTTTTATATATAATGTTATATACCTAAAATTAATAGTTTTTATAATATTTAAATTTGTTTATACAAATGTTAAATTGCAGTGTGGTAAAAAATTGCCAGTGGTACCATTGTTTCTGAAGTTGGAATACCAAAATTTGGTATGAGAGTTCTATAGAGATTAAAAAGAAGATATATGTTAAGATATTTTAGTTAAATGCTACAGGATGTTCAAAATATATTTATAAATTTCAACTACTTAAAATTAAGAAATTTCAATTTTTTTAAATGGTACACCCTATATATTATTATTTTTTCTGATAGATTTTACAAAACTCTTCAACTTTTATTAAGTATGTCATATACCTATTTTTATTACTTTGCGATTTATTCCATATTTTTCTATTTTTACCCATATTTTTAATACAATTGCGCTATAACATCATAGTTGCCATGACAAAAAGTAATAATTATCACAATTTCATGTCTGTTGAGCAAGTTCCTTTTAAAAAATTTGAGATTTTTTAATTTTAAGTAGTTGAAATTCCTAAATATATTTTGAACACCCTGTATCATTTAACTAAAATATCTTTACACATATCTTTTTCTTCATCTCTATAAAATTCTCCTACCAAATTTTGGTACTCCAACTTCAGAAACAATGGCACCACTGACAATTTTTTACCACACTGCAATTTAACATTTGTATAAACAAATTTAAATATTACAAAAACTATTAATTTTAGGTATATAACATCATATATAAAAAAGTTATGAAATTTTACGCAGAATCTAAAAATAAAATAAAAAATAAGGTGTTGCATTTAAAAAAAACATATGTTATAGCCGCCACACTTTTTTGAAGCACCTTGTGTACTCCATAATAATTTTAAAATGTGTATCTTAACTATCCCTATAACTTTTATATTAAACATTTTTTTGTAAACCTTGAAACAAATGAGATAATGGACTTTACTCTATCGTTGACGCACCCTGTACACAGCTTCAAGCTTCAAGGGACTGTAAACCTGAGTATATGGTTTTAATTTCAACTCAATAGCCCCACGCGTTCCCGAGATAAACGGTCTTGACAGACAGACAGACGGACAAAAAACAAGTGATTTTATAAGTGTTCCATTTTTTTGGAAGTAAGGAACTTCCCACAAACGTATCGATAGATGTTCACAATCCAGGATTGCAGAGGCGGCCTGAGCGGTAAAACTGAGCGTCTGTGGACGCCTTTAGCAAAAGAGAAAATATTTTATTTACAGATATTTCAAGCTTTTTGGTCGAATTGTATTAGGCAATTTTGATCAGGTACATAGTAATCGTTATTTTGAAGTTTGCTTTTATGTAATGACAGTTTATCAGAACGTCTATTGTTTTAATAGACGTAGATATCTGTGCTAAAAAGCTAAAGTGTTCTGAAACTAGTTAGATTTAGATGTTTTAAATCGTTTTTTTGTTTATTTGTTTTGTTGGAGGGACATGATAGAGTTTTTTTTTGATCAGGTAAATTTTTAATGAAGAAAAAAAAACAATGACAAGCTTGGTTTCCTTTACATTTTAAAGTTCCATACTCACTATGCCTTTTCACTAGCGAAATAAAAAAGTCAGTTTCCATTTGAAGAAAATTATTTATGATATTTTTTTGGGTAATCGCTACATTTGACGTTTAGGCTCTACATATATTTTTGACAGGCATTTTTTGGCGTCCAAAAAATGTTAATATATTTTTCTCAAAAACAGTTAATGTTAGATATATATAGAGTGCTTGATATCAAAATTCATAAAATTTTACGTAGAATTAAGTATGTAATAAAAAATGGGGGTACCCGTTTAAAATAAGAAAGTTGCTGTCAACTTCCGGTATTCGTTCTGAAACAATGATGTGCAAAAAATCCCCGCATTCCTAAGTGGATAGTTATGAGATGGCCTTTCCGGAATAGCAGATATATGTGCTTGCGGATTAAGCAAACGGATTTAAAATGAATAAAGAAGAGTCAGCATTTTGAAATTTTTAAAGAAATTCTGGCAGTGAGTTCTACTGTTCAGTCCCAATCTTTGAAGAAGAAGACTAAGGAAGGAGCATATCAAAAATCTTAGGTACACCGCGATGGGCCTCAAATATGGCCGACTTAAATTCCAGTTTATCAGTGTCGTTCTAATTTTATTTAAAAAATGTAAAACTATGATGTAGGGTAGACGTGGGGTAGACTCAATAATTTGTTGTTTTATTTTACGTTGTGAATAAATGTTGGTAGTTAATTAAAATTGTTATAAATATATGAATTCTAATAAAATAGATAAGTTATAATAAGTATTTATTAACACAAACATCCGATACGCTACTGAAGCAGAGTAAGTCAAATTAACGTATCCTAAATTCTTTGACATCTAATCTTTGACAAGTAATAAATAAAAGCTAAAAATGCAAAGAAAATATATAATTTAGTTAATTTAAGTGAATTTCATAAATGATCCGGTTTACTACACGTATGTATATTATATAGTCACTTACTAGCGAAGTTGTTCCATTATTTCACTCGAATTTTTGCCGAGACATACCGCACTACACAACCAACTATTTTAGAGTCTTTTTCGATAAATGGCGATAGTATGCACTGTTAATATAAGTTCTGCCACAATTTCCATCTAGATTTACTACCTTTATACAACTATCAGTAGTAGAATAAATAATAAATAACATAAAATAGCTCCGTAAAGACTGACAAATCCACAAAATTTCAATCAAATTCAAATGTGTCAAATAAATCGTCAAAGGATCCCCACACCAGGGGGTGACAGTGAAATAGGAAAATTGGAAACAGTCATTAGTGTCATTCCTGTCATTCTCCTCACGACAAGTATGGCCGCCTAGACAAAGATAGCATTGTTTTTGTCTAACTATTGTCTAACTTCACAGTTTAGAATTGACAGATTTCAGTTTCAGAGACAACTTCAGATTTGTTCTAGAACAAATTCGAAAATTGTGTCGAAAATATTCGACGCCATTTTAATTCATTCCGTTTAGTTTCGTTTTGGAAGTTCAATTTAATATTTCGGCTGAAATTTATAATTATAAAGGTAATAAAGTATATAAAATATATATTACATGAAGAATCCTGGAGAAAATGACGTTTCTGCCGTAGTAGGTATGTCCCATGTATATGAAAAATAGGTAGTAAATAAACACTGTTTTTACATTTTTTAGATGCAAGAAAATGGTGTTATAATCTCTTTGATCGGCGATTTTTTTGAAAATGGAAACAATTTACAGCAAGGTAAGATCATTTTTAACTATAGCCAACATCATTTATCTCCAATATGTGCGATTTATTGTCAATAATGCAATAAATCGGACTGATAATCTGATTATGTTATCCGACTAAAAGTCTCTTTTTGCTTCTTTTTGATTTATAAGCCAGGTCTCTTTGGGAATAATGGACGCTTTTTTAAACAGTATATTTATATTTTATACCTATTGATATTTTTACATTGTTAATTTTAGTATAAAAAAATTTGTTTTTCTGTTTTCAGGTTTTTGTATAAGGCTCCCGTTTTCATGTCCCTGTGTCCGTTTTCTGTCCTTGAAGTCTGCGAATACGTGTGTTTATTTACAAATTACTGTAAGTCATGCTTATACCTTAACTAATTTACGTTAAAAGTACATATAATTAACTAATTGGTATTGAAACAATACAATCCTCTATATTTTTATGTTTATTTAGTCACGTTGTTCCATACTTCAAATAAATATATGTGAATAAATTATTTTTTGGTTTTATTTATGAAAAGAAAAAATACAAAATACATTTGAACTGAAAGAGGGCCCGCCATTGAATAACCGGAAACGGAAATGAAAATTAAGCCATCATGTCCTTATCATGTCAACCTGTCAATTGGAAAATTAGTTCTCCAGACGACAACGAAGGCTTTCGGTGGCGTATCGTGTTTCCACGATTTAACACAGAGTTGACACTTCTTTCTAGTTAATTATTTTATGATCCCCACCCTAGAGAGGTTTTATGGTGGCTTTTCCGCCCGCCATGCATGAATACATGGATAGCATTATGCTCCTTCCTTAGTCTTCTTATTCAAAGGTCCCAATAAATATCGAACTGCTCTCTTTTGAAGTCTGAAAACACGATCAAATTTTGTTGCGCAGCAAGTACCCCAGAATGGAAGGGCATAACGAAGATGTGACTCAAAAAGGGCATAATAGGCTATCCTGCTAGAGGTTGAGACGTTAAGTTCCATGGAAACTTATCTTAGCGCAAAACAGGCAGCGCTTAGTTTCTTTGATAGAGCTTCGATGTGAAAGTCCCATTTTAACGAGTTTGGTTTGGTTTGGTTTCGACTTTCTTTTTCTACAACAAGTCCTAAAAATTTCACAGAGTCCACGACGTCAATAGTGTCAATATTAAGTACAAAAGGTTGTATAGTACTTTTATATGACAAAACTTTAGATTTTGATAGGTTGAGGCATAGGAGATTAGAATCGCACCAAAATTTAATGGTGCGTAAGTCACTGGATATAGTATCATATAGTGCCGTAACATCTGGGCCGCTCCAAGTGAAACTAGTATCGTCCGCAAAGAGGCAGATTTTACCGCTAATCAAATTTGCAATGTCGTTGATAAGCACCAAACAAAATAGGGCCAAGTACTGAACCCTGAGGGACACCACATTCTATAGGCTTACAAGAAGACATAGACGTATCAATCCTCACAAGCTGCCTTCTGTTGCCAAGATATGACTTAAGCCATTCGAGCGGCACTCCCCTGAAACCATAGTATTGCAATTTGTTAATTAAGATATTATGATTTACACAATCGAAAGCCTTAGAGAAATCGCAGAAAATTGTAGCTGTAGAGTGATGGTTATTCAGGCTAGAGTATACATTATTAAAAAGGGCGAACATAGCATCATTTGTGTAACTGATACTTAGAAATCCAAATTGATGGGTAGTAAGTATTTTATATTTAAGGAGAAAAGATAGAAACCTTTTGTTAACCAATCTTTCAATGATCTTAGATAATGTGGGCAGGAGTGCAATTGGGCGATAGTTCGAAGCTTCATCTTTATCTTCTTCTTTATACAGAGGAATTATTATTGCTGTCTTAAATCTTCATTTTAAGGGATTCTTTAAAAAATTTCAAATAACATTTTCTGTAGATTAAAATGGAGAAACGAGAAACTTATTCATCATTTTTAAAATTTACATGGGATTTCCTATATCCAGGTCGGCGATTCAATAAACAGTAAATATTCAAACAATCCTAAGTATTAAGAAACACTTTTATTATAATTTTACAACATAGTAACAGTCTTTTATCACACTAACCAACAACAAAACAAAACAAATAAATAACCAATTAAGATATTTATTATGATTAACAAGAAAGAAAATAACAAATTAATAAGTTTATTGGCTACCTAGTTAAAAATTCTGCTCTCAAAATACAGATAATTCAATATCCCAATATAAATAACATTTCAAAATTCATTTTTTTTAATTTATTTGGTCTCTATATAAGAACGAAATATTAATTTTGGGATTCAGTCTTCTTAGAGATCTCTGATTCTGAGCAATAATGAAGCTACTTGCAGTTGTCGCACTTTTGGTTGTCTCAACCCATTCAAGCCCTTTGGGCATGGGTTTCATGGGACCGCGTATACCATTCGACACCATGACTGACAGATTCGTGACCAATCCAGGTAAAACATTATTTTTTAAGATACCTAAATTAACAAAAATCATTATACAGGGTGAGTCAACGTTAAAGTTAATAGTTAGCTATTTGTTCCGATTTTTGTCTATTTTAACATATTCAGAGTGTTCAAAAAAACACATGCCATCTCTCATGTAAAATATGATTTATGTCTTACATCAACATAGGTCCAATCCTGCTTTATTTCATAGCTATAGAGGGTTAAATTCTTTTTTTTTCATTTATTTTAATTTTCTTCCAAGTGCTTTTAGTGATTTGAATGCGAATCACTAAAAGCACTTGGAAGAAAAGAATAATAAATAGAAAAAAATTGATGCTTTAACCCCCTGTAGCTAGGAAACAAAGCAGAATCGGACCTATGTTGGTATAAAAAATAAAACTAATGTTTCCGTGAAGAATCTCCCCACGATAGATTGTACATGTTTTTTGAAACACCCTGTATATTGAAGTAATCATTCGTCTCTATAAAATTCTCCTACCAAATTTGTGTATCTTTAAAAAAAACATATGTTATATTCTCCACGCTTTTTGGAGCACCCTGTATACTCAAAACTAATTTAAAATTGTGTATCTTAACATTCCATAAAACTTTTTTATTTAACATTTTTGCATAATTGTCAAAACAAATGAAATAATGACATTATCGTTGACTCACCCTGTACAGTGTGAATCAGTGAAATGGAATAAATTAAAGCACTTACAGATAAACTGTAACGAATACCAATATTCGTATTTTAAATGCATCACCCCGTTTATTTATTATTATTTTCGGATTCTTCAGAAAATTCTAGATCTAGATCTAGATCTTCAAAGGTTTTGGAAATATTATGTGGCAAACTAACTTATTTTACGATTGCAAATAAAATAACGCTAATCTGTGGTGTCTTTTGTTTCTAGAATTGATGGGAATGGACACTATGATGCCTTACAGGGACTTCAAACAAAAAGCTCACGATCTGACTGAAAAAGTGAAACAAGACGAGATACAAGACACTCTTCTGAATATGAAACAAAGCATGGGAGGCATGGGAATGACCATTATGGGAGGCCAAGACATCGGAATAGCTAAACGAATGGCCGAGGAACTAACTGGCAAAGCTGTGGATGCTGAGAAGGTCCAATTGGAAGAATCCATGCAACAAATTCAGAAAGACGTTGTTACAAACGAACGTGGAATCTTGGTGGAACCTCAAATTATAAAGGTAAATAATCATGAATTTCTTTTTTTTTCATGGACGTGTAAAAACAACGTGTATTTCAGCAAGTAGCCATCACTGATCTACAAAAAGGCCTGATGCAGCAAGATAACGACTTCATTTTGAGTACCAAAGAGCTGGAAGATACCTTAGAAGTAGGACTGAAAGCCCAGATGGTTATTGAAGGCGTCCAAAAGAACGAGATGATGTTGAAGAACCCCATAGCCTTCCCTATGGCCCAAAAAATGTCCATGGACTTCCAAATCCAGATTCAAAAGCTCATTGAAGAGAACAACATGGAAAGAACCAAAGCGTATGTCCCATCATAAAAAAATAACGCGTATAGTTCATATTTTAATTATTTTTAGAGCTATAACCCAAAGGGAATTTGAACTCAAACAGCTTCAATCTCAACTCAAGTTCCTTGACTTCCAAATGAAACAACTCAAAGTCCAAAAAACTCTGATGATGACTACTGAAGTGACCGGACAAGATTTGGTGATAGTCGAACAGCAACTCATCTTCCAAATGAAGAAACTGATGATGGAGGAATTGGCTCTTCAAACGGTGATCAAGGAGCTTCAGCAAGTGTTGATGAGCCAGCAGAAAGAAATCATGTTCGCTCAGCTTAAAGAGAGTGGTTTGGTGATGCGTCCTGACATGATGATGATGCGTCCTGATATGATGATGAGAATGATGAACATGAGGGATGTGCCAATGACAATGAGGGTTTAAAACTATAATTATGATAAAACTATTTTTCTTATTTAGAAATTGTAGTTTCCTAAGTGGTTTTAGCAATTGATTATGTTAGTTACATTGTTTTTGTTCTGTGTTTTGATGTAGTCAGTTTTTAATACCATTGATTTCATGGCAGTAATAAAAATATATATATTAACTGATATTTGAGTGTTATTGTTAATTATTGTTATTATATCGCTAGAACATACAGTATGTCCTAGGATTGTCTTTACGAGAGGGAACTTTTTGATTCTTGACATTTTGAGAAAAATGCACCCAAGCAGCATTTGGACGTCGGGACAACGTTGTGTCACGCGACCAAACGTCGGGGCGCAACGTCGGCACAACCTCGTGCCAACCCTAGTCTGCACTAGTTTGGAGAATAATTTTTGGGTTGAAACGACGTTGGATACCGACGTTGGCTAGCAGCCTAATTTAGTAAAATCCTAATTCACAGAAATACAAAACTATAACAATATGGCGTCTAAGTCGCGTTTTATCCTAAATTGGGATAATTATAGTAAAAATATTATTTTTATGATTTAGTTAGAGACATATGCCAGATGGCAGTAAAGGAAAACAAAACAAAAGTATTTAAGTATGGAGGATGTTTGAAGATCATAATTATTGAAACACTTTATCCGACTCTGTAACTCGCTACCCAAGGCAAAAAAGTTAAACGCAAACAATTTTATTGATAAATGTATTGTTTCTACTTTGAAAAATACCAATGGGCCTTAAAATTAAAGAAGTTTTAAAAAATTTCTTGAATTTTTTTTATAGTAAAATGAGAATAATTTATTTGCAGTCGAAAAAATTGTTTCCGCGTGTTGTTTAGGGTCAAATATTTCAAGTTAATGTATTCAAAAATCAGGAATTGCTATTTTAGGAACGAAACATTTTCTTATTCAACAACATGGCGGCTTTCACTTGCTGTTTTGGAGATTAAGATGGAGTAGTAGCAAGATTGCCTAATTTAGTCATCCTAGAGTCTAGCTTGTGCCGCCCTCTATATTCTAAATAAACGAGGGAGTAGATAAAGTATTGGTAATATGTCGATGTATATTTAAATTTAGTTTTATATGTACCTTTATTATGTCCCATTTTAATTAAGTTTTTTTTTATAAAAACAAAAACAGCACTGAACTGTCTGACTGAACAGAACAATGAAGTGAAAATTTAAGATTTAAGGTTATGGTTCAATACAGTTGCAAAAAGTTAGTGGCTCGACGTCCTACCAACGTTAGAATAGGTCCTGAAAGTGACGTAGGAAAACTCTTTATTGCCCAACGTTGTAACTACGTTGTCCGAATCACCTAAAGATCACTTAAGCAAAAAAGGTTAGAAGACAACGTTTATTCGATGTCGCAGAAGCTTTTACTTTGTTGTAGTACTAGTTCAACGTCGGCACAACGTTACAACAACGTTTACATTTATTTTAATACCCAAGGTAAGGAGCTAACTATTTTTTTTAACTAATCCAACGTTGTGTTTAGTAAACATTTGGTGGCAAGTCGTGAAAATGTTATTTGGGATTCGTCATTAAAATTTTTGCTTGTTCTAAAATGGTTAATCCTGTCTATACTATTCCATATTTCCATACCGTTTTAGAGAAAATTAAAAAAAACATGAGAATATATGGTTGAAAAAAAATTCTGTATTTTCGTGTTTTCTTTGATTTTCTCTAAAACGGTATGGAAATTTGAAAAACTATAAACGGGACAAGCAAAACTGAACATTTTAGAACAAGCAAAACTGAGGAATATGCATTTTTCTCAAAATGTCAGTAATAAAAGCATTCCCTTTTGTATACTGTAGATATAGATAGACAGAGACAATACCTAAGAGTACGGGCCAAGTAAATGAAGTCTAGGGCTTGACCTCGCCAAAATTTTTATCGATTGTCATTTCACAGCCGTCTTTAACGCCGGTTTTTTTTCGATCTTATGGTAGTATCATAAATCATGTCTTTCTTGTTGGAATAAATGTATAGAATTGTATGGAAACAAAATAAAAAAATAATTACACACCAAAATTTTATTAAGCGTTTTTATGAGAAAAAAATTATTATTTACTAAATAATTCAATATCACTGTTTGTATTCACACCAGTCGTGAGGACAGGGGCTTCCTTTGGGAGGGCCACATGGATTACAGGGAGGTGGAGGTTCATATATACCTACAGTGTGTTCACCTTAAAATAATAATAAAAACGTTGAATAATCATTAGAAATTTTTGAAGAAAAAAGATTACAGTTGAGGGTTGGAACCTTTAGTGTTACACAGCAAAATAAAATTACACTAAATCACCACAATACACCAAAAATAATCGTTTTCCTTCCATTAAATTTACGCATGAAATTGAGAACAACGACAGATTACCATTTCTAGATGTATTAGTTATTAGAAATACTAATAATTGCCTGGAATTTGATATCTATAGGAAAAATACCACCACACGCAGATATATTCCTAATGAATCACATCATAGTTTTGAACATAAAATGGCTAGTTTAAATTTCTTAGTTCATAGATTACTTAGTTTCCCACTTTCCAACGAAAGATATGAAATAGAAAGAGATTACATTAGGAATGTAGCTGAGTGTAATGGATATTCTCCTTCACTAGTTGATAAATTAATTAGAAAACGTAGGTATAGGTTAATGATTTCTGAAAATTCGACTTTTCAAGTGGAGAAAGATACGTCTAAATATTTTTCGATACCGTTTGATAGAGAGTTATCCCGTGGTCTAAAAGGAATTTTTAGGAATGTCAATTATATACTTGTGTATAGTGCTAATAATAAATTACAACAATTATTAGGTAATCCAAAAGATAAAACACCTCCACTGGAAAGGTCGGGTATTTATGATATTTCTTGTAAAGATTGTAATCAGAAATATGTTGGGCAAATTAGAAGATCAATATTAACTAGATTTAAAGAACATTTAGCTCAGATAGGATATGGTAGACCGGATAAATCTTGCGTTGCCGAACATATTGTTGATAAAGAACATTGTATAGATCTTAATAATTTAAAATTAATTAAACAAGTCTCAAATTACAGGCAAATAGATGTATATGAAAGCATCAGAATTAATAAATGCAAAGATAGTATGAACAGAGTCAACGGTCCAATTCCTTCAAGTTCTTTGTTCCTACTACTCTAGTGGCGGAAATCTAACTGTTACGCTCAGTGGGCTCTGACTCGGTTGGCTAGATTTTGCCACGCCCACTCGGTACTTACTGAGCGAGTATATAAACGCTCAACTTGTAGATTGTACTTTAGTTTATAATCATCTGCTGATGATGCTAACATGGTTAGCGAAACGCGCGTCCAGTGTAAAAGAAAAAAGTTTAAACATTTTTTTAAAGCAAAAAAAAAATCTTCGGGATCAAATCATTTGCGACATTACGAAACCCCCTACGTGAGACGGTTTAAGCTTGATTTTCATGCATCCGTTATCCGACGATACGATATTAATTTTATTGCTGGAATTTAAAGACAGCAATTTCTAAATTTATTGCATTTTCATGCCTCCGTTCATCGGATATACGATTTGCTTGAGATTGGTGTCGTTTTATATTTTCATTTTCATAACGATTTCGCGGTTTTATTTATAGTTTAAAAGCTAGTAACGTTTTCGAGAGAGAATTTATGGAAGCCGGTTCTTTAATATATCTTTTTCTATGCTCTCCGGAACAGAGAGCATACGCGAACAGAGAACGTTGCGTTCACTACTGCGCATCATATCTGTATTCAACATCTGTTCACTACTGCGCATCACAAATTCGCTCTGTATTTCAAGAACAAAGGAGCCTAGGACAAACCTATGTGTAGCATATTTAGTTTCATAAAAATGTAGCAAAGTAATGTGAAAATCGCATCACTGTATCTCTACTCATAAAAGAGAAATCTTATAAAACACACGAAACATAGAGATAGCCTGTACAGGTTGGGTCAAATTCGACGCTTTTAAATGAAAACACCCTTTTCTATAGGAGATAGACAAAAACTAATATCGGTGTTTGGAGCTCAATTTTCTTCAAAAACATGATGGTGAAAACCGCACATCAATCTGTTACCGTTTCGGGGTTACGGGGTGTTTTTCAAAAATGTGCATTTTTAACAAATTGCTGTAACTTTTTTGCTATGGAAAATTTTGTATTTCTATGAAAACATTTCCAAAGCACCTTTTTACGTAGAATTTAATGGGCTAAGTATAATTTTTTTAAAATTAATAGGTAATTTAAGAGTTATCAACAGGAAAATTGATTTTTTATTTGGGACACCCTCTATATTTTTAATTAACTGAAAAGAATTTAAAAATGCCAAAAATATAGCACACTTGATATTTTGTTATAATCCCCTTCGAAATACAGAATTTTTAAAAGTTTGCCACTTTTAACTAGTAGGCTTTGGACCCCTTATTGATGATGCCCTTAATGGAACTAGAAAACATATTTTTCCAGCAAGACGACGCACCGCCTCTGAACGCTGAAGTTATCAGCAAATTTTTGCAGCCGATATCAAAAATAATTAGATAGCTAACCAAGATCCCAGCCGTTGGCCATCGAGGCCGCCTGACTTAGTGCCCACGGATCTAATCCTATGGATATATTTTCGGAAGAATAAATGTTCCTTATTCTTCCGTATAATCTAGACAAGAATTAGAAATACTTAGCAGTTATGAGAGGGTATCTTTCACCCCCATTGAGTTAATGAATTCCGCGAGAAATGTTCAAAAACTACCCCGTCTGTACATAACAGAAGACGGTCGATATGTCGAACGCCTGTAGCAAAATCTCATGTCTTGGTTTGCTATTTATTTTTATTGTTATTAGATATAGTTTAAATGTGTTGATGTTGGTTAAATACATTTTAATTGTTAGAAAATTCTGCATCTCTCATAGCAAATATTATTTTCGTTTTAATTGAGGCTCACAGCTAGACTTTTTTGCATTACAGCCGGTGCCGTTCAAAGCCTACTTATTTAAAGCGGGCGAATTTTTATATACTCTATATCTCGAAGAGGAATCGAGCAAAATATCAAGTGTGTTATATTTTTGGAAAGGTAATTTTAAATTATTTTCAATACATTAAAAATATACAGGGTTTCCCATATAAAAAATCAAATTTTCTGTTGATAATTCTTAAATTATTAATTTTAAAAAAATTATACTTAAACCATTAAATTCTACGTAAAAAGGTGCTTTGGAAATGTTTTCATAAAAATACAAAATTTTCCATAGCAAAAAAGTTACAGCGATTTGTTAAAAATGCATATTTTTGAAAAACACCCCGTAACTCCGAAACGGTAACAGATATCGATATGCGGTTTTCACCATCACAAAAATTAAGCTCCAGACGCCGATATTAGTTTTTATCTATCTCCTATAGAAAAGGGTGTTTCCATTTAAAAGCGTCGAATTTGACCCACCCTGTACAGAAGTGATGCGCAGTTGTGAACCGCAGTAGTCTACTGGCAGCCAGAGGAGATGGTCAGGAGAGCACAGGAGAGCATAGCAAACAATATATTAAAGAACCAGCTTTTTTAACCAGTCCTTGTACTATTATATTTTTATTAAGGTTAGATTAAATTTGTCCTATAAAGGTTCCCTCAAAACCCTAAAAATCACAGTGTTGCCAAACCTTTTTTAATATCGTTAGCCAACAGGGGTACAGCATTGTCAAGCATGCACTGCTCAAAATCACTTAATTTCGGGATTCCCAGGTTTCTAGTAATACCATTCGGTCCCAGCAACAACGGACTAGAACAATACTTCAAATAAGGGTGAACTTTCGAACTGACATACGCTGTTTCTATGATATCCTGATGACCTGCATGTTTTAAACAGAACAAAAAAGAGTTTTTTTAACATAAAATGCACCTGTAAATAAAACAGAAGTACCTTGAATGGCTTTTATCAGAGATATTACAAATCTTGCAGCAGCAAATGCGCCTGACAAAGGAGTGCCTTCTGTGGATTTGGAGGCGCTTAGGTTTTCTTGGGCGTGCCTAACACTGGCAACAATGTCTTCTATTTCCTCCTACAAAAAAAAATAAAGAAAATTTTTACTTAAAGAATTTCAATTTATATACAGGGTGAATTTGAAATAAGTGCAAATATTTTTGGAGGTGGTAGTTTTCGAACCCAGGAAAATGTCTACATGAAATTTTTTTCTCACAAAAATGAAGTTAAAAGTCGTGCATTTTCTTTTAAATTTTCCTGGATATTTTAGAAAACTTTTTAGAACTGTTCGCCGCAAACATCACCATGGTATAATTTCTTAATCTCTGACATTACCATCGTTACGTCACTAAAAGGGGTGCAAATACAAAAAAAAAATCCGGTGGCTCTCAATTTTTTTTTTAATTTATCATTTATTATACAGGGTGTTTTAAAAAACATGTGCTATCTCTAGTGGGGAAATTCCTCACGTAAAAATAAGATTTATTTTTCAGATCAACGTAGGTCCGATTCTGCTTTGTTTCGTTGCTACAGGGTGTACAAGTCTTAATATTTTTTCGATTTATTTTTTCCCAATACTTTTAACGTTTCGAATGAAATTTTGAGGGTAAAAGTTACTATAAATGCGACGTATTTTAAAGGTAAAAAGTGTCGACATATTCACCAGGGACGTGCATATGGGTTATCACTGGAATATTTTTCTAAAAAAAGCATGTACGCCACTGACTTTTTTTCTCTTGTCAGAAAAACAGTGTAATGCCGATTAAAAATTGTCTTTTGAAATGTTGTCGATTTCAGCCTCAATGGTGAGATAAACGCAATTTTATTAATTTGCCTTGATCCAAGTCAATAGCAACCTTTTAAAAAAAATAATATTGTCAAGGTGTATGTAGCGCTAAACTGTATTAAGTACTGGTTGCCTACATTGTCGCAACGTGCCTGCGTGTCAAGAAACATGGCTAATTCATCAGAAAGTGAAAAAAAAGAATATTACAGAATTCTTTAGAACGTTCCAGAAACTCTCACCAGAGAGTATATAAAACTATATTATTATCTTAAATATCATTATTTTTTATTTGCTGTATGTTCGACTAATAGCTATTATAACTAATAGTAATAATATTTAATAATAAATTAGATTAAATATATATAAATAAATAAATAAATAAATAAATGCCTTTATTGTCAAAACATTTTTCAATTTGTGGACAAAGGTAAACTAACAAACAAAGTAAAAAAACAAGATACACAAACAAACAAACAAAAGATAATATAAAACATTATACAAATAATATTGTCAGTCTTATTGTTTAATATAAACATTTATTAATGTTTACAATGTCAAAGAACAAAAAAATAAAAATAATATTCAAAAATATTTAGCCAGTTTATAGCAAAATATCAATGACCTCTAAATAAATTAATTTCGATGTCATTAGTAAATATAGCAATAGCAAACATTAGACCAGTGTTTTCAAGATCAAATTCGATTTTCAATTCAAATATAATTCATTTACGGCGTAGAAAGCCTTGTCTAGTAAATAAGAGTTCAATGCTTTGCGAAATGAAAAAAATGATGTTATGGATTTGATTTCAAATGGCAGGTGATTGTGCATTTTTTTCGAGTTGTATAATATTGAACTTTTAACTAACTCTGAGCGTGGGGTAGGTAGATAAAGATCTTGCTCCGCGTTCCTGAGTGGATAAGTGTGAGATGGCCTTTCTTGAGAAGCTGATACATGTTTACGTATTAGGCAAACGGATTCAAATATAAATAAGGAAGGAAGAGTCAATATTTTTAATTCTCTAAAAAAGCCCCGGCAATGAGTTCTGCTGTTTAGTCCCAGTGAATATCGAACAGCTCTCTTCTGGAGCTTGAAAATGCGGTCAAATTGAGCCGCACAACACGTACCCCAGAATGGAAGGGCATACCTGAGGTGCGACTCAAAAAGTGCATAATAAACAGTTCTAGCCACTGACAAGTTAAGCTCCTTAGAAACAGACCTTAATGCAAAACAGGCAGAGCTCAATTTTTTCGACAAAGCTTCGATATGTATGTCCCATTTCAGAGAATTGTCCACAACAAGCCCTAAGAATTTTACGGATTTTACGACGTCAATGGTGGTGTTGTCAAGTACAAAAGGCTGCAACGAGTTTTTATACGACAAAGCCTTAGTTTTAGAAATGTTGAGACTCAGGAGGTTCGAATCGCACCAAGATTTAATGGTGATTAAGTCATTTGATATAATCCTATGAAGTGCCGCGATGTCCTTGTTGCTCCAAGTGAAGCTAGTGTCGTCCGCAAAAAGACATATTTTGCCACTGATGTTTATGTTAGCAATGTCGTTAATAAAAAGAAGAAACAAAATAGGGCCTAGTACTGAGCCTTGTGGTACTCCACATTCTATTGGCTTGCTAGAAGACAACGTGGTATCCACCCTCACTTCTGTTGCTCAGATACGACTTAAACCATTCGAGAGATGATCCCCTGAACCCATAGTGCTGCAGTTTATTAATTAGGATCTTATGATTTACACAATCGAACGCCTTAGAAAAATCACAGAAAATTGTTGCTGTAGAATGATGGTTGTTTAGGCTGGAGTAAACTTTATTAAGGAGGGAAAACATAGCGTCATTTGTGGACTTGTTGCTTAGAAATCCAAATTGACATTCAGTAAGTATTTTGTACTTAAACAGAAAAGATACCAGCCTGCTTTTAACCAACCTTTCTATGATCTTAGATAGCGTTGGAAGGAGTGCAATTGGGCGATAGTTAGAAGCTTCATCTTTGTCTCCTCCTTTGTGCAGTGGAATGATTATTGCCGTCTTAAGACATTTTGGAAAAATACCATTTTGGAACGACATGTTTATTAAAGTTGTTAGGTGATTCAGAGTGCTTTCTGGCAGATTCGAAAACATTTTTAAAGTTAGCCCGTCGGTCCCAGAAGAGGATTTATTTTTGATGGTATTAATTGTACTGCGAAGCTCTTCAAGAACTACGGGCGAAAAAAAGAAACTGTGTAAGTTTACATTATCATTAGAGAGATAAGAAAGTGGATCATGAGGAGGACATATGGTGTTAGTTAAGTTTTTCGCTACATTTACAAAGTAATCGTTAAGGTTCTCAGGCGAGGTAGAGATATTGCTAGACGAAGAAGCTTTGTTTCTTAACTCATTCACAATAGACCATGTTTCCTTAGCAACATTACCAGAATTGACTATTCTCCCATTATAATAAAGGTCCTTAGCGGCTCTTATAGTCTTATGATAAATTTTTCTGTATAGTATAATATAGTATAATTTATTAATTTTATTTTTAATATAATTTTATTAATTGTGATTAATAAAATTGTGTTTATCTCATCAAGGAGGCCGAATTGAACAAAATATCAAGAGATAACTTTTAACTGGCATTAAAGGGCCTACAAAATTTTGATATCAAAAAGAAAAAAGTCAGTGTCGTACATGTTTTTTTTTTTAAATATTCCAGTGATAACCCATATGCACGTACCTGATGCATTTATTAACACTTTTTTAGCATTAACTTACGTTGGTAAATTCAGCACAGGGCTTGGCTTGAGACACAACAGGTACAATAGTTTCAGTGGAATTTCCTCCAATGACAGGCACAGTGACACATTCAGGTTCCAAGCCCTGCATTTGGGCTACGAAAGTGTTGGCCCTCACAGTGTCCAGCGCTGTGATTCCGAAAACACCGTTGGGATTATAACTGCTGCCTTTCTTCATCAATTCGCTGGCCATTGGTACTATGCTATTAATAGGATTGGTTCCTATGGCTACCATGGCCTTGGGACAATTTCTGGCGATTTCCTGTACGATGTCCTTCACTATGACGGAGTTGTGATCCCAGACTTTGTCCGGGGTTAGTGAATCAACGCCTTGAGCTGCTGCTAGGACTACGACGATTTTGGAATTCTAAAATTGTTTAATTTAATCGTTTACTAATTAAGAGTCTAAAATCTAAAACAACTTTATAGGTCCGCACTGTATTCAGGAAACTTCGGCAGAATATTCTGCAGATAAAAATAAGTAAAAAAGTTCGTATAAATGTATGCCCTAAAATGCTTAGTTTCGGAGATACAGGGTGAAGAAGTTACTTTTATATTTGAATTTTTTCCAAATAATTTCTGAAATAACGGCAATATTTCGATAAAAATTGGTGTCTGGGAGTTTTTTGACATAAAAAAATTGATTTTGATGTCAAAATGGCTCCTATTTGTAGGGGGCGCTACCTATATGTGTTTTAATCTTTGAATAAGAAGACTAAGGAAGGAGCATATCAAAAATCTTAGGTACACCGCGATGGGCCTCAAATATGGCCGACTTAAATTCCGGTTTATCAGTGTCGTTCTAATTTTATTTAAAAAATGTAAAACTATGATGTAGAGTAGACGTGGGGTAGACTCAATAATTTGTTGTTTTATTTTACGTTGTGAATAAATGTTGGTAGTTATTAAAATTGTTATAAAAATATATAATTGTAATAAAAATAGATAAGTTATAATAAGTATTTATTAACACAAACATCCGATAAGCTACTGAAGCAGGTAAGTCAAATTAACGTATCTAAATTCTTTGACATCTAATCTTTGACAAGTAATAAATAAAAGCTAAAATGCAAGAAAAATATATAATTTAGTTAATTTAAGTGAATTTCATAAATGATCGGTTTACTACACGTATGTATATTATATAGTCACTTACTAGCGAAAAGTTGTTCCATTATTTCACTCAATTTTTGCCGAGATCTACCGCACGCTACACAACCAACTATTTTAGAGTCTTTTTCGATAAATCGCGATAGTGTCACTGTTAATTTAAGTTCTGCCACAATTTCCATCTAGATTTACTACCTTTATACAACTATCAGTAGTAGAATAAATAATAAATAACATAAAATAAGCTCCGTAAAGACTGACAAATCCACAAAATTTCAAATCAAATTCAAATGTGTCAAATGAATCGTCAAACAGAACTGTCAAGGATCCCCACCCTAGAGAGTTTTTATGGTGCCTTTTCCGCCCACCATGCATGAATACATGGATAGCATTATGCTCCTTCCTTAGTCTTCTTATTCAAATATTGTGCCTATCATCATCCTGCATAAACACGTAGAATGGAAGTCGAATTTGTTATCATTGAACAGTGAAAACAGAAACTGTTAGTCCACAGTTATTTGTATCAAAAACGAATGAAGAAACATGTTTTGTTTTTGTTTAGTTTGGTTTTTATTAAATGAACCGTGAGTTTAAATGCCTTGTATTAATGCCCTCAATTAACCGAATAATTACTAAAAATATATTAGTTAAAAAAATGTATTTTTGCATAAAAAACAATATTATTAAAATAAGCTAGATAAGTGTATTTTAATTGATTATTGTCTTTGCTTCTGGAATGAAAATTGTCTTTATTTTCAGTTGATCTAATCCAACGCGAATAAAAGTATTTAAAAATATTTGTTTCTGATTTTTTGGCGATTTTCAGATTTTTTCTGTATATATGTATTATATTTTCTTGTATGTATTCCATAATGTGAATATTGTATTTTTTTTCCTTATTAAGAACACTTTACCATCATTTTAAAAATTTATTTTACATGGGCGTATGTATACTATTCGTTCGGAAATAAATTTATTATTATTATAACAAAAAGGCCTATCTCTATTAAACAACTAAAAAGAAATTATTTATTAGAATTTACGCACAGTTTATCTTCAGAACGTTTCCTCAATGTCTCCGTTTAAGTGTTAATACAAAAACACTATTAAAAAATTAAAGACTTTACATTTATTGGTCGAATAAAGTAAGTGATTTTCTTTAAATTGCTCTCCTGAAAAGTAGCAAGGATCGAGATACGCCTTTTCGTCATAAAGCCGACGATATAATGAAATAAAAAATTATTCATCGTTTGTTAATATTACCTGTAAAGCAATTTGTAAGTTATCTTTTCCATGAAAAGAAGATACTTTACATTTAGTGTCGATATGACTCAGTTCCAAACCAAGACCTGTTGCAGTGTTTTTCAGATCATGAACACACAATTCATCAATTAGGGGAGACTGTTTCAACATCAGACATAACGCTTGACCAATTTTACCTTAAATATCATCCTCTACGTTACTTTTGTATAAAAAAAGCTGTTATTTCTCTTTACCAGCTGCTCCGACAACAGTAACCTTCATAGAACTACTCCCAGAACTGTAATTTTTGCTAAATATTTTCCTAAATCTCAACAAATCAATAGGGTTTACATATTTCTGGATAATAATTTGTTTTAAGAATGACATTGTTAGTAGATTCACTAAAAATTTTTAGAACTTATTTGTCATTGTTACAGAAAAGTGACGTTAATATTAAGCCAGATAAGCTAAAAAAGTAATTGTTTTGATGACAAAGATGTCAATTTATTATGCAGGTAAACAAATAGATATCGATATACAGAGCGTCCCGATTTGATGCTCTCTAAGAGACAAACGATGCATTTTTGTATATTAGAGGTAACTTGTTGTACAGGGTGAGTCAACGATAGAGTAAAGTCCATTATCTCATTTGTTTTGAGGTTTACAAAAAAGTTTTAAATATAAAAGTTATAGGGAAGGTTAAGATACACATTTTAAAATTATTATAGAGTATACAGGGTGCTTCAAAAAAGTGTGGCGAATATAACATATTTTTTTTAAATGCAACACCCTATGTTTTATTTTATTTTTAGATTCTGCGCAAAATTCCATAACTTTTTTATATATAATATTATATACCTAAAATTAATAGTTTTTGTAATATTTAAATTTGTTTAAACAAATGTTAAATTGCAGTGTGGTAAAAAATTGTCAGTGGTACCATTGTTTCTGAAGTTGGAATACCAAAATTTGGTATGAGAGTTCTATAGAGATTAAAAAGAAGATATATGTTAAGATATTTTAGTTAAATGCTACAGGATGTTCAAAATATATTTATAAATTTCAACTACTTAAAATTAAAAAATCTAAAATTTTTTAAATGGCTATATATTTTGATTTTTTCTGATATATTTTTTTGATTTTTTCTGATATTTTTTTTTATTTATTTTTCCCTATATATTTTGATTTTTTCTGATAGATTTTGCAAAGCTCTTCAACTTTTATTAAGTATGTCATATACCTATTTTTAATAATTTGCGATTTATTCCAATTTTTTCTATTTTTACCCATATCTTTAATACAATTACGCTATAACATCATAGTTACCATACAAAAAATAATAATTATTATCAAAATTTCATATGTCTGTTAAGCAAGTTAAGAACAAAAGGTGAATTTTAGTTTAATTTGTTGTAATAAGTATAAATGTTAGAGGTAGAGGTAATAGTTTCAGATTTTTCTGAAAATGGATTAGTCAATGTGACTGATATACACGAACAAGCCAAAATAAACATATTTTTTGGTTCAGTACTATATACTGAACCAAAAAATATGTTTATAGTACTTTGCTAAGTACTACAAGAATAGATGTAGATTATCTAGAAAACATTTTCATATTATATTATATTATAATATTTTCAGTGTGTAATATGGGACGGTTTTGTGGCAGTAGTAATATTGGCTTTACGAAATGAATTATAAACCAGAATTGCTACGAGAACAAAAACTTTACTGTATGTCGGAGAAAATTTCAATATCAGTAGTCGTCAACAATAAAGTAATCTAGTTAGCATTACCATAATATATTTTGAACACCCTGTAGCATTTAACTAAAATATCTTAACATATCTTCTTTTTAATCTCGATAGAACTCTCATACCAAATTTTGGTATTCCAACTTCAGAAACAATGGTACAACTGACAATTTTTTACAACATTGCAATTTAACATTTGTATAAACAAATTTAAATATTACAAAAACTATTAATTTTAGGTATATAACATTATATATAAAAAAGTTATAAAATTTTACGCAGAATCTTAACCTTCCCTATAACTTTTGTATTTAACATTTTTTTCTAAACCTCGAAACAAATAAGATAATGGACTTTACTCTATCGTTGACTCACCCTGTACAATGAACTTATTTTCATTCCAAAAATACGTATTAGTTCTATGTCCACAAAATATTGAAACACCCTGTACATGCCCCCATCTAATTTTTATCGAAATTACTCCAGACTGACACACTCTGTATAATATACAATATTATCTAAAAAAAAAGGCGTCAGCGAGGGCTATGAAATGAAAATCGCTATCATTTTATACCGGGTGTGTCTCAAAAGTGGCTCACCCCTATAACTTTTTTATCGTTTCAGATAAAAAAAAAACGGGATTTGGTATGTTAGTATATGACATCAATTAGGATTAATTGACGTATTCAATTGTTTTTGGTCACTTCCTGTTTTACCGGAAATTACTACAACTTTTGATTTATTAAACTATTTTATTAAATGGCACCCTCTGTATATTTTCTATCGACTATTGACATACGATATGTTATTCTTGACATATCATATGCGAACCATATGCGAAAATGTCAAAAGTTGACATATGATATGTCATTTTATTCAGAGTGACATTTTCTATCGAATAAAGTAAAAAAATGTCAATCAATCCTAATTTATGTCATATACTAACATACCCAAATCTAGTTTCTCTATCTGAAAATATAAAAGCCTTTAAACAAGGATAAAAGTCATAGGGATGAGCCTCTTTCGAGACACACCCGGTATATAAAATTATATGGGGAATGTCATCGATGTTCATTTCTAAAGCAACTGGACGCCGCTTTTTTTTCATCATACGATACTTCTTGTTAAGGAAATAAAGATTAAATAAATGTTTTTAGAGAAATAAAAATTACCTATATAAAATAAAAATATAATTTTTGCATTTTATTTTAATTCTTATTTAAAAAAACACAGTAAAATTACTTTAGCTCAAACACAAGTTAATTTAAGTGTTAAAAAAATATGTTTTGCAATAAAAAGGCAATTCCCTGTTGCTTAATCAATCTACGAACTTATAAATCACAATTATAATCAATTAAAAAAGTCCTAACAGTTCATAATTACTTGATTAACACTACAAAAGGTTTATTAATCTTTTTATATGCCTTTTATCTTACATTTAAAAAAATATCTAAGAAAAAATCGCCTCATTATGTTATTTTCTCAGCTTGTAAATAACATTTTAACCCTTACCTATGATAACAAGACCCAATTCAATTTTTCGTCAATAATTATCCTCGAGAAAAACAACAATATTTATCTCTTGGAATAGCAACAAATTCATATAAAAAGAAGAATTTCCTTTAACAAAGACATAGTAGTATTCAGTACATCACTTGAAGCATTACTATAATAGAGCATCAAGATGAAAGTCTTCGTTTTGCTGGGTTTGGTTGCCTTAGCCCAATCTGTACCTTTTAGGTACGATTTCAGCTCAAGATTGGGCAAAATTGGATGGAATCCTTCATGGTCTGACCAAGAACGTTCCTGGGAAACTTCTGACTACAAATTGAGAGACTCGTGTGGTCCATTGTGTGATTTATCAAGAAGAAACTTTGTAGAATCCCCTTTTTATGGGACTACTCCCAGTTGGAGGCTAAAATCTGACATTTCTGGCCGTTTGTATGGAGGAATTGACTCTTGTGGACCATGGTGTGATGTAACAAGAAGAAACTTCGTAGAATCACCTTACAGGCTTGACTTTTATGGTACCAATCCATCTTGGAAGCTAAGATCTGACATTTCTGGTCGTTTGAATGGAGGAATTGACTCTTGTGGATCATGGTGTGATATAACAAGAAGGAACCTCGTACAATCTCCTTACAGGCTTGACTTTTATGGTACCACACCCAGTTGGAGGCTAAGATCTGACGTTTTTGGAGGTGTCGAAACCAGAAAACCTCTAGCTGAAGATTTATCAAGAAGAATCGTTAAAGAAGTTATAGCTGATAGAAACTCAAAAATCGAAGAAGGTATTCTTGACTTAGCTAGAGCACAACGACTTGAAGAATCCAGAAGGGACTTCAAATCAGGAAGAGCTCTTGAAGGTGTCAAGGAAGAATTGAAGGAAAAACAGTCTAGGTTAGATCTTGAGAATCTGAGACGTGCTGAGCAGTTCAAAGATACCATTGAGGTTGCCATTGAAGCTCAGTTAGCTAGTGACAGAGTTGACAAATTGGAAGGAAGAAATACCAAGACATCGGCTCAAGAGAATGAAGTTTTTGAAGCTAGGCTTCGTAAATTGATTGACAGGTGTACCATTGCTGAAATTCAAGGGTAAGTTGATTTTTTAAACCAGCCTAACTTTGTCTCTTCTTTTTTCATTCTAAATTAATATACTGGCTGTCCAAAATTAAAAAAATAACCATCAAATGTCACAATACTTGACGTAATTTTTCCAGAGAAATCACGAAACAACAGAAAAACATCAGGCAACTCGACGAACAGGAAATCTTCTTGGATGAACAAAAACAGCAGTTGGAAGCTCAGAAAACCATACTCAGAGAAAGGGGTCAGGTAGGGCAAGCTGAGGAGCTCAGAGCAGCTGAACAAAGAATCAGAGAAGAAGAAAGACGTCTTACTTCCGAGAAAAACGCTAGGTACGTTTCTAATATACAGGGTGTACATTAAAATACTTGATATTAATTATTTTTTCGTGTTTAAATTCCAGATTTTTGGTAATCAGACTGTTGAGAAGAGCCCTCTACGAACAGGAGAGCAGACTACAAAGAGACTCTTGGACTCGGGATGCTAGGGAAGAGATTGCTGATCAGAGAAGAGATTTTGGAAGATCTTCATGGGGTTCAGACAGATGGAATCCTCTGAACTCATGGGGTACTGGCTATTCTGGACTCAGATACGCTTAATGAGAGTGTTATTTTGATATTTTGTAATCGAATTAATGTATTAGTGTTAAATAAAGAATGAGCAAGAATATAAAATATCGTTGTTTTATTATTATTATACAGGGTCCGGCAATAGTGCGTCGGGCATCTGTATCTCTTACAAAACAAACAAAAATATTTTAACTTCTATAGGGTGGCTCAAAAAATTGAAAGTGAATCGGGATGTTTTTTTTTAATGGAACACCCTGTATATTATTGCATTTTTGACCTCCTTTCAGATCATTTTACATAATTCTAAAAAATAATAAGAGTAAATATACTTCGATAGTTTCAGAGATATTAATAAATTAATAAAAAATATATATTTTTCAGTCTTTCTTAAAAACAAAACATTAAAAATACAAGAAGTGTCCTGAAATCAAAACTATATTAGATATTTACTTTAAACGGTTTGTTCTTACTTTCCTATAAATATGGTAGTCGTAAATCATACAGGATGTTCAAAATTCTACACCAAACTGTTAAAATATAAAATAATTTTTCTTCGTTTTTTTTTTTAAATGGAATACCCTGTATATTATTTGTTCGGTAGATAAAAAAATAAAATATAAACATTTTTTGTTTTTAGAGTATTTCAAAATTCTTAACGATTTTGCAGATATTGGCGGTGTTAATTTCATATGGCATTTTCCATAGTAAATTTTTATCAAAGCCACCCAATGATCGCAACCTAAATATAGTTTTGATTCAAGGACAGTTCTTGTATGTTTGTAATAATATTTTTAAGGAGGTTGAAAAATATATATTTTTTAATAGCGTGTACCAGCAACTTCGTTCGCGTCGAATTAATCATTTGTAATGGTTTGAAATCAGCTTTTTACGTCAAGCCTTTTAACCAGGATCGTGATTAATCAATGACCAGATTTTTCGAAACACCCTGTATACATTTTTAAAAAATCTTAAAATATGTAAAAAACAAAATAAAATACACGTGTTTAAGCGTTTTTTCGGAAACTTGACCGTTTTTTAAATAAAAAATATTGTAATATTTGAGGGGTGGTTTCACCCCCTTGGAACTGGAATTTCGAAAAATCCCTTCTTATCGAACCTCTACACCCTAGAATCAACCTGTATGCCAAAATTGAGCTCCTTACGTTGAGTGGTTTGAGCAGGATCGTGATTAATCAGTATGTCAGTCAATTAAGGATTTTATACAGGGTTGTTCACCACATACGACACGGAATATTGTAGCTAAACGATTAGATTTTTGCAAATTGTAAGGTTTGGATTCGTTGAAGGACTATTAGAGCTACAATTTAAAAATATTTTTACAAGATACAGAGTGTCCCAAATAAATAAAAAATATCAAAGTCGTATTTTTTTAAATGGAATACCCTGTATATTATTACATTTTTAATTTCTACGATTAAAATAAAGGTAAATTTAATTAAGGTTTATTGCACTTAAACATTACCGTTTTTGAAATATTTTCAATTTTGTGAAATTGCAGTATAAATTTTAAGGCTTCATTTCTCCGAGGGTATCAAAGTTTTTAATACTAAATATTTACTGAAGTTTATTTATTAATCAGTTATTATTTTGCAATAATAAAAAATTTACTCCCTTATACAGAGTGTCTAAATATTTATTTTAAATAATTATTAGCTTTAAACGGCAATAACTTGTTTAATTTAAATGGAACACCCTGTATATTTTATAAGAATCAGATGCACAATTTAATTGACTATCAAATTGTATTATACCATTTTATCTCTTCAAGTTTCCGTAGAAAATACATTTTCTTGTAATTTAGAACTCATTTATCAATATACCCATGGAATACTGACATTTTAAATTATTTTTAAAGATGTACCAAATTTTTAACGAGTACAGATACTAATATTGTCGATATAGTTCGTTTATTTCTTTAAAAATAAAAAACTGTTTAAATATTTGTTAAAGAGGACCAATTAATATGATTCAGTATTCAAACTACATTAATTGACTGTTTGCGTTGATTAATAATAATTGCTTCAAATACTAAAAAAATGAATTATGTATGTGTATTAGACAGTGTGGTAAAAAAACTAACACCTTAAAAATGTTAATTTAATTTTTGACAAATGCTTATTTATAACAACAGAGACGTTCATTTTCATAACTTATTATTATATTGATTTCTGATTCAAATCCACATTTATTTAGAATAATTTATTAACGAACACAATTAAGTATGTAATTAATTAGTATTTGGACGGAAATACTGGTGGTATATTTAATTAAAGGTATACTCTTTTTTAAAGATTTAAATAGTTTTCTTTTTGCATACAAATGGGCTAGTAGTTTTACTAAAAACGATAATATTACTAGACTGTACATTTTGTACATTTGTTCTTTTAAAAACAATCTAAGATGTCAATATTCCATAGGTATATTGATAAATGAGGTCTAAATTATAAGAAAATGCATTTTCTATGAAAACTTGAAGGAATAGGTAAAAAGTGGTATAATACAATTTGATAGACAATTAAATTGTGCATCTGATTCTCATAAAATATACAGGGTGTTCTATTTAGATTAAACAAGTTATTGCCGTTTAAAGCTAGTAATTATTTAAAATGAATTTTTAGACACTCTGTATAAGGTAGTATAATTTTTATTAATGCAACACAATAACTGATCAATAAATAAACTTCAGTAAATATTTAGTATTAAAAACTTTGATACCCCTCGGGGAAATAAAGCTTAAAATTTATACTGCAATTTCACAAAATTGAAAATATTTCAAAAACGGTAAGTAGTTTAAGTGTAATAAACCTTAATCAAATTTACCTTTATTTTAATCGTAGAAACTAAAATGCAATAATATACAGGGTGTTTCGATGAAAAAAAATACAACTTTGATATTTTTTATTTATTTGGGACACTCTGTATCTTGCAAAAATATTTTTAAATTGTAGCTCTAATAGTCCTTCAACGAACTCAAAACTTACAATTTGTAAAAATCTAATCGTTTGGCTACAATACTCCGTGTCGTATGTGGTGAACAACCCTGTATATTAGTATAGATTTATTTATTAATATCTCTGAAACTATGGAAATATATTTACTCCTATCTTAGGATTATGTAAAGTGATCTGAAAGGAAGCCTAAAATGCAACAACATACAGGGTGTTCCATTTAAAAAAAATCATTCCTATCCACTAACATATTTTCCTGAAATACATACTCGTACAAACTTTAGGTTCGCACTCAGTTGGAGTTGTTTCAGACCTATTACAACTATTTGTTTTTTTTTTGAATAATCGATTAGTAAAGGTCTAAATCTATTAATTATGCATAGCTACAGAAAATTATGTAGAGCAACTTTTTTATTTTATGCATGGATAACAAGGAATATCATACTAACTAATAAAGATCATACTGTTTTCTTTTAATTAGTACGACATTTAATTTAATTGATGTAGATACTTAAAGCGATAAATAATAAATAAACTATATTTAAGCATGCAATATCATTTTGCTTCAGATAAAAGAACATTGGTTTGTCTTTAAAGAAAACATTTTTTCTGTTTATCAGCTTGAACTTGAAAATATTGTTGCTAAACCCCCCAGCACAAATAAATTAATATTTTAAGCTTAATTAGTAATAATTGCAATAATTATTAATATTATCAAAAAAAAGTTAACAAAATTTATACAGTGTGTTTATTATGTGGGCCAAATTTGAAGGAATATATAGGGTTGTTCACCACATACGACACGGAGTATTGTAGCTAAACCACTAGATTTTTACAAATTGTAAGTTTTGGGTTCGTTGAAGGACTATTAGAGCTACAATTTAAAAATATTTTTACAAGATACAGAGTGTCCCAAATATATAAAAAATATCAAAGTTGTATTTTTTTAAATGGAACACCCTATATATTATTATATTTTTAGTTTCTACGATTAAAATAAAGGTAAATTTGATTAAGGTTTATTACACTTAAACTTTACCGTTTTTGAAATATTTTCAATTTTTGAAATTGCAGTATAAATTTAAGGCTTCATTTCTCCAAAGGGGTATCAAAGTTTTTAATACTAAATATTTACTGAAGTTTATCTATTGATCAGTTATTGTGTTGCAATAATAAAAACTTTACTACCTTATACAGAGTGTCTAAAATTTATTTTAAATAATTACTAGCTCTAAACGGCAATAACTTGTTTAATTTAAATGGACTATCCTGTATATTTTATGAGAATCAGATGCACAATTTAATTGTCTATCAAATTGTATTATACCATTTTTTACCTATCTCTTCAAGTTTCCGTAGAAAATGCATTTTCTTGTAATTTAGAACTCATTTATCAATATACCCATGGAATACTGACATTTTAGATTATATTTAAAGATGTACCAAATTTTTAAAGAGTGCAGATACTAATATTGTCGATATAGTTCGTTTATTTCATTAAAAAATAAAAAAAAAACTGTTTAAATATTTGTTAAAAAGGACCAATTAATATGATTCCAGTATTCAAACTACATTAATTGACTGTTTGCGTTGATTAATAATAATTGCTCCAAATACTAAAAAACTGAATTATGTATGTGTATTAGACAGTGTGGTAAAAAGTAACACCTTAAAAATTATATTTAATTTTTTGACAAATGCTTATTTATAACAACAGAGACGTTCATTTTCATAACTTATTATTATATTAATTTCTGATTCAAATCCACATTTATTTAGAATAATTTATTAACGAACACAATTAAGTATGTAGTTAATTAGTATTTGGGCGGAAATACTGGTGGTATATTTAATTAATGGTATACTCTTTTATAAAGATTTAAATAGTTTTCTTTTAGCATACAAATGGGCTAGTAATATTATCGTTTTAGTAAAAACGATAATATTACTAGTCTGTACATTTTGTACATTTGTTGTTATAAAAACAATCTAAAATGTCAATATTCCATGGGTATATTGATAAATGAGGTCTCAATTATAAGAAAATGCATTTTCTACGAAAACTTGAAGTATAGGTAAGAAATGGTATAATACAATTTGATAGACAATTAAATTGTGCATTTGATTCTCATAAAATATACAGGGTGTTCTATTTAAAGTAAATAAGTTATTGCCGTTTAAAGCTAGTAATTATTTAAAATAAATTTTTAGACACTCTGTATAACGTAGTATAATTTTTATTATTGCAACACAATAACTGATCAATAAATAAACTTCACTAAATATTTAATATTAAAAACTTTGATATCCTCGGAGAAATGAAGCCTTAAAATTTATACTGCAATTTCGTAAAACTGAAAATATTTCAAAAACGGTAAGGTTTAAGTGTAATAAACCTTAATCAAATTTACCTTTATTTTAATCGTAGAAACTAAAAATGCAATAATATACAGGGTGTTCCATTTAAAAAAATGCAACTTTGATATGTTTTATTTATTTGGGACACTCTGTATCTTGTAAAAATATTTTTAAATTGTAGCTCTAATAGTCCTTCAACGAACCCAAAACTTACAATTTGTAAAAATCTAATCGTTTAGCTACAATACTCCGTGTCGTATGTTGTGAACAACCCTGTATTTACCAAAATTAGAACTTAAGTATCTTGGGTAAGGAAGATTCAATATAATTTTATTTAATGAACCAAACCCCATTAAAACGTACGTCTATGAGGTATCGCATTCCTTACCCTGGGCAAAATGTAGGTCTTATAGCCATACAGCCTCCTGCCAAAAATGAAAAAGATCGCTCAACAAACAATCAAGATATTGGCTTGTATCCATCTTAAGTGGGACACCCTGTATGTTAATATGAAAAATAATAATTGTTATTATTACGTGAGGAATCTTCACACAAGAGATGGAATATGTTTTTTGAAACACTCGGTATACTTATTAAAATTTAGACGAAAACACTGTTCTTAAATGCGTAAATAATGTACTTACTAAGCTTAAAATAATTTCTTGTTTTTCTTAGGCACTTTCCGTTTACGTTTTTCGACCTCTCATGTTTTCATCCTCTGCAGATATTTTGTTGCTACCTTAAAATTAACTAAAATTGTTTTTCTTCAGCCAATTAGAGTGACACTGCGATAACCTGACTGGATCAAAAACCATCGAAATCAACAAAATTCTCGATAAAAATTTCGTATAAAAACCAAGCGCATTCGCTAGTTTCAGTATCAATCATCCTCTCTGAAAGTAAACAGACATATTGAGTTTGTTTTTTGCTTTAAGATGAAGTACTTTGTGATATTCGCTGTGGTCGCTACCCTTGCCAGGGCTAGCCCTTACACTTTCGGTAGCCAATATGGTGTGTATGAAGGTATCAACACTCCACAACACGTAGCAGATTTGTTGACTCATCAAGCTCACGGCTCCCAAATCTCTGACACCGAAGCTGCGATCCAGGAACTCCACTCTCATCTCCAACAACACCAAATCCACCACCCATACGATCCACTAGGCCAGATAGCCCACCATGAACAGACAGTCTCTGGTGTGGACGCCATCCACCACTTAGCTGACGACATCGAGCACAAAAACTTCAACTTTGACAAGGTAGCTAGCCCTGTAGCTGGACAATTCTCGCACGATTCTAGCTTCCAGCAGTTTCACGATGTTGTACAAGGTTCCGTAGCTGCTTTTGCCGGGGTTAAGGAAGTCCAACAAGAAGGAGCTGCTCACGGTGTTCACATTCCTGCCGTTTCCGGGTTCGATTCTGACGAGTTTAAAATCAAACTGCAAAAGTTCGTTGACGAATTCAACCAGGAAGACGTTGAACAGTAAGTAGATGTATATTTTTTCAGCTTATTCAACCATTTTCAACTATGGTGTAGCCCCTCACATATTTAGATACTCTCTTTGTTGTTGGGCTCATTGCTGTCTATTGTTGTCTATGCGGGCCCAAGTTATTCACGCTGATTTCCTAATATTATGGTCCCATTTCAGATTTGGTCTTCTTCTAGGTCTCCTAATTTTTCGTGCTGTAATTTTTATGGTCCATCTGTTGTCGGTCGTTTTTGCCAAGTGTCTTGTCCATTGCCATTTGAGGGATTTGATTCTGTGGATGACATCTATTACCTGGGTCTTTTGCAGTATCCATTCTAGTTTTTACGGTCTTTTTTGATTATTCCCAGCATATTTCGTTCCATTGATGACTGGTAGTACAGTCATGACCGAAGCTAGTAGGCTAGACCTAGCTGGTAGTACCAGTCATTGGTCGAATTGTTGGTCGAATGTTTTCTTTTTTAGATAAAGTGGCATTTTAGATTTGAATATGATAGAATGTTTCTTCGATCTTCCATCTTCTTCGATCTTCGTCAAATCATTTCACTGATGTTAAAAGTATTGTACAGGGTGTCCCATTTTCTTGTGTTTTATGGGGTTTCTCTCTCTCTCTCTCTCTATGAAGTTTATTCTCTTTAAAAAAAACATAAGTTTGAGTCATATTTCAAAAATTACAGCTTCCAGCAAAAAACTAACTAAACCAATGAATTATACGTAAAAAAATCTACGGGGTCCAGTTTTCACCTTTTCGATAAGTTATAACATAATCGACATACAAAGGCAGTCAAAAAATTCAACAATTCCAAATTCACCCTGTGTTTTAGGAACCAAGAGCGCTATATACAGCCATTTTTTAGTCTCTTAAAGAGCTATCTCTCTACTCATAAACTAACATACATAAATGAGATATCTTGTACAGGGTGTCCCATTTTTGTTAAAATCATAGGGTATCTCCCTTATTAGTAAAGATAGAAGAATGCGGTATGCACAAACCTATCCCAGTTTTTTGTTAAACGGAAGATGCTGTAAACAAAAATTTTATAGCCCTCTTCGTTTCTGAGCTACAGGGTTTTTTCGAAAAATTTCCAATTTGGGACAGCCCCCTATCTCCGTTATTGTGGATGATATCGAGAAGGTGAAAACCGATTCTTGTCGAAAATTTTACGTAGAATACAGTGGCGTAGTCTGTTTTTCTTCGTAAAAAATATTTTTAAAAATATGAACTAAAGTTATATTTTTTTTTCAAATGGAACACAAAAATAGTGAAAATAAATATAGAGTGAAATATATTTTTGAGAAGCTTATGGCAAGCCAGATCATATAGTTTATAAATATACAGGGTGTTTCATTTAAGAAAGCATAACTTTAGTTCATATCTTTAAAGATATTTTTTCGTAGAATAAAATACTACGCCACTGTATTCTACGTAAAAAGTTCTACAATAATCAGTTTTCACCTTCTCGATAACTTCAACAATAACAGAGATACAGAGGGTGATCCAAATTGCAAAATTTTCATAAAGACCCTGTAGCTCAGAAACGAAGAAAGCTATGAAAAGAAGAAGTGGGAAGGTTTGTGCAAAACGCACCCTTCTATCTTCACTAATAACGGAGATACTGTATGATTATTTATTATTACCGTAAAATTTCGATTTTTTTTGTAAAAATTATATTTTTTCTCATTTTTTTAGCGAAATCACCCACCACCACCACTGGATCAACCACCTCCACCACCTGTACCAATACGTTCACCAACAAGTCCAACAATTAGACGCCCAAATCACCCTTGTTCACCACCAAGGAGTACCTAGCCAAAGCATCTCCCACCTTCACCACGTCTACCAGTACTTGAAAACATTGGAACACCACCTCATTCAACAGGAATTGGCTCACCAATTGGCTATCTTGCAATTGCAAAAAGTAGTGGTGTACCACACTGCCAAAATTCAGCAAGATGTCGTCGCTGAGAATGTTAGCAATAATGTCCATCATGGAACCCATGAAGAAGTGCATCATTATCCCTCTGCTGGTACTTTAGGAGCACGTTGGACTGTTTAAAGTTGACGATTTTGGCTTGAGAATTGCGTTGACGATGATTTTTTGTATAATCGTATTTAATAAATGATATAATTTGAAGTAATTTTAGGGTTTTCTTTATTACTTATTAGTTTTCCTGTTCAAACAATTTCAGAAGTTACGTGTTCCTGGGTTCCAAATACATTGTGCAATCCTCACTGAGTTATTGATTTTATGGAAAGCACTGTTCATTAAAATGTTGTATCTTATGTTATAGGGCTTGTTTCTCTCTATAATATCCTGTCTCACAATGTACCGTTTGTGTCCGGGAAGGGTTCATAGTTTCATAGTTGTCGATTTTCGAAAGAAATCAGTACATGTATATTATTTCGTATATTTTTCATTTTATTGATTTTATGGAAAGCACTGTTCATTAAAATGTTGTATCTTATGTTATAGGGCTTGTTTCTCTCTATAATTTCCTGTCTCACAATGTACCGTTTGTGTCCGTGAAGGGTTCATAGTTTCATAGTTGTCGATTTTTGAAAGAAATCAGTACATGTATATTATTTCGTATATTTTTCATTTTATTGATTTTATGGAAAGCACTGTTCATTAAAATGTTGTATCCTATGTGATAGGGCTTGTTTCTCTCTATAATTTCCTGTCTCACAATGTACCGTTTGTGTCTGGGAAGGGTTCATAGTTTCATAGTTGTCGATTTTCGAAAGAAATCAGTACATCTATATTATTCCGTATATTTTTCATTTTATTTATTTTATGGAAAGCACTGTTCATTAAAATGTTGTATCTTATGTTATAGGGCTTGGTTCTCTCTATAATTTCCTGTCTCACAATGTACCGTTTGTGTCAGTGAAGGGTTCACAGTTTCATAGTTGTCGATTTTTGAAAGAAATCAGTACATGTATATTATTTCGTACATTTTTCATTTTATTGATTTTATGGAAAGCACTGTTCATTAAAATGTTGTATTCTATGTTATACGGCTTGTTTCTCTCTACAATTTCCTGTCTCACAATGTACCGTTTGTGTCCGGGAAGGGTTCATAGTTTCATAGTTGTCGATTTTCGAAAGAAATCAGTACATGTATATTATTTCGTATATTTTTCATTTTATTGTTTTTATGGAAAGCACTGTTCATTAAAATGTTGTATCCTATGTGATAGGGCTTGTTTCTCTCTACAATTTCCTGTCTCGCAATGTACCGTTTGTGTCCGGGAAGGGTTCATAGTTTCATAGTTGTCGATTTTCGAAAGAAATCAGTACATGTATATTATTTCGTATATGTTTCATTTTATTCATTTTATAATCAAGATCACTCAAATTAAATGGACCAAGGAACACGTCTATTTCTCTAAGAACTGTCTATAGTTTTGGCCATTTGACTTTGTCAAAAGTTTTTCGATAGTCTATGAAAGAAAGATACGGCGTTAAATCTAACGCACATATATCAATATTTGTTGACGTATTCCTGGACTTCTTGTGAATCTTGCGCCCATAAAACGAGAAAAATGTAGCATTTATTAATTTTCTGGTAAATTTGTATTAATGCTGCTGGTAGAGACTTTGTTTGTTGCCAGGTTAGTGTTGTATTAAGTGGCCTGTTTATAAATTGACGGTTGCTGTCAATCGAGATCAGATTTTTGTAAAAAAAAACGCATTTCGCACACACATATTCGGCACATGTTCGAGTACTTGTCCATTAAAATAAAGGAAATATAAAAAAAGCTGAAGAAGTACGACAAAAGTTACTTCCATCTAAAAGTCAATCCATATTATTACTCAAAATCTCTATTGTATTTCATGGTTGTTACCTATAAAAGTTAGAGGGAATTATGGCATCTTAATTCCCGTTAATAATGTCCCAAGGGAGTTGAATGACTCTATCACAAAGCATCTCTCCCCCTTTAGAACTTTTTCTTTAATGGCCATAAGCGGGAGTAAAAGACCAACCGTCCGAACAAACACTAGAGGCGCCACCGGTCATCAAACGGTGTAAAAATTGCGAAAATTTAATCATCTAATTTTGACACAAGGGGTCGCGCTTAACTTTTTCAATTTTAATTCAATATTCATTGTTTTCAAACTATATTATTAGACTTTGTTGTATTTTGTGAATGTATAAATGTTTTCTTAGTATAAAGTTGCATTATAGTAATTTAAATTATATTACATACATATATTTAAGATTCAAATATTATGACATATATGTCAGTTGCCGTCTAAAATGTCATCTTGATAACAAAAAGTTAGTTATTGTCAAAAGTAGTTAAAATCATGTTAAAATATTAAAATTTACAAGTTATAATTAGATATTTTATATTATTTCAACAACAAACACATAATAGTACAGCGTAATGTTGATATGCAGGTCCAAAACAAAAGTGCCGTTATATTTTTCAGTTTTCGTTGTCAGCCGCGGAAGTTTCAGTGATTTTAGTGTTGTCGGATATTTTTATTTGTGAAATAGAAATATTGCGTTTGGATCGCAAAACTAAAAGTGGAAGTTTTATTGCAATGTAAGTAAGCGTTCGTCCATTTTATATTATACTTTTTTCATGCCTACGACAAATATACATATATTGAAATTTTATAATTCGTTTTATTTAAAAAATGTTAGAAAACAAGCTTGTAATCCTGTAATTGACATAATTGTTATATAATATATTCCATTTAAATGTAATATATTACTCTACAATTAAAAAAATGTAAATTTAAAAAATATATTAAAAATATATACAGGCATCAGAGAATAGGTACATTAAAGAAATGCTAACTTCATGTTAAAAAATGGAAATAGACGCCACCTGGTGTCGCCTGGCAGTACTAGCTAAATTGAGGGGAATTGGAAGGGCGGGGCTTAAAAGAGGGGAAATTTTTAAAAAAATATTTTTATAAGTATCACTGACTTATGTTTAAAGTTAATAAACATATTTTTTATTACTTTAATATAATTTAATGTATTAAAAAATATGTCTATTAACTTTACACAGCAAATCAATGATATTATTAAAGACTTATTATTTTCAGAGAAAATTCATAGTAAATAAATTACACATTAGTAAACAATGTCATTTTTTTTAGAGCTGCGATTTATATTACAATAAAAAAATAATATATTGAAATATTTTAACAATGAAAAAGAATATCCCGGAACCTGAAAAAGAAAGATGATCAATTAATGACTTAAATTAGTTCAAAATACATTTTGCAAATAACTAGTGAATTGGAAAGATAAACATACTATTAAAAAGACATTTTAGTAGTATGTTATCATCTATTTACTGATAATACATTACATAAGTATATAATAGGTAAATAACATGCATAAGGCACTATGATACAACTACCTATATCATGATAACACACTAATATGACAAAAAATATATGCCAATTTAAATTCCATTAATGATCTAATGAAACACTATCTAGCCTCAATGCATGCCATTCCAAAGGCAAAAAAAAGTGTTATACCAAATAAATATAAGCTGAATAACATAAACCAAACCAACGTACATAAACAACCAAAAAATGCATCAAAAAATACTTTTATCAGATCATACTGTTGGATATATTATGTATTTTATATATCGCACATCCCGTTCAAAAGTTTACTCACTCAAAATAGAGAATATAGAGAACATTGTCAGGAGAAGTAAAAGAAAATTTAAGTTAAGGCAATATGCTCCTTTTTGCATATTAACGGCCAAATAATATAATGTTGATTTAATAACAGATAATTATTACATATTTAAGTAGGTTTAGCAATAATTAACAATACATATAATATAACAACTTACATGTACCAGCTTAAGTATTACTTTAAAAATAAATATTTTATTTATAAAGTTTTCGCGCCATACAAAATAGGTGATAAATCGATCTCACATTTATTGATCAGCTGATTGACAGAAACAGTGCAGCCACAGATAAAAATATAGTTTTTACATTTTATTGTGTATTACCAATGATAGAAAAATTAGATATGTCGACTCTTTTTACTTTGAATATTTTTAATCGTGATTTGATTTTTTTCAGAAATTTTGTTTCTATTCACCCCTATGTTTCTATTCACCCCATTTTACGGTACGTTTACATCTTAGTTGTATTTACGAATAAAGTATTTGTGTGTAATTTCTGACTTACCAATTAACTGAATAATCGCATTAAATACATCCAAATGGTAATTTAATATTGTAAAAAAGCAAAATTGTTTTAAATCACTTGCCAGGACAGTCCGGCCAGCTTCTTTGTTGACAAAATGGCCGCGGTATCATGATTTAAGCAATGTGAGTGACAAAGAAAGCCAATGCCTGGCAGATGTTGCTTTCTTTGTCGTTGGTCCTGGCACGTTTAAATTTGACTGTTGCCTGTTTTCCCATATAAGTGACACCCCCGTGACAGGCATTAATTGAAATTTTTTGAGTGCGAACAAACACGAGAGGCGCTTTATTATTTATTTACTTTCATTTCTTAACATGATAGACGAAGTTCTAAAGGGGGATGTTTTGTGGACTCTATATTTATGGTTAGAGTAACCATGACGATAATAAACTTATATTAATTCACCAATAAATAAACTTTGTTGTTATTTCTGTTATTCGTAATTATATTTAAACGAACAACAACAAATATATAAATAAACCTATTTAAAAAAAATCGCAACAATTGTTTTTTGACCTCCCGCTAAGCAACTTGTGCATCCAACACAAATAAACTTATTTATCTCTTCGGGATAAGAAGGCGTTGAAAACACAAGAAATCAACAGTAAGTCTTGTCACAGCATCAGAGAAACATCAATAATTTCTCCAGTATGAAGTTTATTTTACTATTTTTCGTTGCTTTTGCCAGCGCAAACTTGTTTGAAGGTAATTTGAAAGAAGTCAGGGTAGATGGCGATCAAAGAATAGTTATCAAATGTCCTAAAAGTATAGTGATTATTACCAAAACTCGAAGCGATGACAGGGGTCTTAAATTGATCACTAAGGAAGCAGGAAAACCTGTTGAATATGTGCTGATAGATAGAAACAAGAATATTGTAAAGAAAGGGGTGGTGAATGATGAAAATGAAGATGAATTGAGTGAAGATGATCGCAAGGTAT